GGTTCATTTACAGTTCAAAAGAGTCAGGACGCTTCATTAGCGATGCTATCAAACTAACATCTTAATTAGTAAATGATCCAGACAGACAGACCCACTTACATGAATTCATCTCATTTACTCCTACAAAGGAGGCTGGAGTGGAAACCTCTCATAGTAACCTCCCTGACTATGCTGTATCCACTGGAACAGATGTTTTTTCCTGCTTTTGTATCATTATTTAAATGCATAAATAAGCTAAAGCTTTTTAATGAGCATAGCTCTACAGGGGAGAAAACCCTCCATACACAACCCACTACAAATGCATTTAGAATCAAATTAGCTGCTCTAAGTGACATAAAAATATGGGCATTGGCTGATCATCTTTATTGAAGGGAGCATCATTCCATGATAATTCCTTCAATGGGGAAATACTTCCATCAGCCATTTAACACCATTTTTTCCTCCTCCAGGGTCTACAAAACATCAGAGCTACGAAGGGTCAGTTAGTGGTGTTTGAATGCCGCATTCGTGCTACACCCACCTTACAGGTTCACTGGTACAGAGAATATGACCAGATCATAGACTCTGCTGACTTCCGAATCCTAAGGAAAAGTAGGTATTCCTGTGCCTGTCTGATGTCATTTCACTGCGGCAGTGATAGGGCAGGAACAAGAACTGCTGTAAAAGTTAGGAGATTGTAGATGTCCATAGAGGCAGAGCTCAGATGAGCTGAAATCACAGACTGGGGTGCCAGAGCAATGTGTGAGCAGATCAGGCATGATGGGAGGAGACTGCCATGCTGTTAGTTATTAATGGAAGCACTACTGAGCCGTGGAGGCATTGTATAGTATAACTACTGATGAACATAGGAAATATAAGTACATTTTAAACCATTTGTGATACTCCCAAGCATGAGCTCATAGCTCCAGTGGAGCAAATTCACAGTAACTAACTCCACAGTCAGTGGAGCTCTTTCTCTATCACCTCAGGGGAGATGTGGTTGTACCATCAGGTTCCCCATCCACACCTGGGCTTTCCCTATCTGCGTAGTATTTCTCCTGATGGACACAGAGGGGTGGGAGCTGAGATGGGAAAGAAAGCAAGGGCTGAAGGTCTTTATTCTGGCATTATAACCATTGGATTTCTTTCTCTCTTATTTTGAGCAGAGGCTTGTTCATCAGCACTTCCTGGTAAGTACAGTGCAGTTTGTGTCAGACATCTCATCAGTTACTTACCCCACACTTAGTTCTTGTCACCTTATCCAAGATAAAACAACAGTGCTCAGAGGGTAGCCAGAGATAACATCCGGTGTCAGATGTAGAGCTCTCGAGTTCTTAGTTTTGACACAAGCATCTGAAAGACCCCGATGCTTTTCTCAACAGAGTACCCTGCATGTTAAGGGAAAACTATCACCCATTCTGACCTGTAATCTTCTCTGAGGTTTAAACTTGAGCAAGAGAACACAAAATTGAGCACAAGAAAACGTTCTTTGTTCCATTAAAGTCACAGGAGGAAAGACTCCTCCCTCAGCTTTGCTCCTTCGGAATTCCTTGACTTCCTATGCGCTTTGCATCCCTTTTTTTGCACTTCATTGCTGCCAACCCCCGTCAGTAAGTAACAGCCCTTCTGCAAGAACCACTTCCCACAAATTAACACTTGGCTTTGATGGTACAACAGCATGCCTCAATTTGTTATTCCAGAGGAAGTCTGCACCCTGGTTATTACAGAAGCTTTTCCAGAAGACTCTGGGATATTTAAATGTGTGGCTGAAAATGAATTTGGATCTGCAGCATCCAGCGCGCATCTCTCTGTGTCCCCAGGTAAGCACATGGGTTTCTTAGCTAAGCAACTAAGCACAAGAGAATTTGCTGCTGCTCAACATCAGGCAGAATCACAGATATTTGCCAAGCAGAAACCAGACCCAAACACTTTGGTAGGCTCAAGAGAAACGTCCCAGAAATGCAGACTGCTTGGGTACCTCTCAAAACTGGATGCAATTTGCTCTGTGTCTCTGCTTTTAGCCTCTCTTCTTCCTAAGTCAAGGATGACAAGGTGCAAATGATGTCTCATCCCCGAGCTTCATCCCTTCAGGGATTCCAGCTTAGCCAACGCATTATCTGTACCTAACCTTGTTTATCGTAACACATGACTGGTCTGGCTTGTGCTGAAAGCATCTCCAAACAGAGCAGCACCTCACATAAATCAAAGCCCACCAGCTGAGAAGGCAGGATTGGCTGATGCAGCTGTGCAGGTTTCGGTCCATGCAGAACACAGGCAGGCTGAACTCCCATCCACCTACACGGACAGACCAGTTTCCCTTCCCCTGTTACCTCATCCCACTGTACTGGTGAACCAGCACTCACTTGTGGACAACTCTTCTTCCAGGAGCAAAAGAGCTGGAAAGCTTTGCAGGTGCTGCCCACAGGCCTGCTGTGCAAGTCACCATGAAGAAACCCACCTTCCCTAGGAACAGCCAGGCAGGAGCCAAGGAGCGAGACCTGGCTGGGCTGTCCTACAGCACAGAGCCCCCGGGCATGGGTGGTCGAGGAGAAGCCACAACCTTCGGGCAGATGAATTCCAAGAGTGAAGTTGATGATTTTCATGGAGCTTATGAGGATTCACCTCAGGCTTCACCTCTGCGGTAAGACAGCATCACATCCTGGGTTAGCTTTATACAATCCTTAGGGGATGGACTATCTGGTGACCCCACAATTCAGCCATAAAGATCCTGAGACCCCATACCTGAACAGGGAAAGAGGCAGATGCAGTAAACAGCATTTTCACCAGTGCCTATCTGTAAGTAACGTTAAAGCATGGCCCCAAATAATTCATCTCTAGAAGACTTTTGGCTCCATAGCAGAGCATGAGGCAGAGGTGACAGTACCTGGGGTGCAGTTCTGTAGCCTCAGCCAAATGGCATCACCTCATGTTTCCATTTCCCATTCTGAATGAGAGCAATAAAACTCGAGATCCTGGCAGTGTGGTGCAGATGGTACCTGCAAAGCACTTTATGGAGGAAAAGTACTGAACCGGTGACCCACTGGATAGAATGCAAACTGTCCTGTGCCACAGCAGGGACACTCCCCGCTCAGGACATGGAGGCTTTCCCCAAGGACAAAGTGTTCTATCTCATAACAAGTCTCGATCCAATTTCTGTCCCAAATGCAGCTCTCAAGTAGCTAATGCACTTACTGCATTGTTAGTTATCCTGTTTCATTGCTCCACAGAAGCAAGTCAGAATGCACACCTTTCTTAGCAATTCCATCCCAATTTCTGTAGCGTTTCTCAGGTGTTTATAGGCAGAACAGAGACCTCAAATGGTGACAGTTAAGAGGTCCAAGCCCTGCAGAGAAGTGTCCTCAGTTGTCTTTGCGAAGGCGAGAGCCACAAGGCAGACGTGTGCCTCCTCCCAGCTGAATGCCAGCGCTGCACTGCGGTGATCCTGTTACACTGTGTGTAAATGGCTGTGTGGGACAGAAAGTGTTCTGTGGTATGGATTACTTTGGGATGTACTCAGCCACTTTAATTAAACTCAGTTATTTAACAGTTCTGAACACCCCTCTCCAAACTCACTACATGCAGCCTGCACGTGCTGTTGTCACCTTCAAGGATCACAAGCAGAGCGTGTGAAGGCAGCACCCTGTTCAAGTCAACTCACCCTCAACTACCCCAGGTCCAACCACCTCGAGATAAGGCTGTTTGCTTGGGAGTACCTAATGCAGAACAACACTGCATTGCTTGGAATCATTACACGATGACTGTTTGAAACACGAGCACACTGCTAATAGTCTGCAGAGCAGAATTATAACCTTTATAAAATAATCATTAGCATAATTACCTCCTGGAAGGGATGGGGCAGCAGGATATATTTGATGCCTGTCCTTTTAGAACAGGAGTAGCTCTCCAGCCTCTCCTAAAGGCAGCAAGAAGCCTGTGTTTTGGCATTTATAACAAGCAAGCTGTGGGGAAGCTCGTTTAGATGATACTTGCTGCTCAGGATGCCTGCTTGGAAAGTTTATCACTTGCAGCAGCAGCAGGGAGCTGCAGCACCTGATACCCTGCATGAAGGGTTATAAAATACCACCAAAATCAGCTCTTAAACATTTGGGTTATCTAAAACATTAACTAGTCTAGAACTGCAGAGTGCTTTTGATTGACAGTGATGCTGAACCACATTTTGGAAGGCGTTTACATGTCTCAAGATACACCACGAAAACTATTAAAGTTTCTAGATATACCCATCTATGAGAGTTTAAATGTCTCTCAAGCCCACAGTCTTATTGCCATGTGCTTTGAAACATCATTCTGAATAGGACTCAGCATTGTAAATGTTGCTGCTACCTCAAACTAAGCAATCATCTCTAATGATGAGCTGTATAATAACTGTCTTGTTAGCCAGATTCAGCTGTACAGCTCCCATGCAGCGTACATGGTTGCAACTGTATTACCAGAGACAAGAAGCAATACCAACAGTGTAGGACAGAACAAAGCTACTACTGAGGATAACTATAAAGTGAATGGAGTCCTCATGCTCTTAGTCTACAAAACATTGCTTAGCAACAGCCACTCCACAAGAGCTACAAAGCGCAGCTCTACAGGACTTGTCACTACCAGCTAGTCCTTTCTGAGCCCTTTGTATCTGCAGCTTACAGTGGCCTTCCCAGTAGCCTTAAAGAGGAAGAACAAAATCTATACTGATTAGTATTATCATGAACTAATTCTATATTTATATATTATATTTATATGTATATATAATAATTATATTATCCTGAATTAATTTGTACTGCTTAACTTAATCCAAGCAAAAGAGGCTTTGGGCACAGAGTATACCCCCAGGTAGCTTTTAAGAGGCCCTAATAAATAAGCAAGAGACTCTTAACGTTTCTGTAGGCAGTTTCTGCTGTATGAGTCAAGCAGGAGAACCCAATCAGACCCAACACTGTTCATAGAAAGTAAACTGAAGCAGTGCAGAAAAGCTGCTTTCTAACACCACGCAGTGCTGGGCAGTGCTATTAAGTTACCTTAGCATAGGCTGGGAGGTTTATTCCTCTGCCTCTATCGGTTCAGCTTCTAGTTCTTTCAATGCTATTCCTGCCTTCTGGATCTCGTGTTTTCCTGTTCCTTCTCTTCCACGCAAGCCATCCTAGTCGTGTCCAGCCTTTAAGTGCATAAAGCGATGCCTTGTAGGCAGCTTTACTTCTCAAACAAGCAGACCGCACTCTCATTGAAGAGGATGAGATGCAGGGAGCCTGTGTGAGCACAGAGCCTGACCTTCAACATGCTCACAGCTCCCTGCAGTCACCTTCTTTTAATACGCTGTGCAAACTAAAGGGGTTTTTAATCGTTATTGCTTAAAAGGCAAATTACCTCTCCAACCGCCAGCGCCTCGCTTCCTCCCTTAATCACTCTCACGACGAGGAATTCGAGTAAATTAGCACTCAATTAACACCTGCCATGTAGATTTAGTTCACAAACAGGAGCTGATGTTTGAATACAAACACGAAGTGTGGATTAACTCCTGAAGCTCAGCTCTGCTTTAAGACCCATCAGTGCAGCAAAGGGAGGCAACTGAGGGACCCCGTGCAGCCCCGCTATGGGATGGGGGGTTTAAATAATAGTGTGTATGTTGGGCAAGAGCTGCTAAAGTATAATTAAGATAAATTAACATTATAGTTGTTTAAGTAAGATGTAATTAAGCATTGGGGCCCTTGATTAAAGGGATACAAATCACCTGACTTGCCAGCCAGCAGGATCTGCTGCTGTTCGGGTGAAAACACCACAGTTGCATCTTTTAATCCTAGAATGGTTTGTGTTGGAGGGGACCTTAAAGCTCATCCAGTTCCAACCCCTGCCATGGGCAGGGACACCTTCCACTGGAGCAGCTTGCTCCAAGCCCCTGTGTCCAACCTGGCCTTGAACACTGCCAGGGATGGGGCAGCCACAGCTTCTCTGGGCACCCTGTGCCAGCGCCTCAGCACCCTCAAAGGGAAGCATTGTTTCCTAACATCTCACCTAAATATCCCCTCTTTCGGGTTAAATCCGTTTCCCTTGTCCTGTCCCTACATGCCCTTGTAAAAAGCCCCTCTCCAGATTTCTTGTAGTCCCTTTAGGTATCGGAAGACTGTTACAAGGTCTCCTCAGAGCCTTCTTCAAGTTGAACAAGCCCAGATGTCTCAGCCTGTCTCCAGAGCGGAGGTGCTCTCTGAGCATCCTCATGGCCTCCTCTGGACTCACTCCAACAGGTCTGAGTAATCCAAGTAAATATCTGCAATAATATACACAAACAGCAGCATAATCCCATAATATTTACCACCAAATGTATTTTATTTGCATTACCCCGTTTATGACCCTTCAGACAGATCCACCGGCACTGCCGCCGCTCTGATGAAGCAGAGGTGCGGGCAGCACCAGGCTTGGCCGGGTCTGCTGCTGGGTGGTTGTTTAGATTTACCTCTGCCTTTCAAGTGTTGCCTTTAACCACGCAGCCTTACAAGCAGCAGCAGAGCAGCGTCACTGCAGAGGTAGCTAACTAGCAAATGGATTAAAACAGGAATTCCAGTGAGATAACGAAGCGGGATTTACGGACGCGTCCTCGTTGCTGCCCCGTTCGGAGCAGCCGGGACTTCTCTGTCCTATAGCTCTCCCCTGCTCCAGTTCCCCTCGGGGCCGTCCGGGCACCGAGACCCCTTCGCTTCCCCTTGGTGCGGGGAGAGACCCGAGGGTGCGGGATCGGGTCCTGCTGCTCCGGCGGGGGCCGGACGGGTGATCACTGACCGGGGGCACCTGCCAAGCCCCGCTCCCACCCCTCGGGGACGGGAGACTCTTATTCTGACAGCGGTGACGGGCAGCGCGGTGCCACCCGCGGGCAGCGCATTAAAGCCGCGGCCGCGCTGCGGGGCCCCGTCCCGTTCCTCCCTCCCTCCCTCCCTCCGGTCGCAGCCCGGTGACAGCACCCAGGCGGTAGGTAAGGGGCTGCGGCTGGGGGGGGTCAGCGTCACCTTGCGCTCCGGAGCCGGTTAGGGAGCCGGAGTGAGATGGTGATGAGCGGGGGGCACCGTCGGGGCGGCGGTGGCAAAGGGAACGTGGGAGGCAACCATGGGGAAAAAGCGGTTTGCTGTTGTTACCGGTTGTTTTCGACTCGCAAGGTCAAAAGTCTCCTTGGATTTATGGCGTTTCTCCAGCCCAAATCAAGGTGGGATGATCTGAAGAACTTCCTCCTTGCTGTGAACTAGTGAATCTGTGCACTCCTCTAAGTGCAGAACAAAGCGATTCTAGAGAGCAAAGCGTTGGTTTCTGTGCACAGCCCGGAGGTTAAATGAATGGATCTGTGCACAGTTAACAATATAAAATGGTACCAAACCAAGATCCAACAAGTTTTTCTGCATCAGCAAACATGAGCATATTGTGGATGTGCTCCTAAAATTTAAGCCAGCTTCAGATTCCACGAGCAAACCAAGGGGAAAGTCAGGGAATTTTTAGTAGAAAAGCTCTATTTCTGTGCAGTCAATTCACAATGTATGTTCACAATTACCTTTAGGAAGTGAAAGCTCTGAAGCTTTAAAAGGAGACTGATGTCTTCAGTCATCTCCCCCCCACGGGAATTTATGACCCCGCGGAGCCCTTCCTGAGCTCGGCAAGGATAGGGATACAATATACAGGGTATATATAGCAGTGAAACAGCTGAGCTCACTGGGGCAAGATTGCCATTTTTTCCAGCACATGTAACTGTGTGGGTTTATGGTCTTGCTTTTTATTAGCAGCTTTACGTTTATTCTGGGGGTTATTTAGTTATCCTGGAGCTCAAGTTCAGTTCTGATCAGACTTGCTCAGTTCTCTCTAGTGAAGCTTTCCTGGGTTTTTGAGTTGATGGAAAACCTGGGGGTAGATATTAAGGACATGCAGAATAACTACAGGAGCTCCAAGCATCTTGGCTTGCCCTATTTTATCCTGCAACTATGTCACGCTGGCAATTATTAGCCCTAACAGCAAATCTGGACAAGCACAATCCTTGGCATTCCAATGCCAAATATGAATTGGGTATAAAAAGCCGTGAATTCAAAACCCATTAGAGAAGAAATGAGAATACAGGTTTAGGCTTAAGAGTGGAACTGGTTTTATGCTTTCCTATGGCATAAGGAGTTTCTCAGTACAATGGCCAATTCTCTGAGCACATGTAGTATTTTGACAGGGCACAAAGCTGTGTGAGCCAGAGATCTTTAGTTAAGAGGATACATGGCAAAATACCCTGCTTAGCAGTAGTACCTACAGTCATCTATAGTGTTATGAAGGTGTGGGTCCTCTCAATAAACCCATTGCTGTTTCCTTTACTGGGCTCTTGCAGATAAGAGCCCTGCACCCGAGTCAGAGTGCATGACCTGGTATTGGAATCCAAAATGTTCATACAGTCCTGGAATAGTTCTCGTCAATCCTAAATCTCTTCATTTTAAGCTCAAGCTTTAATTGTCTGAACTTCCTCCACTTTGGATTGCTCATGACTGCTCACAACACAGTATTTTTGTGGTTCAGATGGTGATGTGCGATTTATTTTATCTGTATTGTCTTCCTTAAGGGAAAATCCACACCAAGAAAGCCTCTATTCTGCAAGGCAAGGGTTCCATTCTATCCAGGAGCCCAGCCAAGACAGCTTTCGTGGCCTACCACCTAGTTTTTACCAGGCACCCATCCAAAGCCAGTTATCACCAACAAAAACCCAGGACAGCCGCGAAACCTCTCCTATGAGTGTCCCTAATTTCCCATCCGTTTCCTCTATGTGTCAACCAACCATGTTTAACTACGAGCGTCCAAAACACTTTATCCAGTCTAAGAATGTGTGCCAAGGGCAACAGCAGCCTCCGGGACCCGCAGCCTCTACCGAGTCAAGCAGACAACTCAAACAATCCTCCATCCTAATACAGCCGCGTAACCCCAGCGGGCAGAAATTCTCCTCCTCGTCATCGCTGAGCTCTTCAATCACGCTCTCCTCGCCCTCCTGTAGTGCCCCTAAGGAATCCACATATCCCGTCACTCCTGCATCCGCGCAGTCTCCTGCTAGCTCCTCATCCGGGCAACGGCTTATATCCATGCCTAACCAACCCCCCGCAGCATTCCTGTGCTCAGTGCTACCCTCGCAGCCCGACTATAACAGCCAAACTCCTTCTCCTATGGAACCTCAGTAAGTATATACAGGCTTCTAACCTCCCCTTGCTTTCCTCTGGCCTGGCCTCTCCTGTGCACTGACCATCCCAAATCCAACCATCTGGTGAAGCGCCGGCTTGGCCGAAGCCAATGGTACAACCCCCATTGACTTCTGATGTTTGAGGGAGGACTCTGCATGATTCGGGTTAGGAGGCTGAGTGCTTGCCCTTGGTGTCTGTGTGGGACAGATGGGTATCCGACCAGGAATTAAACTGCACAGCAGTCATGTCAGGGGCTGCTGGGCAGCTTTTCTGGAGTCAGTTTGAACAGTTCAGTTTGATTTGATGTAAAACTCTTATTTAAGGGTATTCACAAGAGGATGGACACCCATCTCAAATGAGTTTCTCTCAGCAAACATGGCTCATGGATGGGGATGGAGGGGGGAAGGCAGTAGTAATCCCACATCTAACCAAGGTTCCTAGTAAGTCTCAGCAGTACCTTCATGTTCCACATCATGATGGGACTCTACACTCTCCTACAGTACAGTTTTCATTAATCATAACAGGAAGGCGGCCACATGAAAACTTTACCCCTTCAGACCAAAGCCTAAATTCTTTCCTGAAGATGTATTATATCATTTTTCATTTGGGCTGCAATCCAAATATCTTCCAAGGTCAATGAGATGTCAGAGGGAGCTGGGTCTTGCCTTCTCACCAACTTGTATTCCTGCCAATATTAGCTGGAAGTCCTGCAGAAAGTCAGTGTGGAACACACCACGCTCAACTGAGGATGTTAGAAAGGTGATAGGGGCTGGGGTCCTGCTGGCTTGGGTATAAATCCAGGTTTAAGAGCCAGTTTGTGGCCAGGGAATCTGAACGTTTGTGGGATTTCTTTGAATCACAGTATTGTGCACAGCGGAAAGGTAAGGCTGAGTGCGCTGTTGCTTAATAGTACTGCAGGAGTGTGTGGGGTTAGTTATGCATCTGGAGTAACTGCTGGGTTCTGTGTGTAGTGTGGGGCTGTTTTCATAGCAAAGAGCTTTAGTGCCTCATTGTGCTTTTCATATCAGCTGTTCTTCAACACAGCATCCTGTGAGTTGAGGAATTATTTTCCTAATCATGCTCCACATTGTCAGATGGGGACAGGAGATGCATTAATCTGTTGGGCAAATTATTAATGTTTTAAAGTTATAACATGGGCAAGTTATTGAGTCCAAACAGTGCTGGGAATACATACCAGAATTATAACTTGAATAGTATGATGATGGTATCGTATTTCAATGATAATTGAATAGAAATAATTGTTGAACACAACTGCAGCATCAGGGCCATGCTGTGTGTAGCAAACCAGGTTGGACCCTGTCAGCACAGAGTGCTCTGACCTCGAGCAGATGTATTTTGAAGGATGTTCCTCCTTTCCTAGCACCTTTCAGGATCAAGTCTATTATCTAACTCCAAAACTTGACCGTGTCTCTTGAATATGGATTACAGGACAGGGCTATGTGATGGGGTCCTAAAGACCCAGCCTGGTTTAGAGTAAGCCCAGCTATTGACCATCTGGACAGAAATGCTATGGAAAGTAGCTTTCTGGGGCCAAGAGGAAGAGGACAACTAATAAGCTATTTGCTCATGCCCAGTCTAGCAGTTTGTGACCTTGTTGAGGATTTGCAGCACCAGGGCCTTACCAACAATGGTAATTGCAAAGGAATGCAGTTTCCAAGCAAGAACTTGCTCCCAAATGGGCCACATTGCTAGCGCACATCTAAGGCCTGGCAGGGGCCACTGCAGGGTGTAGGGATGCTGAACAGCCACCCACAGCAAACTGCTGCGAGTGCTGTGGGAGGAACTCAGTGACTTGGTTCGACCATGATGTTTCCCCTTTTGATACCCCGTTATGCCACCCAGCCTACCTATCTCCCAAATGCTTTACGTGTTCATTTGAACTACAGTTTCTAGATAGCAGGTTCATCTTGCGTGCGTTCTGTGAAGCTGTCAGGCAGGCCTACAGAAATAACTTTGTTTTCTCTTCCTGCATGAGCAGTTACTCACAACCAATGTATAACAAACAAGCTAGCATCAACTCTATGCAGAAGACTTCAGACCATGAAATTCGAGGAACAAAAGAGGCCCTCATTCAGGACTTGGAAAAGAAACTCCGATGCAAAGACAACCTTCTCCAGAATGGCAACCAGGTAAGGGAAACCTGCTGAGGGAAGAACCAGCTTCCTCTGACTCTTGGTAGCGCAAGCAGGGATGCGGAGAATAGTTCTAGTGCCCAGGGGCACTCCAAACTGAGCAGAAAGCAGAAGGAAACACTGGAGCAACTCTGCCCAAACACTGAATGAATGGCAAGAGATGGTTGCTGTAAATCTGTCCGTAGGCATGTACTGTGGCAACTGAATGTCTGCATCTCCCATGACATCAGAAAGGGATGTGTTAACTTCTGAAAGCCATCTGATACAGCAAGATGGGTTTAATCTGCTATTGCCTTTCCTCTTATCCTACCTTCTTGGCTAGCACACACCATTCAAGCTGTCTTTGAATTTGTGCAATCAAATCAATAAGGCCAGGATTGGGAGAAAGGTACCTGTTTAGAGCCATGGTATGAACTTGAACTCTGCTGGTGATTCTGCTGGGCATCACATCTGCAGACTAGAAACCCAAGGAGAATCCCTCAGTTCTCCAGACACCATCTCACCCTGGCTTTCTGTGCTGGGGTTAATAAACCACCCAGAATCATTAGACACTTAGAGAAGTACCAATATTTGAAAGCTCATTCTAGAGACCATCACCACATGTGGTAAACCTCTTTGCTTGGTTTTTATATGAACAGAAAATCAAAGAAATTACATGAGCTTTCATCATCAAATCTTGTCTCCTATAAGAAGGACTCTTAGTCTCACTACCTACTTATTTGTTCTGCAAAGGGGAAAAATGCAATCCCCTTTACCAAGAAATCCAACTCTAGGAGAAAAAATTGCTTACCAGTAGGGAAGCCCATAACAACAAGCTAAAGTGAGCAGGTCTCTAATGTGGGAACCTTCCTGCTGGCTGGAGGCAGACAGGTAAAAGCCCAGTGTTTATAGTTTCCATCTTCTTTTCCCTGGAATATAAAAGAGTTTTTCCATTACCACCAGCAGGAACAGGTTTGTGTCACATATATTACTTTAAACATTGAAGGAAAAAGAATATATGAGGTCAAATCTGACTTAATGTGTCCTTACCAGGAACGTCCTATCTGCTGTAAGAAAGCCTGCCATTGCAAGCCAGCTTTTCTTCCCATAGGAAGCCAGGCTAAAAATAAGGCTTATGCAATTGCTGTGCTGTGTCCTCCTCCCCTTGTCCTCCAACAACGCCTGAACCAACTGGCCAATCTCAGCCACACTTGATACAGCCACAATGACCTCGGGGATATTAAGCTCTCATAGGTTTTCCAAGAGCTCTCTCATTCTCTTCTAAAGAAAAGTCCCAGAAGCCTCCTTAAACCTTTACCTACCCAGTAGTAGCTACACACACGTCCCATACACAGAGCAGAAACCCAGTGAGAGCTTGTCCTTGCATCACAAAATCAAACCCAAGGTAAACCTTGTGGGAAGTGAAGAATCAGGTGCTCTGGTGCTCAGGGGACTGATGGGCTCTTCTAAAATAACCCAGATGACAGAACTTGAATTTAACCCCTCTCATATTTATCCCTATGTGCTGCATCCATATTATAGGAACTTATTGTTCCTACTGAAACATGTTCTTGCCTTCTCTCAGCATTCCATCAGGGGCTGTTGCACTGGCATAAGCTTCCCTTGTGCTCTCAGGGGTAGTGGTGCTCCCCTCTGGCTATGTCTGCTGCTAGTGTGGCTCTTGCTTTACTGGGGCTATGTGAGATAGCATCCATCATGGCTCTAGCTCCTGAAGTAAATCCACAGCTGAATGACTTGGAAAGTTTTCCCAGCTCTAACAGAATGGTACCCTGGGACTTACTCTGGCTTCTGAGATAATGCCATCAGTTACCCATAAATAATCACAGTGGAGAAAGAGGAGGGGTGGAAGGCCACAGATGGCATTAGAGAGGCTTTGATGAACAGGCAGTTTAATCTTTGATGCATTTCAGTGCTGTATATATTGAGGCTGACTTCAGCAGGCATCACAGACTGCAAACCCTCTGGAACAGACGGGGGGGTTCTATTCAGCCACTGCTCCCATTGACAACACCCTGAATTTGTGGCATATTAATACGTTCTTACAAGCTGACCTGAAATAGGGAATGGACTTCTGACTAGAACTCCTCTCCACTCTGCTTGAAGCGATTAACTTATGAAGAACGAATGGCTCGCAGGCTGCTCGGACCAGTAAATGCTGCATCCGTGTTGGAAACACAAAGTGAAGACAACATGCAGAACGCACAGGTAAAAGGGGACCTGTCTCTAGAACAGTGATTTCCTGGTGATTGTGCTGTGGCTTGCTTGGACCTGAGCAGGGCAGAGAGATGGGGTTTATCCAGTGCAGCAGATGGAAGGGGACTGCTCTCACTTTAGGGGGTTTTTTTTGGGTGGTAGTGGCAGGAGGAGGGAATTTAAACACCATCCCCTTGCTGGGCCTGATCTGTAGGAATAACCTCACCAAGGAAGAATTACAACAGCTGCTGCACAGCACTGTGGGGTGACAGGCAGGGAGCAGCACAGCGAGTGATACAGGTACCAACTCTAACAGCCTGAGTTCAGGCAGGGCCAGGGCAGCAAGATTTACACCTGTCACTGCTCGGAGCAAGTGACATTCACTACATGAGGTCAGGGCCTTGGGGTGGGATCAGTTGAGTTTTAGCCCCTCCAGGGGCCTGCATTCATTAAGAGGAAGCAAAGCAGTTATTTTAGCAGCCCACACGCTGACAGAAGAGAATCTATCACTCCTGGCATCTTCAAAAGCATCTTAGTTGGAGACTTGCATCACTCATTGGTTATTCAGGCTAGTTAAAAGCTCTCTTTGGCACTCCTGTGATCAAAGTTAGTGGAAATGTCTGTGATGTGTGCACCTGTGCAGCCAAAGAAAACATCCTTCCTGCTGCGTGCCCATAGAGCCAGCAGCCTGGCACGCACCTTCCAAAGTGTGGTTAGCAAAACTCTTCCCTAGAAGAAACACTTAAGATCACAGCAAGGGAGGAATACGGCATTTGAGCTATTTATCCCCAGCAATCACCTGACAAGAGTAGGTAAGAAGGGAACATTACGGATGTCAGAGCAAGGAAAGCCCTATCTTTTGCAGAGAACAAGGAAACAGTCAGTCAAAACAGGGTAACTGACAGCTTTTAGGATGTGTGAAATGCTGCATAAAAAGGAGCACTGGGAGATGGGGAGACCTTATTCCCATTGTTCAGTCTTATTTTTTAAATACTGTAGTCACTGATGCATCACTCAGCTTCCTGATTCCTCAGGAACTTAACTACACACTCAGTCCATATAATAGAGCATTAAAATTAGCAGCAGCTCCATCACTACAGCATCATCTCATAAGACAAGTAATTGTACAGAACTTGTGTAAATGAGCAGATACAAGCAATTGCCTTTGCTTGAGTTCAGTCCAGCAAACCCCTCATTCACATAAATGCTTCCCCTGAACTTCAGGCTGCTTCTGTGCTTGAAGCTTAAACCCTGGCTTAAATGTTCTACAGAACTAGACTGCAAGCACAGAACCAAGCATCATAATGGCTAATTGCAAACACATCAGAAACTTCTATGCAGCATCTCCTCTGACTCCATTGCTAAAAGGAGTCACTGGTAATAAACTGCATTTCCAGACGTGTAAGTTCCTAGCAGGGATCAGTCCTGGGTATGGAGCAGATTCACTCATGTGATGGTGGAGTTGTCAGCGAGCTTACTTGGTGCTGTGATCTAGAAAGAGAAAAATTTTCCAGCTCAGCATGTGTCCATTGCTCTTGGTACCATATTTAAGTGGGCGCAATACAGTGCTCTTGCCAGCGATTCCACTTCTATTCCTGCTATAGGGAAGGACACTCTGTACTTTGCTCTCATTTTAGATACTGCTGGTAGTACTATTCCCCTCTAACAAAGGTTATTGGCACACAAGGCCTTTGGCCAGCCAAACAAAAGCTGCTGCACCTATCACCTGTGCAGAGTGATGAGGAGTTGTGCCATCCTATTAATAGTACTTGTTACTGTCATAGCAAAGCTAAGGGTGAAAGCAGTGTATTAGCTCCTGATGCGAGTTCCTCTACCTCTTATCCCGATGACTCCTGAAGAATTCACTTTGCTTTTAAGCAGCAATCAGTACATGACATTAAAATGGCTTCTTGTTCAGTCTATAGATAAAACTTTCTGTGTTAACTCACCTCTTCCTCTCCTCTTTCCAAACACCAGAACGCAGAAAACATCAGACTGCAGATTCCTACAACACACGTAAGGTAATGCATAAACTATGTAAGAGTTGCTGTGCTACACCTCAAGACCTTATTTCAACTGTTTGTAGACAATGTTGGTTTTATTTCACTACTTATCACCTTTTATAAAGTAGTAATTACAAAGTCCCTTTCTTCTTTTCAACAAAAACTCTACCATTTATGATGCCTTTGATCTTAATCCAGTCAATTCTAAGTATAACACTGGAGGTTTAAAGGCTCAGTGTACCTAGGGCAAATATGCTTCGTATTCTGGAAGATTACTCTCTAGTCACAGCAAGGTCTGACAATATAAATGCTGAAACACAGCCTTGTAAGTTCTTTTGGATATTAGGCCAAAGATGAAGGCTTCATCGGTCTTGTTTCTGTGTTGAACAACTTGAGCAAGATAAGTGGTTATCAAAGCCCATGCCTTCCAGCTGAAAACCAAACCAGAACCGTAGTGTTGGACTCCTGAACGTGTTGAGGGACGTCAACTGCAGTCAGTGTTTTATGTCATTCGTGCTGTGGTAACTTGTACACAACCAGCTTTTCCTGCCCACTTTTCAGGAGCAGACCATCCTCAAGAGGAGATGAACGTGGACACGACTCAATCCAGGAGAAGTTTTTCCAGCCACGTTTTACGCAAGTGCCTGAAGACGTGATTATTGAGGAGGGGCGATTCTGCAGGCTCGACTTCAAAGTAATGCCAGCCTTTCCCTTGCAGTCCCATTAGCTCTGTGGGGTGTGTGGCACGGAAGGGTCTCTGGATGGCAGTGCCTATGCACGTTTGCAAGCCAGAACACTGATGGCAAATGGTACAATGTCTCTCCAGGCAGTGTAAACCTAGAAACAGGAGATGGTGAAATGTTTTCCCCTTGGAAGATGTAAATGCAATGAGTTGCATGAGAATATGGTTAAAGTTAAGAGTGGTAAATACAGCCCACCACCTTCTCTGAGGTAACTGTGCCCTTGTTGGAGCAGATAATCTGGCAAGAGAATGCCCTAATTACAAACAGACAAAATGGCCTGAAGCTGCACGGCCATTGTCCCAACCCTAGGGTAAGAAAGAGCCTAGATCTGCGCATGCAACTTCACTGCAAAGGCTGTTTGCTGGTTGTGGTTTGGCTTGGTTTCCCTTAATCACTTCCAATCTCTTTCCTTAAGTAAACTCTTGCCAGACTTGGCATTTTGCTGCAAATTGCTTAACTTCTGAATGTTGTGGACAACCTGCAGCATGTCTTATTTACATCTATTATCAAAAGAGTGTGATATCAGCACTGCTGACAGTGAGAGCTGTGGCATCAAGAGGGAGAGTTTCCCCTTCTACGAACCCACAATGAGTACCTGGCTAATCAAAGCTACCTTACAAGATGGGTCAGGGGGTTGTAGGAGCAGCCTCTATCGTCTTGAAGCTAAAGCTCATCTTTCCACAGCACTTCAGAAGCCTTCCTCTCTGTGCAGCTCCACGTTAATATTCAAAAGTAGGCAAGACTGTAAAATTTTGTGGTAGGATCAATGATTTGATCATTTATGGGCATCAAAATCCCCATAACATTGAAGAGCTTTTATAGTCCAAAACCTGTTTTAACTCTTCACTGCTTTTCTCTCCTTCACAGGTCAGTGGGCTGCCAACTCCAGATGTGATGTGGTATCAGAATGGAAGGATGGTTCATCAAGATCAGTTCCATAAAATGATAGTGTCAGAAAAGGGATTCCACTCATTTATTTTTGAGGCAGTCAAGTCCTCTGATGCAGGGACATACGAATGTGTGGCTGTAAACCGTGCAGGAGAAGCATCTTTCGCAGTGAAAGTGGAAGTCATTGGTAAGACTGAGAGCACTGATAACTACCTGACCACACGTGGCAAATCTCAGTAGTCTAATGCTTTCCTCCATGCATTTGGAACATAAACCAATTAAGAAGCAGAGCTAGATCTCTATATATTCAGTCTCAAATGACAGCAAACCCCTTACCTTTTCCAAGACTGTTTTAAAACATACATCCAGGATGCCATATTTCTTCAAATCCCTTTTGGTGGGACATTTAGATGTAGTGGGATGTCCAGAATTTGGGAGCTGTTAATCTCCCAAGACGAATAACCTATGTTGACTGACTCTCCTCCTAAACTGGATTGTGTCTACTATACCCTTATGCTCATGGGAATTGCCTGTATGCTAAGGAGACGCAGTAAGGAACATGTGCCCCACTGAATTAACATTCTGATATCTTAAAAACCAAGCCTGACATTAGCATTCAGTACTTACAGTAACTCCTCTTTATCTTCTTTAATTTAGCCAAAGAACACCACACGCCGCCAACTTTCATCTTCAAGCCACAAAGCAAAAAGGTTTTTGAAGGAGATACAGCCAGACTGGAATGCCAGATCTCTGCTATCCCAACACCCAGGATTTACTGGAAAAGAAACAACGAAATGGTACAATATAATACAGACCGAATAAGGTATCCCACTAATGAGTTGGTGTGTTAGAAAACAATAACCAGTATTTGTTAAGCCGAAATTGGCTGGTTTTAAATGTAGCAAGCTGGAAAGCTAGATCTGTCCCTTGTTTATGACACACAGAGACCAGGACCATAAGTCTTGGTTTTGAGGGCACAGAGAGAAAACTGTGACCAGATGCCACACTGAATTCTAGCAGCAGTTACAAGGCCCACGCAGAAGCCTGGCCTTAGGATTGAACCATGCAATGCATCCGTCATGTGCTGATGCAATGGGGCTACAGAAGGGCCTTGATGCTACATGATACGATTCACATGATGTCAATCACACATTGGTTTGGGTTGGAACAGACCTTCAAGCTCATCCAGTTCCAACCCCTGCACAGGCAGGGACACCTTCCAGTAGAGCAGGTTGCTCCAAGCCCCGTCCAACCTGGCCTGGCATCACTAGTAGCTTACAATACAAATGCAGTGTTGAAGTCTAAATAGCCCTGCAAGAATCATTCTAGGACTTGCTCAGTTCCTCAGCATGTAAGCTGTCTCTCTGATTTCAATGTCTTCTCTCCTTATGCGGCACTTACACAAACACCTTCACTTTTCAGCTTGTTACATGACAACACTGGAAGGATTTGCCTCCTGATTCATAATGCAAACAAGAAAGATGCTGGTTGGTACACTGTGTCTGCTGTCAATGGAGCAGGAGTGGCCACATGCCATGCGAGGCTAGAGGTTGCAAGTAAGTACCACATCACAGTGCCACAACCACAACTGAAACTGCCCCTGGCATTCAGAGCAGACCCTCAAGGTGAACCTAATGAAGCTTAGAGTGCTGGGAGGATTGCTTTCCAAAGATAGTGACCCAGACAAAGTGTAACTCTCAGGAAATCTCTTTTGCTGAGTGTCAGGACACTGTGATGTGTCCTTTGAACGCTGTCTGTTATCTGCACTGTTTAAAGACTACAGTTTGATGCCAAGAAGGAGGGTGAATATAAATCTCTGGTGTCTGAGATATGGGCTTGGTCTGTTAAATTCTTCCTAAGGGTTTGCCAGTTTATGCTGCAGATAAAAAGGAACTGGGTTGCTCTGCCCCAAGACTTTCCACAGACACTGAAGGAGGTTTTTTTCTCTCTTCCAGCACACACAAACAAGCCACTTCCAGCCCCAAAGCAGTTACGGGTCCGACCAACTTTCAGCAAGTATTTGGCACTTAATGGAAGAGGACTGGATGTGAAACAAGCTTTCTCACCAGAAGGAGAGTTTCAGCGGTTGGCTGAGCAGTCGGGACTGTATGAAAGTGATGAACTTTAACTGGAAGAGGAGATCTCACACCTGTAAGAGACAATTACAACATAGATGCAGTTAACTGGTGATTGCCCTCATTAGCAAAATACCTATCTACAGATTTCTACTTTCTCGCACATTCAGCTCTTCCCCTTTTACCATGTTAGAGTTTATTTATATGGTTTGGTGACTGTAACCATTTACTGAGGATTGTATTTGAACTATAAAGCCTAAGAAAGCAGGCTAACTAGCTTGTACGAGCGCGGGTGGGTTTAGGTCTACCTGTACTTGGTTACATGCTGAAGTAGGTTGGTTTGTACTGCTGCTCTAATATCACTCTTGATCGTATCAGAAGTCTGTGCTGTCTGAATACTAAACCCAAATAGATTAGAGTGTTTTTATGAGAATAAATTAGAGGCAAATAAACCTTTGAGTAGCCAACATCAGCCGTGAGTCTTCCTTGATCTGTTAAAACCAGCTTGCATGTGTCTAGCATCAGCTGCAGCCTGGCAAAGGTAGATTTTTACCCTCTAAAGTCTGCCACTGCTTCCCTCCCCTCTCTGCTCCCCCCGTTGTTTCTCTTCTAACACCTATAAACTAGATGCTGGCACTCCCTTACCACTAAACCATGTCAATGAGGCACCATTAATCCTCTTTCTCCTCGCACACTTGACCTGAAAGCTGCCCTGCATCATCTGAAGCTTTAAAGCTATGTTTTCCCTCCTTGCTCCGTTAATCAAGGCTGTGACTTACCTGACTGTTGACTCTCAACAACCTATTGCTTTGGATCCTCCAAATGGTTTGTGCGGTGCTATTCACAGCCACCTTGCTCAGAATGACAACCATAAACACCATGAAATGCGATTTTGCCCACTCCACCAAGCCTGATCTCTGAAGATTTTTCCACTGTACTTCCTAAAAGGACACGGCTGAGGGTGGAACGAGCTCCTGGGGGTTGCGCAGCAGCACTGCTGCTTGTCAGCAAGCCCCACAGCATCTTCCAGCATGGAAAAAATGAAGCCTCCGCTTCCCCACAGCACTGCAGTGCCGTTAAATAAACCCCCAGCTCTGAACAGCGCGATGCTATTAAACTGCTCACAAAACACAACAGCTCTATCCCCATCCTTCATCTTCCCCCCCTGGGCTGCCCGGGCAATGAAATACACTGAAGTAAGTCCTGCAGTGGGTCTGAGCTGATCACACAGATCGATACCCCATTACCCGTGTGAGTGCTTCTTGTGAGCATGAAGATGCCGCACTGCTTGGACCAGAGCCCGGCACCAGCGCTGAGCGGCAGCATCCCGGCCGGGAGCCCTCGGCGCTGCGTTGCCGTACATTTAATCGCCGATCTCCCGTGCTCCCTGCGCTCGGCTCGGTTTAACCGGTCACAGCCACCGGTTAATCCTGCCCGACGGGCGCGGGCTCTGCCTGGCACCGCTGCCTGCGGGACGGACCCGAACCGAAACACAGCACCGCGAGCAGCGGCCCCCGACGGCGGGGAATGCTCCCACCGCCGCCCGTTGAGGCTCACACCGGGGAGCGCCGGGAGCCGGCCCAGCCCGGCCCGGCCGCCATGGAGCCCACGGCAGCGGCGGACCACAGGCTGCCCGCCCGCGGTGCGTCAGGCGGCCCCGCTGCCCTCCGGCCCGGCCCGGCCCGGCCCCGCTCCCTTCCCCTCAGGGCCGGGCCGCGGCCTGAGGGCCCCGTGCCCTGACCGCGCTCTGCCCCTGCCGGCCTTTCCCCAAGCAGGCACCCCGGAGGCCCAGGAGAAGGGCACCAGTGAGCAGGAGCTGAAGGACATGCTGCGGGAGCTGGTCACCTACGTGGTCTTCCTCATAGACCTCTGCATACGTAAGTCATCAAAGGGCTCGAGCCCTGCTGACAAGTCCCTACCGTGTGCGCTTTGCCTCTTCCCCTATCCCCTTTATCCACCCCAAAGCACCGCTTCAATCAAATCGCCTTTCTCTAGCAGATTGAGCTAGGGACAAGCGAAGCAAGGTTAGAAGCTGTCGTCATGCTCTCATTTTAGCCTGTGAGCATCCTTTCTTTGCGCCTTCTTTCCAGTGGCCTTCGGCATGGTGAGCGTAGACATGTACCACCTGAACACAGTCATGTCCCATCTCTTCATGGAGCCAGCTGAGGGCGAGAATGGTTTTGGGACCATTCGGAGCAAAGCTGACTTCTGGAAGGTAAGGCTTTTGTTACAGACAAGTGAGGAATCTCCTGGTGCTAATTCGGAGCAATACAGGCTCATGGAACTCAATGAACTTGAGGTCCTTTCCAACCCTAACCATTCTGTGGTTCTCCTAAAAGCTGTGTGATAGATGTTGTGTTTTCAGCACAAGAAAGGCAAATAACTCATTAAAATGCATTTGGACTGGGTGCAAAAACACATGAACACTGATACTTCTGATCAATCAGTCGAGGTAAACAACAGCCCAGTTAATTGCTGCATTATGTTCTCAGTGAAGCTTGAAAAGAGCTTCGATAAAACCAGATTTTGGGTTTACAGCTCTTTTGACTTTCAGCTGCTAAAACCAATGCAAGATGTCACAGCCCAGAAAGCCAACCGTATCCTGGGCTGCATCAAAAGGAGCATGACCAGCAGGTCGAAGGAGGTGATCCTGCCCCTCTGCTCTGCTCTTGTGAGACCTCACCTGGAGCATTGTGTGCAGTTCTGGTGTCCTCAACATAAAAAGGGCATGGAACTGTTGGAACAAGTCCAGAGGAGGCCACGAGGATGATCAGGGACTGGAGCACCTCCTGTATGAAGACAGGCTGAGGAAGTTGGGGCTGTTGAGCCTGGAGAAGAGAAGGCTGCGTGGAGACCTCAGAGCAGCCTTCCAGTATTTGAAGGGGGCCTATAGGGATGCTGGGGAGGGACTCTTCATTAGGGACTGTAGTGACAGGACAAGGGGTAACGGGTTAAAACTTAAACAGGGGAAGTTTAGATTGGATATAAGGAGGAAGTCCTTTCCTGTGAGGGTGCTGAAGCACTGGAATGGGTTGCCCAGGGAGGTTGTGAATGCTCCATCCCTGGCAGTGTTCAAGGCCAGGTTGGACGAAGCCTTGGGTGCCATGGTTTAGTGTGAGGTGTCCCTGCCATGGCAGGGGGTTGGAACTGGGTGATTTTAAGGTCCTTTCCAACCCTAACTATTCTGTGATTCTATGATTTCCAGTGTAAAACCACCTTGGCTCCCCTGCTTTGCTGTTACATTACCCTGTATTTCAGTGACAGTTGCAAAACACTTGTCTCTGTTTTCACTGCTAGATGGAGGACCTCCCAAAATGACCAGCATTGCCCAGCTGCCAGCAGGAGGCAAAGTTTCTCATCCCACTCTTCCTTACAAATGGAAATGCCTGGCTATAAGAATTCATTGGGAAGAATTGCGTTCCCTCTTAGCGTGGTGTCTGTAATTGCCAGTCCATCAAATAGGGAGCCTTTGCTATTACAGTGTGTTGGCTGATGCACTAGGCATGGTTGTAATGCGTGCTCAGATGGTCCCAAACCATGAGGGGGTGTTGTTTTGCACTCAGAATAATACTCCCCCCAAACTGAATCCTCTTTCTTGGCATCTAAGAAACACCCAGAAAAAGAGGGATTGCTTCTTCCCCACCTTCACAAATAAATACCTTCAGATGACTAAACCCCTAATGAGAAACATATTCCAAACCAGATCTGTCAGAGATTAAGATAACCAACAGATTTTGTTAAAACAACATACAGCGTTTGTGTTTAAACATATTTGTTTAGAATTCAGGAGAATTCTAAAGAGATGTTACAGTCCTGCCCTGAATAATGCCATTACACATCCCTAATAGAATTGCATAGGGAACAGAATTGACTCATAGCAAAAAGATGTAAATATATCGTATGTGTAAGACGGTACATTGGTGGGAGTTGTTTGTATTCTAGCTTAGACTCTGTAGCTATAAGTAACCTGGGAACCCAGTATTTGTGATTATTAGAGAAAATAGTAGAGATATCAGAGGTTTGTATGCTAAAGAGAGGAGCAATAGTGGTATTTAAATCTTCTTCTGAAACCCTAACCTCACTTGTACGTGCAGTTTGTACAGGGACCACTGTTGGATGGCCTCTACTGGGACAAATGGTACAACAACAAGACGTTACCCTTCCAGAACTACAGCCATATTTACTATGAGAACTTACTGTTAGGAGCAGTCCAGGTTCGACAGGTGAAAGTGCGCAACAACACGTGCTCCATCTACCCCTATTTCCGTAGCTTTTTAGACGGCTGTTACAGTGAGTACAGTTACCAAGCTGAAGACAGGTCTGACGATGCTCTAAGGAGCGAATCTGAGTAAGTCATCCTGCTCCAGTACAGAAATGCTTTTGGAAACCTAACCAAAGCCTTAATGCCACTACTGTTCACTCAGTCACAACTGTGCATGCAGTTAGCTGAGTTTTTCCTCTTGTTTTACATTGTGATAAATCATGGATTTGCTTTTGTGCCAGCATTATGGAGGGGAATTTAGCATGGGAAATGTAGAGCAGAGAGACAGGAAGAACTGGAAACAGCAAACCCAGTTCAGCAGAAGCACATGTTAGGGGGTCCATCTCCATTAACATCTCTGGAGAAATGCTCAGTTATATGAGGCTTGAATTTAAATCCCATGTTTATAAATTGGAATCATGCTAAAATGCTCTGAAAACAGAGCCAAAAGGCCTGCTTCACACACTTCATTTAGCATGAATTTAACACAATGGAAGAACCTGTGAACATGCCACAGGAACAATGAATTATGGAAACCAGAGATACTCCATTTGCCTACAAAGGTTTTAAGGTAATGAACTGACTGGCCCACATTGGGCAAAATCCAGATTCATAACCAATTGCTGTCTTGTGAATGCACTGAGCAGCTAAATATAATGCGAGTATCTTAAGGCCATATTCTTTATGTAAAGAAATGCATTGTTTAAAGAACCAGCAAGCATTGTATAAAATAAAAGGTGAAGCTTACTTCAGTCCAGGTTCCATAAACTGAGTCCTTTTTTTTCCCATTTCTGACCAGATGGAAATACACCCCAGCTGATTCATTTACCCTGTGGTATTTGGGAAATATGGGCTTGTATGGCAGTGGAGGGTATTTGTTCACCTTACCTAAATCGAAGCAGGAGAGCATAGAGAAGTTGGCCTCTCTGAAGCAGAACAACTGGCTCACTAGAGGAACCAGAGTTGTATTTATCGACTTCTCAACATACAACGCTAACCTAAACCTCTTCTGTGTGGTCAGGTGAGTTCTTACCTTTGCTACATGTGAAGTTCAGTTTACTGAGGCATGATGCTTTCATAAGGATGCAGGGGAAGGCTGGTCACCTCAGGCATATGCAGCCACGTTTCCCAGGTAGCAGCTGGCAAGACAGTAATCCATTAAGAACGCAGGAGTGCAGGGAGCAGACCCAGGTCCTTCCTTTCCATGTTTTTTTGTAGTAGAGGGTATCTGGTCCTTACAGCTGCTTGCTGCTGTCAGTTGGAAGGAATTTCATAGCCTTTCACAAGGTAAGAGACCGCATTAGTAGTCCTGTTGTCATCTTAGGGGAGGGAAAAGACTCAGGATACAGTGAACATTTGCTCTACTGAGGAACAGTACCTTACAAGAAGACCTTAGAGATGTAGGAGTTCCAGCAAGGTATTATGAATGTAGTAATGATTAGTATTAGAAAATAAAGGGCTGAGACGATTTGAAGGGATGGTAACTAACACCAGTCCCCAATTTTTTTCAGGTTGGTGGTAGAGTTCCCTGCCACAGGTGGTGCTTTCACCTCTATACATATCTACTCTGTGAAGCTCCTCAGATACATCACACGTTATGATTACTTCGTGGCTTCTTGTGAAATCATCTTTTGCCTCTTTATCATTACATTCATAATCCAGGAAGCTATAAAAATAGTGAAACTGAAACGGGAATATTTCAGAAGTGGTTGGAGCTGGCTGGATTTGATGCTGCTGATGGTGAGCTACCCCTTGACTTTCACCTCTGTGCTTGCCAGTGTAGGCTTGCACTGAATACACAGCAAACAAGCCAAACAGCCCAAATCTGTGTCGGGTTTAAGTCAGTCACCCAGTGTTCTGCACTGAAGAGGCCACATGGCCCACCATGGTTCAGCACATTGAACTCTTCTATCTTTGCTGGTAGCCTGCTGTGGCTCCACATCTTTCATACTTGCTATCCACCTTGTTTGAGCCTTCATCTTTGCAGGGCAGGGAAGCAGTAGCATGTAACAGAGCTAACATAGTAAATTAGAATGTATGCAGCATGTTAAATACCACAAGGCCAGAATTATCACAGTACCATTGCAATTGTTTTGGGCAATAAAGTCTTGTATATATGGATTATGACCAAAAAAGCTCAGGTTTTCCAAATCTACCCAAGGGCATGTTGAAATCAAAGTCTTCCCTATGCAAAATGATAGCCTGAAGGAGAAGGCACTTAACTGGACTTAAGTTTCACTGGCTTCTGCTTTCCTTCAGGTATCCATCCTTGCCATTGTCTTCAATATCTACAGCACTGTAGAAGTGTCCCTGCTAATGGGAGAGCTGCTCTCTGATGCCAATGTATATCCAGACTTCTATTTCCTTACATTCTGGCAAGTCCTTTACAACAATATGATTGCTGTCAACATTTTCTTTGCTTGGATAAAGGTATTGGCTCTTATTCCCTTTTTTGTACTTAAGAATCAGCATTCCTAAGCATAGCCTAAGTGTTCACTTGTACCTTTTCATGGGTGAATTGCAAAGGTGGGGCTAAAAGGGAGAATTTTGTTTATGAGATTCCAGAAGAGTTTAAAATTACCTCCTTCTCATAAACATGGTCACACAGATTCCAAGCCCATCTAGAAAGGAATTTTGCACATGGGCAGCTGTCTCCATTGGAGCAGCTGAGAAATGAGCATGGCCAAACAGCCTCCCCAAACTCAGTATTTTCCTAGACCCAATATGATCCAGGTCACAGCCTGATATATACAGATGGCATGGTTGTAATAGGTGGAGCTATTCATAGCTTTTGTAGCCAAAAGGAAGGCAAAATGTGTCCAAACTTGATTCAGCAGTGGTTTTGTGCCCACCTTTTGTTTCATTCTTGCAAACAGATTTGCTGATCTCTGGACAGAGTAGCAAACTGCTCCAAGATTAGGAGCTACTTTTGTTCCTAACCAGATGCTCTGGGGCTAAACCAGCCCTGCCTATTTGCCTGCCACTGCCCCATACCTGCTAAACCTTGTTGGCTCTGACTGGGCTCTGCTCCCCTTCCCCTTTTCCCAGCAGACAGCAGTGACTTGAGTTTGGGAGGCCTCAGTGTTCCCAGTGGCTGGATGAGGCTTCCCAAGGCCCTCTCTGCCCTAATGCATTTATAGAACATCCAGCACAATGCAGCTATGAAACGGGCAGGGGATGTGCTCACATCTGGCAGAGATCCCACTTTACAGTCATGTCCCAGGTACCTCAACGCAGGCTATTGTGAAAGGTCACATCCTTTTAAAATCAACAGGCTTTTGGCCTTCCTCCACCTCCCAGCCCGAACAGAAGCTGTTTGGGAGCACTGGCTGTTAACCAGTTCTGCGCACAGCCTTCCTCACTACATCCCTTCTGTACCCCAGCCCCTGCATTACCCTCCCTTCAGACTTCAGTCAGTAGCACAGCTGTGTTTATCATTAATGACTGTCATTGAACAAGGCTTGTTCAGGCCTTGTTTCAGACCCAAAGTAAAAGAGAGCTCCTTACCAATTCTGCAGACACAGGGGGGTGGAATGGCTTGTGGTCTCCTTGACCCGGGGTCCATACTGCTAGACCTGATCACACATATCAGTACCCAGCAAAGACCTAACATGCTGTTAGCTTTAGTATAGGCACGTATTTTCCCTGCAGAATATTCATCTTCTCCAGAAACACACCCAATCCTAGTGTGTTTGTAGATACATCCCATTTCTGGGTACAACTTAACCTGTAAATGATGATTATGGATAACATTCCAGAAATCCTGTTGAGAAATTGCCACACATTCTGATCCCCCAATAACAATATGTTCTGTTCTCTTGCAGGTACTTAAATATGTAAGGTTTAACAAAACAATGGGGCAGTTGTCCTCCACTTTATCTCGCTGTGCCAAAGACATCATTGGGTTTGCCGTCATGTTCTTCATTGTCTTCTTTGCCTATGCCCAGTTTGGCTACCTGGTCTTTGGGTCACAAGTTGAAGATTTTTCCACGTTCCAGAAATGCATGTATGTACTTTGCAAACTTTAGGATACAAACTGCTGCAGGCACAAACCAGCTTCTGCTAAGCAGAACTTAAAGAGTACAGGGCTCCAGCACTTCAGCTTATCTCATAGAGTAAACCCCTTTTTGATTCCCAAAGCCTTCCCGTGCTCAGAAAAGGCCATATGTGCATTAAACAATGCAGGGGAGCCACAGAAAGGGAAGCTCAGGAGCAGGTCACCCAATGGAGCCATTAGTCCCCCCCCAGCTCTCAGCTTTCCTGCATGTAACCAGCCCCTGGGTGATGGGGCAGGCCTGGCAGCAGGCTGCCTCTTTCACCCCTTTCAGAAGTAAGGGCATAAAGCCACTCAGCAGACACACTCAGAGCACAAGCTGAACACATCCACCTGCATGGCCAAGAGTCCCCGAATCCCATCTGCTGGCTCTGCTACTCGCTGTAGCATCATCATCAGATCAGCTCCAGGTACCAGATGGAGCTGGCTTTGATGGTCCTCACACTTTGTAGGGTCTCTAACCTGACACTCTCAGCAAGGCTTGAGTTTTACCCCACGGCTACGTTTCTTACAATTCAGAGATCTTTAGTGTAGCAGATTGTTTGAAAGCAGCTTTTAATGTAAAATTAAGGCACTTTGAAACCAGCAAACCAGCTTATTTTAGACCCACCTGGGTGTGAGATGGTTTTAAGATGCTGCAATACAGAGAAATAAGTATTTGCCTTCACTAGGAATAAAATCCCCTCTAGGGAGCATAGGGACCTATACTGATACCTTCTGTGCTAAGAGAAGGTGATGGATCATGAAGCCAGAACAGAAGGGAAATCATTAAAATAAGCCACATGACCTATCCAAAACGAAGGGATTTTCTCACACAAGCACACCAGGACAAATTCCTTTGTACTTTCAAATTCCCAAGTATATGCTAAATGGCATGTTATCACTGCTGTACTATCCTGACTCACCTATTGATTTCAGTGATGAAGGGAATGGTGAATCAGTCTCAGTTGTATCTCTTGCTTTGGGCTTCTTTGTTTGCTTGTTGATGCTTACAATGCTCCTCTTTAGGAGAAGCCAGTCAACCTCACCCTGGTACTTTTTACTCCCAGCTTCACACAGTTCCGTATTGTGCTGGGAGATTTTGATTTTGAAAACACAGAAGCAGTAAACAGAATCCTTGGACCCATTTACTTCATCTCATTCGTATTCTTTGTGTTCTTCATATTGCTGGTAAGGACTAGCTCAAAAATGCTTATCCTTTTGTATTAGCAGTAGAGAACTATCATGTAGTGCTCCGAGACAGCGGTTTTCAAACCAAGATGACCCCAGGCTTTGTCCTGGCTGCCCCTCAGGACACCTGGGCAGAGACAGCAGTCCTTGACATTTCACAGCTCTCCCTTTCTCCAAACTGCCACAAAAAGGGGCTTTTGCACCACAAAACAAGCACATTGAATGATGAGAATAATGTCACCAGATAATGTATCTGCATTGGGTGCATCTGCACTCAGAAAAGCTCAAGTCCATACATGCCCTAGCATGGAGCAGCCCCCAAACAACAGCCCCAGCATAATACAGATGCAGCTTCCAGAGACAAATGTCTAACTGCATTCTTCCTGTGCAGAACATGTTTTTGGCCATTATAAATAACACCTATTCGGAAGTCAAAGCAGACTACGATGTGATGCCCAGTCACAAGCTCCCCATCAGAGACCTCTTTAGACGTGTAAGTAAACACTTGTGTAACTACCTCATTTAATTCCAGACAGAAGGGGGAATTCTAAGCTACATCACTAGCAAAGAGCCTGAAACAGCTGGGCCATAACCATGCAAGAACACTCAAGTATTGATCTTCCACTTTAAGTAAAAGTTTGACAGATGCAGAGACATCCTTCTATCGAATCCCCAGGAGCTCCTAATGGCAAGAGCAGTGTATGAGTTAGGGTGCAAGGAGCCTACCTTTACTTCACCTTTTTAAAAGGAATATTTAAGAGCAGCCTGGTTTGTGATTATGTGCCATCATATTCTTCAGAGCTTACTGTTGCTTTTCTAAATGGAGACACTAAAGATCTTCTGTGCAGGGGAAGATGAGACAAGTGGAAATACTGGCCTTTAAAAATCCACAAAGTTCAGACCGTTTTTATGTGCCAGAAATGAGTATAAAATGGGAACAAATCTTTTCAGTGCAACTTGAATTCATGACCTCAGCCCAACAACATCACCAGCCCAGCTCAGATTCTCCCACCCAAGCTCATTCTCCTACTTACCAGGACTACAGTAAGATTAAACTGAATATGCCTGAAAACAGAAGCTTTTACTAGATTTGGTTGGCTATTACCTTCAGGGCTTTCATGACCAATTTGAGGGACGGCAGGGTAAGTTCTCCAAGTTGAGCTAAGGGAACAAAGAAAGCGATAGACTGGTAAGGTTTCTGTTGAACTGCCAAGGCAGTGCTGAGGGTTTGCTCCTTGTGCAAAATGTCTCTGGTTAAACACAAGCCATTTAACATTAATTCTGTCAATGTCCAGAGTTGTGATAATGCCCTTATCAAGCTCAAGCTGAAGAAACCTGAGGAAGACACACAACCAGCAGCAGAGAAGTTGGAAAGGTAGGACCTCAGTATTGGCTCTTACCCCCTGCACCGAGCACGGACCTGTTCTCACGGCACTTCTCTCTCTTCTCACCTGTTTGAATGACAAGCAAGGAATTACCATCCACTAGAAAGAAGCATGTTTCTAAGAGCGAAAAGGTAGGTTTTTTTCTTTCCTGTCTTCTTAGAAACTGATTATATTTCAAGGGGTTCAATAATACAAAAGGAGTCACAGTTGTCCTCACTGTTACTTACAAAAGCTATTTCTCCACAGGATGCTATTTTTAACAAAACAGGAATGGTAAAAGCTAGACCTATAAATAAAGAAAAATCCCTGATAATGTGCAACACTTCAAATGGGAGCCTGCTCAGGCAAGGTCATACACTGCAACAGCAGAGCTGGCCATAGGGTGGGATCAGTGTGGCTTAGCAATGGTATAAAGTTGTGAGCTGGGCATCTGCCCAAATGTTAAACAGAAACAGATGTATGGAAAACAAACAAGTTTCACATCAGTTGGTTGGGTCAGAGGCTGCATCTACAGTAAGAAGAAAGGTCACTGTAGCTTCTTTTTGCTTTACAAAAGGGTTTCTAATAGTTCCATATCTGGGGTAAGCCTGTGCAAGTACTTCCAAAACACTTTTAAAGCAGCTAACTTGCACAAGAGAGGGGAACCCCCTTGGCTCACTGTGAACACTGCCGCACACACTTGCCATCTCTCTGCACTCCACAAAGAAATGTGCATTCCTATAGCCTGTCTTTTTGGGAGGGCCAGGAGGAAAATCTACTTTCAGATAGAGAACAAAGCTGCACAGATCTTTTCCTTGCACAAGTGAGTATGTTACAAGTGTCCCAGTGAGCCACGCTGGCTTTGGCTAGGATTGCTATTTCTTTTTAATCCTTCTGCTGTCGTACAGAGCCCTTCGAAGGTATCAGAGCTACAGGCAAAGAAAGAAAGACATCAGATGATTTATGTGCCTGCTCAGAACATGGCCTCGGACCCAGATCAGGGCTATGTCACCATTGCAGATTTTCAGCAGTAAGTATGTGGGATCTCTTCTTGCACTCTTATTGCCATCCCCCAGCAGCTGCAGCCTTAGCTGAAACCCTCACCGGCTGACAACCTGGGAGACAGAAGACCAACATAAAGTCAGTGATTTTTAAACTATTTCAAGTCATTTTATACTGGCTGATAACAGCTGCCCTTAGGGAGGGAAAAAGGAAACAAAAGGATTTAGCAGAGCAGCTTGTAAAGACATAAGTCAAGAATGAGGTGGGACAAGAACATCTCCTTGTGGCTGCCCAGGAAGGGGGACGGGGACCATAGGACCTTGTACTTGTGAAGTGGCATTTCAGGACTTAGATCCTTGGCAGCTGACCCGAGTGAGCAAAAAGGCTGTAACTGCAAGTTGAAGAGCAGCACCATCTCAGGGATATGTGGCTGTGTTCGTGTGTTCTAGGCTCGTGAGTTACACAGCTGAATTGGGGAAGGAACTCAACACCACCAATGCAAGACTCAGGAGAATCATAAGAAACATGCAACAGCAGGATGCTGCAGGCAAGCCGACATGCTGAAACACTTGGCTGCTCAGCTGGTGACAGAGATGGCCCCAACTCGTCCCGGTTTAAATACATCCAAAGTTCCCATCCCCTTTATTTTGTTCTATTTCTGGCTAAAAGAAGCAGGAATGTTATTAAAGGTATTACTAAAAAATAACCATTGTGGCTTCTGGGTCTCTGAGAGCTTCAGGTGCTGCTTTAACTCTTATAACTGAGCAGCCTTGCTGGAGTCCTGGGTAGGCATCTCTGTGGATGCCTGTACAACACTGATTCCTGTGCCTTGTTTGGGGGCTGCTGTGAGACACAGATGTGTAATCACAAGAGCAGATCACCAGCCATGGCCTACTCCACAGCCTCCTCTCACTCTCTGGCCCTGTGTAACCCAGTGCAACCCTCAGTCACCAAGCACAGTCCACCACACAGTGCATCTGCTGCCAAGGTTAACACCTAGTTCCCAGCAATTCCTGTTCCAGGCATTGCTGCTTCCAGAACAGGTTTCCTGTTGCCTTCAGTGGAAGCCAAACTCTTCTTTCAGGAAACAAATCTTGTATCGTGAACCACTAGAGGGCCCTTTGCTTCACCCTTGCACCAGCCTCGATGTTCCAAACATCCTGTTTATTCCCAAATCCATATATACCCGTTGCCTTAGAGACAAGGGTTTATGTTGTGGCCAGAAGCTCTCGACTCCTATGTAGCCATTAATACTTGTTCACTGCTGGGACTCTGCCACAGGAGGAAATATAGCACATTTACAGATGCCACCTGAACACACCAAGAGAAAACCTGGCCCTGTACCAGGCTGCAACAACCCACCTGCACCAGAGTCCCTGCCCTGGGACCTTCTGCTGCTGTATATCCCAACATGCAGCCCCCAGCCTCCAAAGTATCCTGAATCATCCATCCTACATGGATTTATAATACTGTAAAGCTTTACGCCCTGCAGAGTACTACTGGGGTACTACACGATCTCAGGTCTCTCTGCACCTAATCACAGCATGGAGGAGCTGTGTCCTGAAGGGAGCAGATGGGTGCTTGAGGCACCCAGAGATCACTCCAGTCCAGTGGCACAGCATAGCCATGCACTGCTTTGCCCATCAGGGTTCACTGATTTTGCATTTCACTCTCCTGGGCAAAGCCAAGCCATCCTCTCTCTTTCAAAGCAAAACACCCCTTTCCCTTCACTTCCAAAAGGTTCTTGTTGCCATGCAGTATCCAAGGACACTTGTCCTAGAAAACCAGATCATGACCTGTGTTACTTGGTCACTCCATAGCCTGACGGGCAGGAAAGCAGACACATTGCACCTTTGATAGCTCCAACCTTTCCTCCACTTGGCAACCCCTTGTACAGAGAAGTCTCAAGCCCTTTAGACACAGTTACATACCCAGACTTCCTGGAAGGGCTTTCCAGCACTCATCAGCTTTGCTCTACTCTGAGGCACAGGAAAGCCTCTTCAGAGTTTGCCTCACTTCCCAGCAAGCTCCCTGCCCTGCAGTAACATAATGGCTCAAGCAAACCTGTTTAAAGAGGTAAAGCTTGGAATACTATTGACTTGTGTTGTCCCAGAACTGGTTCTTCAGCAAGAAAGATCTGTCCTGGTATCACTGAGCTTTTTGCACCCTCAAAAATAGCCATTTCTCCTCTAATGGTGTTCAACACAGGGTTGTTGTTCTTCATTAGAATATTCTCAGTTCCTTGCATGTGGATTTGAAGCAGTTCTCACTAAACCATTACTTGAAGGATTTTTGTGTTCTCATTAGCACCCTGATCAGAGCAAGTCTCATTGAATAAATAAGGAAAAAATAGGAGAAAATAGGGAAAAACACACTTAAGCCAGTGTGCAAAGAATTTGTGCTTTCTTTCCACCCCTCTTTGGAGGAAAGCCACTGATGCCCTGAAGAACATACTGTAGCTGCCTTCTGTCTCCTCTCCCTCAGTCTCCTAGTTGTTTTTCTTGTTCCCATTTACCTACACTGCCACACAACCACAGAGTCTTCACCTTCAGGAGTTCTTCTGCTTCCTGCCAGGCCTTAGGCTGAAGAAAGGTGGATTCACACAAAACACAACAGAAGAGTCAGTTCAAAAGCCCTGAATTGTTTTTCATATGAACTGACATCAACAAACCATGAAAATAAACACCTATTTGGTCCAGAGGAAAAGCATTTTCTCGTGTTTACAGCAGTGTGTGCAGTAACAGTGCCTCCTGGCCACAAACACAACTGCTGGGATGCTGATTTTAAGGCAAAGGGATTGTTATGGATCCAGAGACACAACCAAATACTGCTCAGCAGTGGACGTGTGCTCATCGGCAGTGAATTCATTAGCCCAGTAACGGCTGAACTGGCTCCCTGCCCCATCTACTCCCAGATTGCTACTGCTGGAGCAGGAATGAGAAAGACTCACAGTTTGCTGCCACATCACCGCACAGCAGGCTGGCACTTAGCAGGAACTGAAGCCCACATGCACCACGAGCCACGGTGCCGGTCTGGGAGCTGATCTGGTCACTTCCCTGCTGTCTCTGCTGAGAGGCACGCTCTGAACAGCTAAAGTAAAGCTTAAACTGCTGTAGCTTCACCAAGAGATGTCTCAGCGCTGAGCCCCCACCAGCATGCACGGCTCTGCTGGCAGGACCTGCCTCAGCAGCACCCTGAAACTACAAACAGGTACAGGAAAGGTGAAGGACTCACTTGTTTTGAAGACATGGCAGTGGAGGAGAAAGCATGATAAGAAACGAAGATATATGACAATAAAGGTTAAGGTACTTTTATTATAAAAGTCTATACAATGAGCACCAGACATAGCAATGCAATTATATCTGGTTTAGTTATATATATTCCATATCTATATATCCATATAGATATATAGCGTTCTGTTTTTACCAAAGTAAACCTGTTATATCACAAAATGCCTAGTTCTACCATTTATTTATTGCTCAACAAGGATGGCACAAAACACACTCAGCATAACTGTTGCCATGCTTATCTACTATACTGAATAAACAGCCAAACACTGCATAACAAACACAAAGCAGCTGTTAATTCTGAATTGGAACCAGTCTGATCACTCACTCACTTATAAAAATATTGGAATCATATAGATTTAAGCATTATAAAGGAGGAATATATTATTTAAAACATTTAAATAGTGCATATTGACATTTTGCATGTGGTATATAAAACACAAACATTCATGTACAACACTATACAGTACACATTAGTTTCAATGTTTGGATACACCCGTGTCTGCAGACTGATAGAAAAGTAACTGAAGTGTACATTGCACAATGGAACTGAATGAAATTGAGAAATGGTCTCAAGACTAGTTTAACCTCATCATTCTCTAAGGTCCCAGATCATTTTGCAATTAAAAAATAACCAAAGCAAAGGCATATCATCAGTGCTCAATAGTTTTAGTGCTTTTTCTTTTGCTGAATTCCAAAATTCCATGCCTACAAGCAGAGTAAAACAAAACGAGAAGTATTCTACAGTACACAGATGAAATCTGAGCACTAAAAATCCTACTTCCAACCTATTTCATATGCTTCATGACAGAACAGCAAGTCTATGAGGTTACACGCTAGCCATTTCTTCTCTGTGGTGAGAAAGTTCATTTTTGGTCTTTCAGAAAGCAGTGTGAACAGTAGCTGCGTTGACATTAGCCAGTCATAAAAACATGCAGTGCGAGTAGGTGCATGCAAAACGTGGCCACAATCAAACCCATACACTGAAGGAAAAAGAAAAGGAACTGAGAAAGCACCAGTTAAAAATTAACATTTAGATTTTGCCAGATCCAAAACCAGCTGCTGATGGCTGTTGCGGAGCATAAATCTAGTAGCTAAATCATCATTCAGCGCAGCAGATGTGATACTTAAAAACATTTAGTTTCAACTCTGAAGCTAAATCATGCAAGGCCCATAAACTGTTTTGCTTACATTGTAAGGGTTAGATAACTTAGTTTTATTCTCCAACTGTAAAACAAAACTGTGAGAAACAGCAGTCACTTTTTCACTCAAACCCAACAGTTCACCCTGTGGTGCGCATTCACTACACTGATTTTAGCCCTTGATACCACAACTTAGTTCAGGTACAGTGGAATTTTAACTGTCCTAAGCCAGCTCCTTCCTGCTGGAGCGCCATCAGATTTCCCATGCACTGCAATGTTCCTTATGCTCCTCTTATCTTCTCAAAGTGGAGATGCAGTATCCAATTCAGACAAAACACTATGTCACCACTAGTTGAGAAACAATAACCCATAAAATGAGAACATGAACAACAGTAATGTAAGTCCTGTAGGCAGCGTGTGATATAACTTGTCAGTTTTCCAAGTTTTAAAAGACACTAAGGAAGGTCACTTTCTGGTTTGTCCACTGTCATCTTTATCAAGGAGGAAACGTGACCAGTACTGAGCAATATCCATTAGAGGTTAATTATTACTGTGTTACGGGTGCAATTTAGAAAACCAAAGCTTAAAGTTGTTCCACAGCAGTCCTTTGGAAAAGGAATTTCAGTCTGGCTTTTTAAAGTTCCAAGGAAAAAGAGCAGTACGTTTAATTTGCTGATGTTCCACCCCCCCCCCCCCACCCCCCCAATAAAAAATAGTTCAGTGTAGCATTATGGTATTAAGAATTTCTTCAAGAATGCAAAAAGTTGGTAATAACAAAAGTCTCACAGTTCTTGAATGCTAAAAGAACCCCAAAGCTGTGGTGGTTTTGGAATAAGATGGATGCATCTGTTTGACAAAACTCTGCTGGAAACTGTGTTTGCTAAAGTTGGATAGAGCAGTCTCAAACTTAGAAATCTTACTTGCTCTCTAGACAGGACCTATTTACCCTTCAAACACCTTAGAGTGGCACCACAATAAAGTGCACAAACTTGATTCTTTCAACAGTGCATGACAAATGAACACAAGCACCCAATAAGTACAGTGGTAGTATATGGAAACATCATGTTATTCAATGGGTTGGAGGAATATAAGTTAAATTGATTTTGAAGAATCTTGCTTGCTGATAAGGACTTCTAACAGCCTAAGCTTGGCTTTGAGTTTCTTGTACTCCCTGTACTCATCAAGCATTGGAACCCGATCTTCTTTCTGTACGTTCCTGCAAAAAGGAAGCACGTTTGAGTGGCAAGAAAACCCTCCACACTGCAGCAAGCAAACACAACAGCAGTTACATGCAGTTGTCTTGGGGAAGATAAAGACATTTTTGACAGCTTGTTCACCAATAACAGACACAATATATTTTAGTTAAACTTGCTGTCACCTAAAGAACTGACTACAAAACCTAGCAGCATTTATTCAGCCTTGTTTAGGAATTGTTCTTTTAAGTTCTTCTGGAGATCTGATTAACAGGATATGAAAACTTTCATTTCAGATCCTGTGTATACACTGCAGGAAAATACAGGCAAATTCCAACTGATCTACATTTTCACTGTATGGAGACTGACTCACAAATTGACAGCAGAGGATTATTCTTGTTTAAGACTGAATTATAAAACATATTAATCTGACTTGCTTAAAACCAACCTTTCTTTATTAACCTCATTATTTGCCATTAAAGTCAAAAGGAGTTATGTCCCAAATGCACTAAGTGCATGATGAAGCCACGCCAGTGGAATCTGTGTGACCAGTGGTTCAGGAGTTTATAGTTATGGAGAAATCCAGTAGAAAGTGCAGTTAAGTGAGAATATCTGGTAGTTAAGAATAAAAATTATACCCCCTTTACTGGTAAAGCAAATATCCTACTAGAATAAAGGACAACCAGGCAAATTGCCCTGCCCTGGGTTAGAAACAGAGGGATAATCTGGGGGGGTTATATGAAAAAATACTTTTTAATAAATATTTTTAAATGGAAAACCCCCACTTCTTTGTTTTTGTTCTTGTGCTTTACAGACTGCAACAGAGGAAACTAAACTCAGGAGCAAGCTTCCTCCGCTATTAAAAATGCACACCAATGTCATCTCCTTCAGGAGATTATTCACAGCAGAGATTAAACCAGATCAGATTCCATTGGCAACATTCACATAGAAGACTTCAAAAGATATTGGGCTACAATATGAGGCTGCTGCCCAACGTCTGCTTCTGTGCTATACAAACACTTCTGTGCTCAACACACCTTCCGTTCTGCTGATAAAACTCCTCTTCAAACTCTCGTAGTGTCTTGCGTAGCTTCTTTTTCTCAGCTCGGGCTTTCCACAGTTGCTCCAACAATTCAGGCCTGAAAATTCCAAGCAAAAGGAAAAATACTGTTGGCCATAGGATAATATTCAAATTCTTCAAAGCACGCTCTAAAACAACTGAGCTAGCTGTGTTAGTAATGAACTTGCCTTCCTCGTGAGGAATATGCTACCGGTCTGATGGTGAAATACTGAGAACAAACTAGTAGTTAATAAAAGGGTATAAGTTTTCTGTTGTCTGCACAGCTCAAGTAAGGATGAGGAAGGTTTAGAAGATACTAAACAATACACTGAGTACAAAAAGATCTTAGTCAGACCTGTGTGAACACTCATTCCAGCTAAACACCTCCTGACAAGCACTGAATATGTCACTTGCTTCCACCCAACATCATATACTCGGTATCGTGACTCTAAGTGCAGTAATTGCAACTTCTATACTAGAATTAGGAACTTGTTATTTCCACATACATGGAAGCAGCACGGGTGCTTGACAGCCGAAGGTCCCGGGTCAGTTTCTCTTGACCATCTTCAACATCAGACTCGGAGTTTTCAACTGGGCTTAAAACAGGCTGCGTCTGGACAGCAGTTTTTAGGATATCGGTCAGGTCTGCAGACAAACCATCACTTTCCTCCTCTTCTTCCTGAAAGCCAAAGCAGAAATTCAAACCCAGGATGAAATATTTCAGCTCCCTCTTAAGGTGCTGGGAAGTATTTTACAATATGCACTGTACTTACCTTAATTTCTTCAAAGAAATGGGCAGTTTCACCTTCAATAATGGGCTGTAACATCTGCCCCCGCCTCTTGGTTGATGGTGAGCCCTGCAAAAATTGAAGCTGGTTCCATTATGTGCAATTAGATATTAAATGCTGTGTGGGTCAGAATTCTGGTCAAGTCATCTAATACTCATGGGTATTTCTTCTTTCAGAAGAATACAAGACTGGAAACATACTTACAGAGTACAAACAAAATAACCTATAACCCCAAAAGCTCAGATGCCCAAAGTATCCTTGACATAGAATCAAACACTGTAGTTTATAAACTATGTAAAAATACTCTTTGAATATAAAAATCACTCCATGTTTTGTAGACAATTCATAAAGTGCAATGATATCTCTGAATTTTGTATTTCCTCTTGTTCTTCCAAACCAAACCAAAGGGAGACTATAAAGTTACACAAAGCCAGAGCCAGCTTTCATATTCTGCCAGGCATGTGTCGGGAATGAAACTGCCAGTTTCTTTTTCTAGACCTCTCTGAAGCCCCAACAATTGGAAGTGCTGCGTTAACAGTTACCTATTGCCACTTTCCAGGCAAAACCCTTTGAATTTCAGCCTAAACCAGGTGCCACTGTGCTGCACGTGGCCTGCTGTTAGCTGCCTGTAGCACACACATGTTATGCCCTGCTCTTCCAGGATCCCCAAACAGCAATTTCAACAGATGAACTCTTTGAACAGGAGGACAGTGGAACATGAAAGCCACAGAGCCAGTGACTTGACAAAACACTTTAGTTTGTGGAAGGTAAATACCTTCCTGCTTCTTTAGACATTTCCATGCAAGCTTCAGCATATGTGATTAACATATCGTGATACCCTAAGAGATCTCATGGGAGCAAGCATCGTGTAAACTAAAAACCAATTCTTGAAATACCTAGCACTGAGCATAATCTATACAGAAGCCGCCTTTGAACAATCCTTGGTAACTAGAGAGCTCTGCATCTCTTACAGGTTTCAAAAGCAGAGGCCTGTGAAACACACTTTACAGATAATTCCTAATCTGTGCTGCAGGCAACATGCTACCAACATCTTTCCTGAATTTAAAATCCTATTGGTTGCCTATCAGTCATGCCTTTATTTCACAGACAAACAACAACAATAAAAAGGAATGGCTACAGTGTAGTCACAAGACTACTGATAATACAAAACACATCTCAGCTGAAGAGTCAGACTTGAGGTGAGAAATGGGATAAAACTCAACTGGTCAAGTACACCACCAATACCTTGTGACTCATCGTGAAGAAATGCTTGGGTGTTTAAAAGCAACCTGTGCCAATGCTCAAAAAGGGATTCTGACATAAAACCCTTTAAACTGAATTATGACTGCAGCATAAACAACATTTTTCTGTAAAAGCCACTACACAAAAATCTATGTGCAGGAAAGGAATGATCTTGAACTGGTCTCTTCATCTCAATGTACTTGGGCTTAAAGAGGATAGCTGAGAACAGTCAGAGTCCACGTAAACAACTGCTTAAGTTCTTGCTGAGTAAGTCACTGCCCAGCTACATAAATCTGGTAGAGAACTGTCTGTACATAAAGAGATTATCTCACAGCCCTTCCTATGCAGTCAATTCCTTCTAAAGGGGTCAAATCAAATCTATTCTGTTGCAAGTCAGGGTCAGCACGAAGATTCGGATTACAAATCATGAAGAGCAAAGCTAGCCAGCTGGTTGTCATTCCCCGACTGCTTTACAGGTACTATAAACAAGGTTACACCAATCTCCTTGCACAGTATGAGAACTTTTCTTCCTCATCTCTTAAAAGAGCACAGAGAGAGGAAAGAAAAGAACAGAAAGCAAGCTAGAAGGAAATGAAGTGCAAACACAGTGAAAAAGCACAGATGTTGTACAGATGCTGCAGGTGTTGATAACTGAGGAAGCAGGAATGAATGAAATGGTTGTTAGGGCCATCCTATTACTCATGCCTCTGGTGACAGTACCCTGCAGTACAGGCAAGCTTCACTGCAACTGTTGTTACTATTCTTAGGAGGACTGAAAGTACAGTATGTACTGTGGATCCATACCCAGCACAGGGACTTGGGAGCATCTCAGCCGCACAAGCCAGAACAGCTCATTTACTTCCACCAAGAACCGTGTACTTCCTAAGAGCCATCAAGGTCACAGACAGCTTTGAACAGCTCTGCTCTCAGCAGTAAATCAAATGCCTCAAGTACAATGACATCATGATCTTACATCTTCCATAAGAAAGATGTATCTCTGGAACAGTGTTACTAGCTCTTCTAAAGGCAGCCTAGCAGTTCAAAAAGTGGAAAAAAAGTAGAAATAGCATTTGTTTTACTCACAAGAATAGGAGTAATGCTTGCTCTAGTTAACATTTGTTTTACAAGTCTGTATCTGTCATAAAGTGGCTTCACAATATGTCTTTCTTCTCTAGTAACCTAAAGGCAGAGAAACCACAGAATTAATTATACCAGTCACTCAACAATATACAAGCAAACACAAAGCGGTCTTGCTTCTCATGCCAGGTCACGGACCTGCCAATTAGGAACATGAAACTAGTTTAAACTATGTGTATGAAATGGGGCTTGTGCAGATAAAGGGGAAGAAGTCGGTGCTTCTTCCTCCTCTTTTTTCTCACTTTAAGTCCCTGCATTTTTCAGGAAGCAGTTTTAAAGAGTTCCTAAAAGTTAAGAGGGGCTTCAGTAGAAGCAAACTATCTTTAAAGACATGTGGTAAAGAGGCAAAAAAGGGACCAAGAACTGGGGGGGAGGACTGTGTGCCTAGCAATGATGATGACTCTAGAGGAATGAGAGGGGGCGGAAAAGAAAGAGATGAAACCATAGAGAGATTTTCTCTGATATCTGCTTTACTCTCAATTCTTGGCCGCTGTGTACTCTAGCATAACAAATCTTAAAGGCTATCCTCAACAGTTATTGGCATTTTCTCCCTAAAGGGACTGTAGAAATAGTGCCAATATCCCCAGGACCATTATTCTTCCTTGTTTTTAAGACTGAAAGGCTTGGTCACATCTATACAGCAGTGCTGATTATAAAGGTAGTGTGCCAAGCCCAGAAGGCTGATGGAGTAGAAGCTGGAAAGATCTTGTGATTGGACTAGTAATACTGAACACTGTCCAAAACAAAAGTCCTGAACTTCAGGCACTAATTGCTAGTCACTCCAACCTCCCCACCTCCAATTATAGAGGTGGCATGCCACAGACTTGGGAGGAAGGGAAGTGCCTTTTAATTTCTGGTTTTGTGAAACCCAGAATAACATTTCAAGCCTTTTCCCACAAAATTCACTAGAGCCATTTATTTGTACAATTTCTCTTTGCCTCAGACATATAAGGCACCAAACGACACCAGCCACTTGTCAGACTCCAAGAACCTCCTGATCTGTGGACAAAGGGCCTATTAAAACATACTTCTTTTCCGTTTGAAGTCAACACAATAAATTCCTCTGACAGCAATATGGAAACCAACAGACAGCTCTGTTTTGAAGAATTAAAAAGCCCCAAAACCACCCACACTAGCTTCCGGTACTACTACTGCACAAGAGTTACTGCTCTATTAATAGAGCTTGATGAAGTAAACCAAGAATTACCGGCCGCCCATGTTGACTTTCGTAATACAGGAGGCTCTTCTGGAGAGATGTTTTCTCTTCTACCAAATGGTCCTTTGTCATTTTCTGTCAGAAGAATAATTCACATTTAATCCAACCCAAGTCACTTTAACAGTCTTACTACCTTATCAGCTATATGATTGCCTTAGACACACTCCGCTTAGTCGATACCATTCATCCCACCTTCATCCATTTAAAGCTGTTCAATATTGTCAGCACATCCTTAAGAATATTTTAATAAAGAGTGAGGAGGGAAAATGTGGTTCATCATTATTTCCCCCCAGAGTCCGAAATAGAAGGGTCTTGTAAAGGGCTGCTAGACACAGGCATCATTTTGTTGATAAAGTGATAACCTGAAGTGCCTGACAGTGCTCTGTTTCCCTCTGTTCTCTTACAAACAGCCTATCCATAGCGTTATGCTTACTTTTATATCTTCTGGCAAACATCTCTCAACTCGTTTTTCCTTTAACCTTTTCAAAATGAGTTCAAGTGTGGCTTCCTTGGTGGGCTTCTTCTCTTTCTGCACAACCTGCATCTCATCTTCATTTCCTTCATCCTCTTGGTCAAGAGAGGAACCAAAACTTTTTGGAAGAGTGTTACTTCGTGGACGTGTTTGAGGTATGAATTCTCCATCTGAGCTCCTCTGCTTTGCATCTGAAATGAGAACGATTGCTCAGTCCAAAGGTTTAAAAGAAATAACTCTCAGTTTGTTTAACTGCAAATAAAAGAATAAAACAGTTTGCATAGGCAAAATTTCTAATGAATTAAAACCAACAAAATTAAAAGCCGATGGAACAATATGAGTTTTGAGTATTTCAGAACATAGAAATGAAGTATTTTTACTGTCTGTGGAATTTTACTGAATGACTTTGCTATTTGAGTCACGTAGACAATTTGTGTTTGTAGAAAACCAGAAGCTGTAGCATCTCTTACCTTTTATTTGCTTTCTCAGTTTGGTAAGTTCAGTCATCCACTTTAAAACTTTTGGGTTGGCTGCAATATCACTATAGGAGGGCTGAAAAGTAACACAGATAGACAATGTTTTATTAAAACACCTTAAGTCTTGCTTACAAATACTTCTTTCAAGATCTGGTAAGACTTACAACAGGGAATGGGACTAGTAACAGGGATGTGACTCTTAGCATCAGGTCAGATCTCAGTGCCAACATAACAGCCAACGCTTGTGAAAATAAACTTGAGACAACAGATCAGAAGCTGAAACAGAGAGTGGTAAGATGCTTCTGTCTCTCCACTTATTTGATATCCCCTCAGTCTCACTGCATAATGGCACTGTCTACCCTTCTTTGGGCTCAGGCATTATGGCACATTTTCTAGTACTGCTGTTGCTCAGCTCACTTTCACAGACAGCAGTAAGTAACAGAATCATTCTCGTTTGTGAACCCATAGTTATTCAATGATGAACCACAAGAAATAACTTGGCTCCACCATGCAGCCCTCTATCCTCAGTAAAGGCAGAAGTAACTTACCTTACTGTTTTTCTCTTTTTCAAACTGTTCCTCAAATTGCTTTATTTTTTTCTGCAATTTCTTGACAAGCTGATAAGGTGTCTTGTCTTCCTTTTTGTCATCTTTTGAGCTAAAGGATGCTCTTCGTGTTCTGTATTAAAATCAGTTTTTAAATGTCATTTAAATAATTAAACAAGTGCAAACAACTTGTGTATTTTAGTAAAAGAGGACTAATTTAATTTTTCATCTCCAGTTCATAATTCATTCTTGGCACATTTTTAGCAAGAGCTATTTACCTACTGAATCAAAATGCTTTGATCTGCTGCCTTCAAAATGTGACATGTTATTGTTTTCCTCTCTAATTTCTGTAATACCCCTAATAGAAAAACAGCATTTTTAATGTACCACTAATTACATTGTCATTAAACCAGTTCAGATCTTTCTGGAGGCTACGATACTTAGCTAGGCTACTAGATACCTTCTTGAAGTATTGGGCACAGTTGAAGCCGAGGCTAAAAGCTATCACTGCACTGTCCATGGTAAATTAACAGCTCTGCTAATTGTCTTAGGCAAGTAATTAGATATTAACCTAAAACACATCTACATAGCTTGTTGGCTTTACTAATGTATTTCTAGAGTATGTGATTCCAGTCTTAAATCATCTTTTGCACTTGTTCAGCTCCTTGATGCTGCTTGTGAAAAGCCTTTTTATTTCAACACTGACCATGCAAACTTTCTGGTGCACTTATTACGCAAGGGGCCTGAAAGATCCCTCAACTCAACTACTGAGATCTGCGTAGTTCAAGATATTAGAAATACTAATCTAATCATCTACTAGAGCACATCCGGATTAGTTTCAGAATGAGGAATAAAATCAGCACTTTTCTGCAGGTCAGTCTTGTGCGTCGTTTTAACAGCACTCATCAACTATCTTCTGCAGCCAACTGGAGAAAACCTGGGTAAGTACCTTTTTGCATCAATAAATTTATGTCAAACAGAATTGGAAACTCAAAACTTGGGCTTTCCTGTTCCAGATTTTCTCATTTTTATGAGATTATTTCTTCCCTAACAAGCACAGAAATGCCTCTTAAATTCCCTTTCACAGTAACAGCAGTACACAGTGCAGGTCACAGGTTACATACAGTTGTGGAGGGTCACACTCCCAACAGCATCACACAAATAACTTGCAGCTTGTTTAGTTACAACTCTAGCACACTGGGTAGAACAGGCTTGATCCTCTAAATCTGCAAGAGAGGACCTGCACTAAGAACCCTGCCTCTGCACTGACCATTACTGCACACTTCAGTTGTGGTGGTTTGTGTCTTTACTGGGAGTGGACAACATGCTAGGCAAAACAAATCCAAAATGATGCAACATGAAAATAACTATTCATGCTCCTGGGGGAAAAAAAGCACCAAAACTTACATAAAACCATAGACCAACAGTTCAGTAAAGACTGGTAAACAAAGGATATAAATACTGTCTTCAGTGCAGGAAGTGACATTACAGCCCAGACCCAATGCCAGGGAAATCTTTGCAAGCTCAGCCTATTTTTATACTCTTTCCTTCAGCATCTGCCAGTGGCCACTTTGAAAGACACGATACCATCCCAGATGAACCTCTGGTCTGACTCACTGTGGCAGTTCCTGGGCAGGCAGAACAGCCAAAAGACCACATGATGCTGCATTTGCCCTTGGTCTTCAATTAATTCATATCATGAAAACCCACGATGATCTTAACCAGCTGTATTTTCATGTTTGTAGTAACACCTCCTGCCCCAACACCCATCAAATGGCATTAAAATACAAACCTAACAAAAGAAAGTGCTTTGGATGATGAATCTAAGGTTTCTGGATCATGTAAGAAGCGCTGGCTTTGCCCAAAATCCAGGCTCCGATGTGACAGTATCGGATGACAGTCCTCTTCCAAGGGATGATTAGTCATCCTTCCAGCCTGTGGGGAAAGCTGAGCTTCTCCAGATTCACTGTCCTCCTGCCAAGACTTGAAAGCAGGAAAAGGATCTAGAAGATAAAAAAGGGACACAAAATGGTACTTTGCTGTTAACAGAATTATAAACAAGAGTCAAAAGGAAACAAAACTGCGTACCCACTGCTTAGTCTTGTATGCTATAAAGGATGTGGTGTCATACACAAAGTGGATATAAACACTGAAATACATCAGAAAGCTACAAATTCTGTCATGTAGCAACTGAAAGAAAAAGGTACCAGAATGGAGTATGCACACTAGGATCCCTTTTTCCAAGTGTATCTTGAGAGTATGCACTTCTGAACAGTTCCAGCAGTGCGAGAGCCTTAGTTACGTATCAGAAATCCAAAGTTAGAAGGATGTATTTATTGTCCATTGTGATATTTTGCTGTGGAAATTAATTTTTATACCTTACACATGTATTTTGAAAGATTGTCCTCTTGGGTTTGAAGAAGTTAAGCCTGACAATAGCTCTTAAGGTACAATACCCATTCACTTAAGTTGTCTGAAAGTAGTGTTGTTGGGTTTTTAAGTTTAAATGCATCTTGACACCACTGAGAAAAAGAGATTTCTTAATTTGTGGAAGGTGATTTCTTTTAGGCAGGGGATTCCAAAACAATCAGATCTTTTAAATTCCTATATAAAGCTGCTAACATCCCTTCCAATTCTTAGTTATGGTTTTCTTGCTGTCTAACAAGAAGCTGATGTGGCCTTTCAAGCACTTGAATTCACAATCCCACCCCCCTTTTCCTTTCAAAGAGTTGCCTGTATTTCCCAGTTCAAATCTGAAATTTGAAAACTGGGTTCAAAGTGTGCAGAACAACAATACAACCCACAAAGTAACCTTTAAAAAGAGATAACCCTTGTACCTGCTTTCCACTGTACGTTGACTAAGTATGAATGGGGTTTGTTTTGTTTTGAAGCTCTGATCTTGCCTGTTTACACAGAACAAGGCAGAAGAAAGGGAGTGTTTAGAAGCAAGCAAAACAACTGCAGATCAGAATATTCCCAAGATATACGGGACAGCAGGTGAAGGGTTAGCTAGAAAGCAAACCATAAACTATCAAAAGGCAGATAACTGAATGTATGGCGAACCATACTTACCCTCCCCTTCTCTCTGCAGATGCATTGTTTTGAAATCAATGAGGGGGAAAGTGATAGGGCATGGCGCTAATAAAATGAAAAAAGAATGGCAAAAAATACTAAAGTGAACACACAGCACAGTCAGAACAAACTATACATCACATGTAAAGCAGGAAGATACAGTACCAGGGAAAACCATCCCATCCTTTGGGCCAGGCCCTGAGCACTCTCAGCTTCCAAGCACTTTCAATGGCAGGTGAGGATGCTCAGTCCTGAGTGAATCTGAACTTCTTACTGAAAAGGTTTACAGAGAGCCGACACAGGAATAGTAAAGACTTATTGTAGTTTAGTAAGAGGCTCATGCATCCTCACATTAACAGATGACAAGTTCTCAATGTGCTTTTGCTCATGGCTCTTAAATAGAGATGGTAATTTCCAAAAGGCAGAACAAATGCAGAGAAAACACTCAAAATATAGATTAACTGATCTGCATTTCTGCATTAACCAGCAAGCATTTGATAACTATTTCCAAGAACTCTGCTGGTTTTACATTATATAGGCTTTTATAACCCAAACAAGATTTGGACTAGCATAGATTTCTTTACAAAGCCAATCTACTTCAATGGAATGCCACAAGGACTTGCACTGCCTTGGAAGGCTGAGATCCTGATAACCATTTTAAACAGGACTGAACAACAGCCAAAGTTAAAATACTTTGCAATGAAATAACACCTCTTGCAAGATATCATGATTTTACTACCAAGAAGCTTATAATATAAGTTTGTATACAGAAATACTACTTTCTTTCCAAAGTAAGACTCATGAAGCTATTTAAGTAAGTAAAACCAAAGCAACTCTTATGAGCAGATTTAAGGGAATAATGAAAACGGAAGCCACAAACCTTCTGAGAATCCGTATTAGATCAGATTAACACAAACAGAGGATGCAACAAAATGTGATGTGCAAGTAAGCAATTCATGTAAATAAAACACTGAGAACATAAGCAGGGTTATTTTTTTTGCTTTTAGACTTCAACAAAGTTATTAACTTGGGCAATGAGAATAAAAACCTGGACTCAGTGTCTCCAGATGCCTGTAAATCAGCTTCTATGTGACATGACATACAATGTATAGCTTGCTAGGGCTCAAAAAGGCCAACCAGCAAGTAAATCTATCACAATTTGCAAGCTGCATCATTTGTAAAAAGAAAATACGGACTGAAGGAGGCAACACACTTGGAAAACAGCCAACACTGGTGACAAATGAACAGTAAGTTATCGCCATCTGAGCTTCAGGACAAAGCTTTATGTGCTGACATGCTACAACTGTATGCTGCACTGTTAAACTACGTCCATTTCAGGTGCACCTCGCTGATTTTAATATTCATAACAGAGCAACCAAAAGTCAAGTGCAGCCGCTCTTTTGTTACCAGTGTCTTACTAATGTTTGCCATGATGCTTACAGGCATCTTGAAGAAGAGCTGTCACTGGAACAGCCTGTTGGAAGTAAAAACCTCATCCCTGCATAGTAAATCTGTACTGTAGCTGCCAAGTTGCATTTCCAAGTTTTTAAGACTAGAAACAAGCGGACTGTGGCCATTGATCAATGACAGTTCACAGTGTTACAGCAAACTCTTATCACTTGCTTTTTTTAAGGTGTGATGATTCAGAATAGCAACACCAGGCAGAGGAAACAGGATACAAGGAACACATAAAAACATGAGTACCTTCAAAAGAAGATACTGACAAGAGTGTTTTGCTCTTGTTAGGAAGGGGTTATGTTTTTGCACAAGTAAAACAACAGACATTTGAGCAACAAAGTTCAGTAAAGTCACAAGCTTCAGGGCTTGTTAAACATGGAAGGCATGAAGAATAAGGTAACAAACAGAAGGAATCCTGCCTGAGAGAAAACTGTGTCCCAAACATTTTGCTTTCCTAAAATCCCAACAATGGAGGGAGAAGGGGCACAGGAATAATATCCATCTGCAGCTTTAGCTTCATAGCTTTAGAAAAATTAGTTTACAGCACTAGAAAAATTAAAACTGTTTCAAGATGCCCAAAGACATGGAAAACCAACATCTGATATTCCTGACGTTTAAAACAAATCAACCAACAGATCTTGCAGAATAAATGAAATGGGAATTGCTGTGTTTAGCAGCTTACTTATTTTAAGTCAAATTCAGCTTGTATTAGAGCTTCAATAGCTTACATTTATAAAACCCAGAAAACCAGACAAGCCAGTGTGAATATGAACTGGTGTGACATAACTAGAGAAGGTGTTTTGAAGCATTGGGATGAAAGACTCAGGGTTCTGGGAACCACAAGTCACCTTGAAAACATAAAAATGAATAAGAAAGAAAAAAAAAACATACACAGCAAAACCTCTGCTATGAAACTTGGGCTGTTTTGCTTTCTTTATTTGCTCCTTTGACTATTTTTTCTTCACATGTTTATTAAGGTTCTTAATTAAGTTGCAGATAATTCTGAAACAAGATGGGATCTATGCCATGGCTTGGATCATCTTACCATGTGTACAGAACATATTGTTCAGATTGAACCGAAGGAAAACAAGTGTTGTCTGCTGCTTTCTACTCCATAAAACATTCTATTTATCATTACTCGTTATGTTGTGAGCTAAAGGGTGAGAATTACCTTCCCATTTGTCACCATCAGACACATTCTTCAGATCTAGACGTGGTACTTGGACACTCAGAGCTTCCTCAGAAACATTAATGTTGCCATCCCCCAACATCTCTGAATCAGTATTTGCATTAAGATCACAAGCCTTGTTACTTGAATCCTGTGTTGAAACAACAGAAGAATGTTGTTGTTATGATTTAGCAACTGGAAATGAGGTACCCAAACAGTGCCAGATCCAGCATTGCTGGGAATTGACTGGAGAAAGATTTCTTCTTTCCTGACTCAAGGAATTATAAACAATCTTCCCAAACCCCAACAGTAGCCAATGGCTTGCATTATAGAACATTCCTCACAAGATGCAGAAGTATAAGCTTGCTCTGCTGCTAAAACATCCTGTGATGCAAGATGCTGAGATCTCTAACAGAGGTTTTGCAAAGCTTGCAGGAGCCCAACAAACATTAGATGTTAAAAGCTGAATTTATTGGTTTTCTTCATAACTGCATTTCATGTAAATTTATAAGATGCTGTGTACCTGAATAGAAATGAAATCATAATCTTACCAGAAACATCTCTGAAGATATGCTATCATTGCCACCAAGCAATATACTATTTTGCCTAAAGAGAAGAAACAGATCTAGTTATAATTTTAAATAAGAGTTCTTAATGGACAGTAAATACTATACACTCCCCTTGCATTTTATACTTGCATACCCAAGACCAGTTAATAAAACAAAACCAGCTTAGACCTTTATTCTCAAACTGGGAGGAAATATTTTCAAACTCAATTCAACTCATACTGAGATTTCAGTCAGTGCTGAACTCCAATTGCAAGTGAATTTAAAGCTGTCTGGCTAATCACTATTACCAGCATGAAGTCTTTTCTTATTAAGAGCAATAAAATGTGACAAAATATTTTAAAGAAAATCACTTGTTCTTTTGTTTCTCTTGCCCAGAACATAGGCTTGTCCTCAAAAAAGCTGTGATACATATCATATAGGCTTCTATTTATTATCTCTTTTAAGTGCATAAAGTTCCATGCCTTTTATGTCATCACCATAAAAAGGTAACTCCATCTTACCTCCTCTGTTTTCACACATGAAAAGTTGTGCTTTTAGTTTCAACTCCCCCATCTTATACTGTGTTGTCACAAATCACAGCTTGGTACACTTAGGTTCCAAAACTGATGTGACTTAAAAAACATACATACCCTTCACTATTATTTTCTCCATCAACATCTGCATCTTCATCACATGTTTTCAATAATACATCTGCAGCCTGTTGGCAAAAAGCATGTTTAGAAAGATTTGGGAATGGCATTCTCGGTTGAAAGCATATCTGTAATCATCTCTGACCACAAAATAAAACCTCAAAAACTAAAAGCATGGCTTATTGTGTGGTGGTGGAAATCATACTTTTTAACCAAGCAATACTGGTTTTATATATATACATATATATATATAAAACCAAGGTCAGTAGCCAGGTATTTTACTCACTAGAAGCCAGACAACGACTTTCTGCCTTCAGACAAAGCAGTTTTTACCATTTCTTTTAAGTATTAATACAAACAACTCTACTGCAAATTGTCAATCACAGCATGAAGTTTGCGGTGACTGAAACCATGGCAGTAAATATATCTTAGTCTCAAAAATAACAGTTGAAGGTAGACTGTGCTCAGTATACATGAAATGAAACAAGTCTGACAGACTTTCTGTCTGTCAGAAAGGAGCTACTAATCCCTGTTACTAAATAAAGCAGCAACAGAACTGGAAGGGGATGAAGAAACACTGGCGTTTCTGTGACACCATCTCACAAAACAAGCTCAGATGAATACATGTCACCATTTTGTTCAGTGAAGTTGGCACAGGAAGACTGACTACTTATTTGTATCAAAGCCCTGTACTAGATTGCTTCAGTATCTTATATGCCATTTTAAGTATGAGATTTTAAAGTAACATTACATTTACTTTAAAAAGCTCTCACAAATGATCTTTAAAATGTCTGAACATTGAATCATAGAATAGTTAGGGTTGGAAAGGACCTGAAGATCATCCAGTTCCAATCCCCCTGCCACGGGCAAGGACATCTCACACTAAACCATGTCACACAAGACTCTGTCCAACCTGGCCTTGAACACTGCCAGGGATGGAGCATTCACAACCTCCCTGGGCAACCCATTCCAGTGCCTCACCACCCTCACAGGAAAGAATTTCTCCTTATATCCAATCTAAACTTCCCCTGTTTAACCTGTTACCCCTTGTCCTATCACTACAGTCGCTAAACATGAAGTCACCTCAAGAGTCCAAATAGCTGCCAGTTCTACACTGCTGACAGTTAACATCCACCCTTATCAGACAAAGCCCCATTATTCTGTTTACACTGTTTAAGTCCTCAAGTCAAATTCCAATTAGGGGAAACAATTTCTAATCACAGAGCATTTATCATACTCCAGCAGGTAGACTCTCCCTGGAGACAAGCTCTGCACGTTTTGCACAGTCACACTTATTGTAGTTGTGGGAACAACTGCTTCTGTTTCTATTTCAGACTCAAGGGAGAGCTCACATGCTCCTTTCTTTCCTATAACCCTACATGCTCCTCTCTATCTCCTTTCATACAGAAGAATCTGTGTATTTCCCTTTAAGATCTCCCTGAAAGATCCAACTCCCATAGCATTTGAAATTCTGTATTAAGAGGGTAAAAACTAACATTAAAACAGCCAAAATTGCATCAGGTACAACAGGAGTGCATCTATACATGACCACGTGGCCCCAGGTGTCATGCTCTCCTTTACATTCTTAAGCATGGTAATGAATGTGGAACTCCGAAGTGCACATACTTCCTAAGAAGTATAATTCACCTTTCTCAGCTGTTCTTTGAAACCACATAAAATGCACTGAAAAGCCACCAATTTGCACCAATTTTTGTTCCTCCATTTACGTTTGTATTTTCTGAGTTTTGATCCCTAAAGCTCAACACATATTTTAACTGGAAGAAGCAAAGTATTAGGAGTTAATAGGAGGAACTCACTCTCTATTGCTTTTAAAGGCTTTCATTTGCAACAGACTGAAAACCTACCACAAACACAAGACTTAAAATAGCCAGAACAAGACTTATGGCAGGAATATGGAACTCTGCCCTGTACTGACAGAGTTCTTGCAAACACAGTATTGACCTGAACTGGATAAACCATCATCTAATTGCAACACCGTGTTTTGTACATTTTGTGCTCTAGGACAATAATACAGTAGTTTTTATCACAAGGTTTGTCACTAATGCATCAGAAAGAGCCCAGATGATTGATACGCCCTGTGAAATTCTCATTTGCAGAATGGGATTCTAAACCAATATGTTAGTTTAGTAGGAACAATTGACAGATCTGGCTTGTAAGGTGATTCTAGAGTCATTTGGAATCCATGAAAGCAAACAGAAGGATGGGAGAAGAATACATCACAATAGCAAAGAGCGCTACAGCAACATTTTGTTGTAATAAAACCTAGATTCCTGACAAGACTCACACTTTTACTATGCTAAGGCATCCATTTCTAGCTTCTCAAGTTCACAGACCCATTAAATTCTTCTAGTTAATTGAAGGCTCCTAACAATAGGTTTGCTTATCTGGTTATCTTTCAGGAAACACTCAGAAAGATTTATGGTCTCATGGGCAAGAAGCTAAAAATCATTGCAGAAAGTTCTCTCTACACATGGACACTAAATCTCCCACAGAATTCATCATTAGATTTATGACAGCAAAAGTTTTACCAAATAAATAAGGAAGCATAGACTTGAATTTTGCATTAAAGTGCTTATTTGACAGCCGTGGATGTGCTATTCGTACAGTGGCAGAAACCATATTCTCGTGCATATTGATGTTAGCTCATTTTTGTCAGCAATTATCTGATAGTACTGCTGGATCGCATAAGGATAGTCTGAACGTCAGACTGATGCTCGCTACTAACAAATGCAGCTACAGTTCAGGCCGTCATTGCAAATTCAGGCCAGCCATACTACAAACCTTCACTCTGGATTGCATGTGAGGATCTAATAATCTGCAGCTCAAAGCAAAGCTGAGGAATGTTTGTTGTACAAGGAAAACAGTTATTTCAGCATTTCCAGCTGCTACAATACTGGGCTTCCATTCAAGCTGTATTCAATACTTGCTTCTTTCAGTGATATGAAGTTGCTCAATTCAAGCATAATATAGAAAAGCAAAGGCAAAATTGAATCTATGACACCTGATTATCCTGTGGTCTGTTGTTTACATTTTTCAGTTGATTTTTGAAGTTTAACAGCAATTTCAAGTGTCATTAACACTGTATTTTCCAAGTCAAATAGTTCCTAAAGAATACAGCTAAGCATTATATATTTACAAGCATGTCTGCATCACATCCTAATACGTGCCAAGTCTAGACAGATCCTTCTTCTTCAGAATATAAATGGTCAATCCTGATACTTTTCAAGATAACCATTAAGCATTGAACCTTCTCAAAGGCCACACGTCCAACTTCCTTTCATTTTTTTTTTTGCTAAACACCTCAAGTGTTAGAATCAGAAGTGTACACATGAGTATGGAGGGACACAAGCACAGCAGAAGTCAAATATCTAAACAAAGAGGTCCAAGGAGAAGTAACAGACCCTCTTTTAACTAGAAAGGAGATGTGGTTGAAAAGAACAGGACATTGAGGCCTACCCACAGAAGAAAGTGGGAACAGTGAGAAAGGGCTGTGATTAGCTAAGTACAAACCCGCACCTTCCAGCACAAGGATAGTCAAGAGGCTGCAGAGTCTGAAGGCGACTGCTACTTCTACCGTTTCTTGATACAGTAAAAGGAGTGACTGTGTGTGGGCTATGCTACAGACACAGCTCTACATCTTCTGCTACTCACGAAGCCTTTCCTAACACAAGATGTTATTCTATCTGGTGCTATGCCAGTAGTAGTAGTAGTGATATGATGTAGTGCCAATACACTGACTTACCTGAGCAGAAGGAAGGGCTGGTACCTGTGAAAGACCAACAGAAACAACATTAGTCAGAGTCCCACAACCTGCCCCAAAGTACACAAAAATTCTCAGTGCACATCCACGAAACACACAACCAGAAGACAACTGCACAGAGCAACAGCACCAAGTAAGGCTACATCAGAGCTACCAGGAAAACCTGGTTTTCCAAAGCACTTTGCTAAAGCCACAGCACTTAAGGATTTTCATATACAGGAGGCTCTTCCTCTCACCTGAACGCTTTCTTCTTCCTCAGTTACAGTATCATGTTTCATAGCTTCACTGTCTAAATCAGTGCAAACCAGTACTTCAGAGCAGTCTCCTGTGTTCTCACTGCTACCAGTGTCATTATCTTCAATAACATCATTCCTAAAGACAAGAACAGAAAGACTTTAGCAATCTGCTGTTCCACCTTTAAAATTAAATAAAACAAACACTGGAGGGTTTGGGTTTTTTTCCTTAAAGAGTATCACACATCAGAGTTGTTGGTTGTTTTTTTCCCCCCTCATCAAAATTACTCTGACTGGTAATATCTACAATCTCTATCACCTGCAGGCAAATCTAATTATTTATGTAGTTCACATATATTTCTGAGGTTTTATCCAACAGCATGTAATAAGACATTAAAATGTATTTATCTGATTATAGTATCAAGGACCAGACATACACCCTCCACTTAACATGTTGACCTAAGGAATAAAAGCACCAACAGCCAGAAGCAGTAACATATTGAAACTATCACAACTCAATGAAATTGCTGTGCCTATGCTCCTCTCAATATTGAAGCCAGTCAGTTCACAGCCCTCTAGTGAGAAATCCCATTATTTCTAACATTTAATCTTCCTAGAGTACAACTTAAGGCTTGTAACAGTACATCCAGATTAAAACTAACTTATATCACATTTGTGTCTGTATATTCTATGCATGCCACCATCCGTGTTACCAAATGATTCTCTAATTCATCACAAGCCTTTAACTTCCTTCTCCTCACCCAAACAGTTCTGACTTTAACTCCTTTTTCTTAATTTAAGCAGTTAAAGTTAGTTCTAAGAAATCTGCAGTGGATCACCACATTTTTCAGTTCTCTGTTTAACTGAGTATTTGACGTGTACACAGTCTGCTGGCAGCACTGCTTGAGAGGACCCAGACGACCTCTTTCAAGAACACTATCATGGATCCTCTATTACAGTTAATCCACAGTGGAATGATGATGGGCATGTGAAGTAGTTGCTGTGCCAGGAGAGTATACTGGTTTCAACCTGCAGTGATGGCACTTTCAGCCTCCACTGCTATGAAGTCAGCCAGCCTTTAAAGCACTTACGCTGTAACTGAAGGAACTCAGCTACAGCAGGTCTTTTGGGCAAGTAACCACTTATGTACAGATTACTTCAAAGACATTAAATCTCTAACACTAAAACTCAGTTTTAATTTATTACCACCAGCAATGATTATTATCTTTAAGATCAACTGCTAACTTTAGTGTGACGTTTTGTCACAGATGAAACTTCTAAAACCAATAAAGATTGAACAATTTAGAAAACAGCACTTGAGTCTCTGAATATTTCACATATTTCACGCTCTGAATCAAAGAATTTTTAGGTACTGAAGTCCTACTTAAGTGCACGTTTTTGGAGTTGGGATATTAATCATGACTATTTATTTTTAATAAAGCACCAAAATGTACCAGCTTCTCAGCGCTGCCATGGCAATCACTACACTGGTAACACAGCAAGATTTACAATATGAAGAAAAGCTGATCAAACAAAGCTGAAACTCAATGCAAACAGATCCACAGTGCTCATTCTATCCATTTTTAGCTATTTCATTGACACTGGCAGCCAGACAGTAAAATAGCTACGCTGATGTGGAAAGACAGGGTAAAGAAACTGAAACAGCATGTACAAGAGCTTTCATATGGTAAATTATGTCATAAGTAACAGCAGTAATGTAAGAATGAAAGCACTTGGGTCAATTTAAATGCCTACATAGAATTCAGCAGTGAAGCAGTTACAGTCAACTACGTTTTTAGCTACAAGATCAATTTAAAGTATTTGCTTTAAGAGCTGTTGGTTACTGACAACTCACAGAAGTTGATTTAGTTAAAAATGCACAGATAAATTGATTCATTGTTGAACAGCAAAAGTCACAACTTCTGCTTTGGGTTGAGGCGGTTTGTTTTGGAAGAGTTAAGATATACAATCCTATAGAATCCAAGATACAACAAAATCTTACTGGTTGTTAGATCCTTCCTCGTCCCTGCTGGGATCGTTTGCTTCATTGTTACAGCCCAGTCTGTGTTGCTGTATGTGTTTAAGATCGTTATCTAAGCTGCTCTGCAGGTCGAAAAGGTGCTGTTCCACAGCTGCTCTGATTGTTCTCTCTAAAATGCTGCAAGGAAAAAAAAAAAGACAGAAAGTTCATATTAAGAACTCTCTTTTTGCATTGATCAATATGCAGAAAGGCGGAGATAAACTTTACACACAACAGGAATCTTTGATGACAAGTACTTCAAGGCAAGAAGAGACTCACTTTTCCAGAAAGGCAGTAGAAATTACTGCACCTATCTTTTATTTCATAAGATTTACATAAAGTATTATGAAATCTATTTAAAAGTAATTAACACATTACAGTTACTTATTTTTCTTAACAACATAAAGTTTTCTTAAAGCCTAATACATTCAAGTGCCAGTAAAATCCTGTGTCTGTAAGAGGTCAGAGTGAATCCTGGCACAGGTACCACTTCAGCACAGCTGGCTGCAAGCCCTCCCGAATAGAGCTGTAATCTTAAAAGGCAAGAGCCACAAACAGCAGAGACAATGAGCAAGTACCTGATGAAGGACACAGAATATACCCAAAGATATGTCAAGAAAAGTACTGCATTATTTAAAAGCAGTTGACTCTGTTAAGTGTTTCTTAGCCAGATCATTCAAAATACACGATTAGGCCCACCAAAAATCCTCCTGTAAAAGTCTTAAACTATTTTATCCCATTTTTAACTCTGGAATTGTGCATTTATTTTCCCCTCAACATTACTACACACAATTTCCACTGAACTGTACTCAATATTAACAACTAGAAGTAGTGCTAAAATACAATGTGAATCCTATCAGATCTTTAAAAGTCAATCTATGATGTATCCAAGCATAAAACCAAAGTGTTTTAGAATCTAGATTCTACCACACTGTGCTCTCATGCTTCTGCAGTCAACAGCAACAGACATTTTCACTGCATTAGTGTTAAATGTCATAAGTGAAATACTTCATGCTAGAACATACTCATTCATAACTGTAACCATCAAACCTACTGCATTTCCTTCTCTTGAAAGCAGACATATCTTCTATGCACATTCCAGTCACAGCACAACTCAAACATTTCATATTTTCATTGTACTTACTCTGCAGAGGCTGGCAAGATACTTATGGGAGAGATGTGAGCACTGCAATAAAGAAAAGGAAGTTAATGTAATGCAAAAACTTACCACGCTAAATAAAAGTCTTGAAGTCAACAGGACACAACTTAGAAAATATTTTAAGACTGCATGTAATGCAGCTAATAAAATAAATACGTAAAGAAAATACTGATTTGCACTCCCTTTACTGTTTAGATAAAGGAATCTTAAAGAACACCATCATAAGACAGGAAGTTGTAGGAGTAGCAAAGCAGATTTGTCTCTCAGTACATTATGAAGCTATAAGCTCTCAGAAGTACAGTCTTTCCCATGGGAAATACTAATCACTTAGTCTCCAAAGATTTCCTGACACCTTGCTTAAGAATGCAGATTTTAACCTTGCTGCCTAAAGCACATTCTGCATCACTCTGATTTCTTTTGCAGTTGCAATCCATAAGAGCTGCTTCCCTGCCTGTCAGACTGCTGCCTCATTTTGTTCTGCACCATTCAACAGATGTTGAACAGTGTTCTCCAAGGACAGCTACAGCATTTCAAGTCCAAGGCAGGCACCTTCCAGAGGTGTTGAAGCAGCAGCTAGCTGTTTGGAGAACATCTGGAAATCTCCTAGCACAAGCCACTTCAGCCTAGACTATCAAACTCCTGGGGGTGGTGGTGATCAGTGTAACTAACTCAAGTTAACTCATGGGTATGTGGTCCCAAATTAATATGATCAGAATTCTCCAATAATAAATAAAATGCTTAACTTTTAGACAAAGTTTTGCTTGCCATGACATATAACTAGAGTTCAAAAAGCTGAAGCCCAACATTTTAGCTTGCCCATTACCATGCAACAACACTGCTGGCACCCACAGCTGATTTCAAATCTTATTTCCATGAATGCATAAAGTAAACTCTAAATATAAAGGAGCTTCCCACTGCACTGGAGCTCAAGAGGTACTCTGATCCCAGCCTGCCTTGCACTAAAGAGATGGTCTCCCTCCTTACCCAAGAATAGTTTTAATGCAGCAAGAATTATCTTGGTCAGACTTCATCAAGTTTAGTAGTAGTTCTACCACTAGAGAGGTAAGGTAAGTACACCACCTCAAGCAGACTGGTTTTCTCTTCCTCTCAGCAGCGGAAACACAAACAATAAAGGATTTCCATTGAAACACTTGCTGACAGGAAAGTGGTTAAAGCATTTCTTTAAAAATAATGATGTTCTTTTGCCTTAGATAACTTGTCCTGGGACACAGCACAGCACTGAATGCAAACCCCACCATGGAACACTCCACAAGCAGGTGCCCACACAAGCTTTCCTTAATGGAAACTTGATTTTGAATCAAGCTCATTTTGATGGGTGTGTTTGCCTTGGTGGAAAACCAAAGCAGATCCAGATCTAAATGCTCTGACAGAACAGGCAGCTCTAAAGTACCATTTCAAACCAGAGAGTGCTTCATAGCTTTGGGAAATTAAAACACCTGATATAGAAGGCAGATCTTGCACCCACTGATTTCAAAGCTGCTGGATCAAGCATCTGAGGGTGAACACAATGGCACTTTGGTTGTTTTCTTTCAAACTAAGGAATAGCAAGAAAAAATTTATAACTTAATATATCTACATTTCACTGATATTTCTGTGCACAGAAGTTCAGCACAGCCCTACTACTGGTACGAAGGAAGATCTTTGACAAACACATTTTGATTTGACCACACCTGAAATCACAAAAATGAAGACATGAAGCTGTGAATAAGTTCAGCTTCACAAACAAGAGAAGAGAGGAACATGAGCAAAACCATCAGTGAATAGAACAGATTTCAAACCACAGCCCTTGTTTCAGTGTTTTCAGGAAGTTCTACATTATAAAAGGTATGCTCACATTCTAAAAGTACTAATACACAATTGTATAGACTGGAATCAATTTACTATTAACACACAGTTACTCCTAGGACAAGGGGGGGGGGGGGGGCGGGAAGAAGGTAATCATAGCACAGAACACTGCACTCCAGTTGTAAAAGAGAGCAAAAGAAGTAATTCAGTCAAGGGCACAAGTACAAACACTATTTATAGGAAACTGATGACCTGGAATCCTTTTATTCTACCACTTCAGACAATGAGGAACTGTGTCAAGAATAGGGAGAATCAAATTCCTCTCCAAAGAATCACAAAGATTTCAGACATGGTTCACAACACAATTTTCCATCTTACTGTGTAACCTTCAGGCCCCCCCAGCACAGGATCATTCCCCAGTGCCCCCGTTAAACACCTTTAGATACATTAGAGGTACTCAGCAATAGATCTGCATAAATCAGCAGTATTGCAAAGCCTTTACAATCCTCTTACTACATACAGGATATCTTCAACTAAGCCCTTCAGCGACTACGTGCTTTTTGAAAGAAATGTGTCAATGGCTCTTACGTGAAAATACAACCCAACTTCCCCACTGTGCTACTACAGCTCAAGGATACTCTATAAAAGCTGTAAATTATACTGCTACACAGAGCCGCTACACGCAGCATGACACAGCAAGACACACAAAGGTAAACAGCTTCGTTTCATAATGCTAACCCAGTCCTGAGAAGCCCTTTTGCACTGTCTCACAACCCATAGGAAGTTACAGTGAAAACACCTGAGATAGAAAAACACATTTAACGGAGAGAGACTAGTTCAAACTTTTTCTTAGTAATTCACACAGTTCGTTATTTCTCATTAAAAATATTAGTTGTGACTATTTCATTTCATGCTATCTCCTAAACGAATTTAATCTCATGTAATTTTCAAGTTAAATAAAGTCTTAATTTGCAATCAAAGCAACATTTTCCTTTCATATATTTACCTGTGCAGCAGAACTTTACAGGCCATGCTGATGATTTTTGCTATCCCAAACGAGCACTTCATGTAAAACTGCTTCATTTGGAAAGCAGCAAAGCGTGGTGCTGGCTGCTGGCTGTGCATGCTGCTCGCTCGGCTTCAATGGCTGCTTGTCAGGCAGCACTTCTGGAGTGCTGCACTAAACCCTGCAGTCTAACTAGAAATAGACTGCAACATGAGGTCACTCCTGACAATAAGCTGCCCAATCAACACTTGAAAGCTTCCCCAACATGTTGTTGACAGATTTTCTAGGTAGGGATGAGTATTGGGTTGGTAAAGGGAGCATTAGATTAAAACAATAACCTATTTTCTAGCCATTCAGGCAGTTGTAATGTTTGGTCAGCTTTACTATAGAGGCATTTTGTCTCGCTTTGTTGCTGTTGACTATTATTGCCTCTCTCTCACTGATCTAAATAGAAATAAAAAGCATTAACAAATATCACACAAGCAGAGAGGATGTGACCCTTATCATTGCATTTAATATAGGTCAACTTGTTTACAGAACTTGCAACTTGTCATATCTTATATTTTTACACGTATCATTTTGAAAAGCCCAAAGAATGTCTCAAGAGTTTTTCCATTAGGCTCCTGGCTGGCAATATTTAAGATGAACTGCAAAGAGTAAAGCAAATGCTGTTTGGCAAAGCGCAGTGATTAAATATTTGGAGTAATGATAGAGAAGGATTCTAAAGTGATTATTTCAAGAGCCCGTCTTGAAAGTCAGCTGCAGTGCTGAGTCAGAGATTCCTTCCTCCAAAAGTCAGGACAGCAAAACCAGGAGAGCCTAGGGAAAAGGTTTCTGGTAACAGAATATGGTGTTTCCTTTACATGCACAATGTCAACTCACAAACACTCCCCTCTGGGGTAACGGGCTGAAAGGGCACTCCACAGGTTTATATTAAATACCTCTTTCAAGCAGTCTCTAAATCAAACTGCATTAATGATTACCCACATTTGCACCCAGTTTCTCTCGAACTCAAATTAACACCATGCAGTGCATGAAGGTCAGGTGTTTCAGCAAGAACAACCAACACGAGAAAAAAGCTAGTGAGCAAGGTTATAAGGAAGTTGTAGTCTAAATAACTAGAAGGAAGGTCTATACCACACTGTATGGATCAAGATAACCAATTTTTAACATGCAGAACACGCAACCTCAGTACTCTTTTCCTTCTCTCCACGAAGAGCCTAAAATATACAGATAGTCCATCCCCAAAATTTGACAGGAGGAAAGAAGCCACAAAACTACAGGTTAAGAAACTACATGAATCATGTTTGAGATCTACTCCTCTTCCTCCTTCCTTTACAAGCTGCTGCAGGCCCCATGTCAAGAAAAACAGCCGCGTAAAGCTGCATCAACATTTGCTTTTTTACTTATATTTTGCATAAAATAAAACAAAGAAAGGCCATAAAATACATATTATGAAAGCCTTTAAATTTGGAAACATACAGCATTTATGGTGGTTAAAGGTTTAATAAAGCACACCGTCTCGCTCTGTAATTGTGTTTTCTTGTTTCATGTTTCCTGCAGTTGATCTGGTTTTACAGTCACAACTCTCTTCTGCAGGATTCCTCGTTATCCTTCCCCACAAAAATTATGGAAAACGCCAACCATAATTAAAGCCTATTAACGTTTAATTAACCCTAAACATTGAGGAAAGATGCTTTTCTCTTCAGGCTATCAAAATTAAACTCTCAAACACGTTGAGGTTGTCACTACTGTTGTGCTTCCACATTCCACAGGCAACTAAATACCTGTGAATACCTGTGAACAGCTAAACTGCTTTACAACTGTAATGGTAGAAATTCCAATTACAGCAACTTGTTTTCCATTTAACTCAAACCAAGATTAAACACCTCCATTACTGACAAGGATAATTATTAAAATAGAATTTCAATTACAGAACAAAAATGTTTCTTTCATTATTTTCTATTTTACAAGTTCCTGCAATGAAGCAGAAGGAAGTGTGCAGCCAAGCACCTCCACAGAACCTAAAATACACATTCTTGAGACTACTGAGACTTCGGCAGAACCTTATATGTGATTTTGCCTGCATCTCTTCTGCTTTCAGTCACGCTTTTAATACAGATTCTTCCTCATCCCTCCCCACAAGTTCCTACACGCAATACCCATAAAAACACATGCTGCAAAGAGGAAAAGGTAAAATTCACTCTCTGTAAAATGTGAACTCTAAGTACAGGTAAAGCAGACTTAAAAATAAAAACTCACTTTCTACAAGCAAGTACAATATAAATCTGTGTATTACAAATGCACACAAATAAGCTCTCAAAGGAAAACACAGTTTTAAGTATATGCATCTCCTTTATGAAGATTGGTCTTAATTAAAAGCTGAATCCACTCCAAGGCTCTATCCCACTTTGCAGCTCCCAAACCTGCTTCCAGCTCCTACCCAGCGGAGCCTATCTGAACAGATCTCTCTATAGAATCTGGCCCTTGGGCAGGTATTGCAGGGCTCTCCAGCTTCAGCAGCTGTTATACTTGTTTGGACAACACAAGACCTTGGCTTCCTATGTATTTTTCTAATAACCTTTTCTAGAAGGCCGTTAACAAATAAAACCTCAGCTTATGCATAGGTGCCAGTTATGTCACTCCTATAGTGATATAACAAACATCAGCCTCTGAGATAAATTTAGTTAGCAGAGTTTAAATTAGCTGAAGATCAGTGTTTTACAAGTACATGAACAAGGCAACTTTCAGAAAACAGGGAACCCAGAGCCTTCAATTTAAGCTCATATTAAAGCGACCTTCTGGACCCTCAATTCAACAACCCATTCTGTGAAGTCTCATATATAACCTTACAAACACCACCTCTGAAGCGCTCAAGATTTCCTCCACATTGCTCCTACTAAAGGCCTTTCTAGAACCTCTAAATACCAACCTAAAAATCATTAGTGGTCAATCTTACCCCACTCGCTCTCTCACTCTCCTTTTAGTTATATGTAGTTCTCTCTTCATCCCCAGTGTTTTCTTTCTCTAGCATATTTTCAGGAAGCAATCACATCTATAGACTCTTCATTACAATTGCTGAATGCAATATATTCCACTGTATGCTAGTGAAATCAAAAAGTACTTTCCCCATTTAACACCCAACCAAACTGGGCAGGTTTAGACAATAAAGGAGGGTTGCGCAAGGACAGCTCTGCTGACCAGCACATGACAAGAAGTAGCCCCAGGATCTCCCACTGAAAGGGAACGGTGGAAAGACTGTCCCGAATGGGTTCACATCTAAAAATATTCACATTCTTTTTATATTTCTCCTATAAAATTCACTGTTCAAATACAGCTTTACAGTTTCACTACAATATGGCCTTTTTCCCTTTCTCTGCACTAACCACATTGTTAATCCCATCTGTGTTCTACAGGCATTCCTCTGCTGAATTTGGGAGCAGTGATTTTATTTTTGTATTGTACTATTTATTTCTGTATTTTACTACAACAATAATTGCACCTACTTATAAAGCTTCAGTTTGTAGACACACCGCTCAAAAGCCTGACAGTTTCCCTCAGACAGAACAGATGACACTTTAGACTCTAAACCAAACTCTAAAGCAGGAACAGGTTACCTTGTTGATGCTGTAACACTCCTGGAATCCGAGAGACTCCCTGTCATATCTAGATGCACCACAGCTGGCCTTTCAACAGGTTTCTCTGTGCCATCTTCTGGAAGTTCTTCAGACTGCTCAAGCTTTACATCTTCCTCCTCTTCCAAGAGATCATTGATCTAAAAAGGATTTAATCACAGTTACTGGCTGGAAAAGTTCTTTAAAGAGGTCCAAGGAACTAAAAGAGCATGAGAGGTCTAAAAACAACGTACATGTAAGAGGTGAACATTTTTCAGTTTTAGAAAGAAACAGACACACTAGACTTGCTTTTATGTTAAACCATATATTCCACATCGCTAAAAAGCTACAGAACTCTTTTGAAACACTGGACAAAAGCTGAAGCACCCCTAATGCAGTAAATGAACACAAGCAGAATCAAGACAAAAATATCCCAGCCATGCTGAAGTCATGAGGCACAGAGCCTTTCTTCCTTTATATATGAAATAGAGACAGCCAATTCTCCTCTATTCCATAGGAAGCTTTAATCATACATGAGAAGCATTTTCAAATGCTTTATGGAAAGCAATATGTAAGCCAAAGAATCCAAACTTTAAGGTATTGAATGAATACTTCCAAAGGCAAATGTAAGAGTATTGAGAAGCTTCCCCAAAGCCTCCTGTTTTTGTTTCTTCATTTCCGAATACAGATGTGTTTACTGAAGCAGTGAGATACAGGCACTTTAAAAAGTAAAACAATATAGCCACTGACACGTCAGTACAGCACCTTCCCTGTTTACAAAGCAACTATGTTAAAACCATAAAAAGGTAAACACAAAGTTACTCTGTTTGATTGCAAAGCCCCTGTGATTGATTACTGATCTCCCAAACTTGCAAACCCAAACATTAAAGCAGCAGCAGGCTCAAGAATATATACTTTATATCACATTCTGCATGAGTACAAAAAGAACCCACTGAATTAAGAAAAACTGAAACTTTACACAGAAGGCAGAGAGGAGCTGTTTATTTTTCAAAGGGGTGTAATTGTTACATGGAAATACATTCAGGTCAAGAAACACACTTATCCCCGACTTTCCAGTGTAATTTCAAGAGGATGTGGCAGTGACCCACAGGCAAGCCCAGCCACACACAGTGGGGCTGCACACAGTGGGGACGGGGCCCTGCTGCGCCCCACACACTGGCCTGGAGGGAGCAGGACCCAGCAGCAGTGCACTGTTGACATCTGGTGGAGACACCATGAAATTAAAGGGACACCCCACCAAGAAAAAAACCAAAGCCAAAACCACATACTAAACAAGCTGCTATGCTTGGGAAACCCTTTTGCTAAAACACAGAATGACCCACAGACAAGTCAGTAATTTCAAAGCATGAAAGCAGACTATTCTTTAAAGAGCAGTCATGCCAGCCTCAGGTGACAGCCCTCAACCTGGCTGTAGAAGATACAGCCCAGCTTTATGCAACAGCTTCCTTCTAACAGCAGGGCTGTGGCAGTTCTCAGTGCTAGACGCACTTCTGCAAAGAGCTGGAGACTGCAAACACTGCAAAGCTGCAGCACTTAGCTAAAGGAGCGAGCAGAGCAGAAGCTGCTCAATCCAGAATGTGCTGCCCACGCTTGGCAGAGCAGCCCAGTGGGTGAGAGAGGTGTCTCCTGCAGTCAAGAGGAAGCAATCAGCTGCCCCAGGACTTGCCTTACCTGTCTTGCTAGAGGAGGGGTTCATGGCACAGTGAGGCGTTAAAAACCTCAGTGTTTGTTACCTTCCTTAGCAACTACTGATACCTACCTCTTTTCCTCTTCAAAGAAAATATATCACTTCTTAAGCCAATTGAATATGAGAAAATTCATGGTTTATAGCTTTCTGTATTTCTGAGGAAGGGTTTGCGTCAAGATTTTGTTAATAAATCCACAAACCTGGCTCTGATAATACAAAGAAGTGTTTTTTCCATCATTATCACTTATACACCATGACTTGCTAGAATTTAAAACATCTGCGAACATAGAATCATAGAATAGTTGGGGTTGGAAAGGACCTTAAGATCATCTAGTTCCAACCCCCCTGCCATGCGCATGGATACCTTACGCTGAACCATATCACCCAAGGCCTCTCCCAACCTGGTCTTGAACACTGGCAGGGATGGAGCATTCACAACCTCCCTGGGCAACCCATTCCAGTGCCTCACCACCCTCACAGGAAAGAATTTCCTTCTTATATCCAATCTAAAAGAAGAATACTACATTTTCATTTCTCTTAACACCTCTCCATCTCTGTATTTATATAGATATTTATATAGATACTTATATAGATCCCAGCATGACATGGTATTTTACTGCACAGAGTTAAATTTGTTGTGAGGAAAGGCAGAAGAGTGACACTGGATACCACCAATCAAATGGAGAGGCGAGTCTGACAAGCCTGGCAGCTGAATACTGGGACGCAGAGGATTTCTGTTCAACTTGACTTTTTTTTCTCCAATTTCAACACTCTTCCACACTAATATCAAGAATTTGTTTTGAAGTCTTAGAATCAGAAACACCATTCAAGAAATTCTGGCACAGGGAAACACCACTGATAACATCAAGTGGAGTGCGAGACCCTGCATGCTCCTCTAAAACACACCTGGATGTATTATTGACCAAGACAGACACTAGCATGGCTCTGCATTCACTTGAAACACAGTTGTCCAGTCCTAAAAAGATAACTCAAAAGCTGTACTGTTTATGTAGCATATTTGTGTTGGGCAGGATATCACTGTTGGTCCAGTGCCAGTGTATGGTTCTCCATAGCATAGCTATACAATTCCACAAGCATGCCTGTGTTTGGAAAACTCATACGGAAATGCCACATTTTGGCAGTTTGCAAGAAAGAGAAAGGCATAATAAAGTTATATTTCAACCAATCTTTCATAAACATGTGTATAACAGACACTTAAGTGATAACATACTGCCATTTAAAATATTCTTACCTGCTCAGTTATTGAGCTTAAATCATTGGTGGATGAAAAATCTTCCTCTTCATTTTCAAAGAATTCATAGTAGTTCTCCAGAAGCCCCGCCATTATTCTGCTCACTAGTTCTTGTTCTTTCAGATCCTCCACATCTGTGTAAATGCTAAAGATTTCAACACTGGGTTAATTTAGAGAGATGAATTCAAATGTTTCCCCAAAGACTCCTGTGAACGACTTCAATGACTAAAGGCTGCACTTCACACCATTATCCCTAATCCATTCACAGAACACAAGAGAACTTTCAGTGTGCCTTCACACCAGTGCATTATAGAGCTTTATACTAGCTTACAAAGTGACAAAGTACTATTTTGTCAATTAACCTTTCATGAGGAATATTTAAAATGTAAGTAATTTCCCGTAGAGGGGAATCCTCAGGATACATTTATACCAGAAGATCTTTCTCACTACAAATAGTAATCTTAGAGGCTATCTCTAAAAAATGTGAACCTCAGTATTACTACAGTAATGCAAGAACCACATCACTGGTTTCTAACACCACAGCTCATAGACAAGCTCTTGTTCACATCTGAGCAAAAACTGTAAGACAAAACTAGGGTGAGGGAGTGGGGGGAACAGAAAGAAAGATGCCGCCCAAAACATATTCATAGGAACATAAACTGGTTTGGGTTGGAAGGACCTTAGAGCTCATCCAGTTCCTACCCCCTGCCATGGGCAGGGACACCTTCTACTAGCGCAGGTTGCTCCAAGCCCTGTCCAACCTGGCCTTGAACACTGCCACACATGGGGCAGGCACAGCTTCTCCGGGAACTTCATCTTGTGTATTTGCTACTGTTACTCATGGACTAGAAATGAGTTCACACTACAGACACACTCTGTCAAACTCACACAGAAACACCCCATGAACTTTAAAAACCAACTTACTGAAAAACATCCGGGCCAAAGACTGCAGCTAAAGAACTCGCTGACCAGATTTCTTCATGATGAGATGCTACATTAGCTAAAAATTTACACAGAAACTTTAACAAACTGTAATTAACAGGTGGAAGCTGCTGCAAGAGGAACCTCAACTTTCTTCCAAATTCATCTTCGTTATTATAATCTGGAAAATGTAATAAAAGTATTTTAATCACAGAAATGAGTATCTGCTTTATCACATTTAATATTGATTGACTTTTTGACTCTGACAATAATTACTTGCTTCTGAAGTACAAATGACTGGGACAGAATATAGCCTAAACTGGCAGCATTTGACTTGTGTTGGTTTGCTCTGAGATTCCATTACTAAATTTCTCCACGGAAAAAGGAAAAAACAAACCCAAAGCTCAACAAACAAGCAACCAAAAACCAACCCAACCTACATATCTGAAGGGTGTTTGCAATCTATCTGTCCCTGCATCTCATCCTCTCATTTCAGTCTCTGGGTTAGTCCCTTACTCTCTGATCTCTTCAAGAGAGGCTGAGAACTCCTTTTCTGTTCTGTCACTCTTCTTCAGCGATGTCAGAGGTCTGGACGGGTGGTAAAGAGATAGGGGTACATAACAAAAAAACCAAACCCTTCCCAGTCTTGTTTCCATGGCACAGAACCATCAGATTACTTTCCCTAATGATAAACTGTAAGTTTAATTTCTTCTGTGAAACAAATCGATAACCTAAACCAATGACTTCCACCATATTCTCCTCCGCAAGTCCAGTTTAGCATGTTCTCCCCAATTAATGCTGATTACATAGGCCAGTTCCTCCATAACCCTTCATTTTACCACTGCTGCACAACTGCTTTTCAGAAGAGCTCTAGAGGCAGCAACAGCTCTAGAGGCAGCAACAGCTCTAGAGGCAGCAACAGCTCTAGAGGCAGCAACAGCTCTAGAGGCAGCAAGCTAGCTTAAAAACCTAAATACTCCCTGTTTCAGACAACCTCCTTTGCTATTTCTTCCTCTACAAGCATCCCATTCTCAGCACTCTACTTCCTTTTACAACACTTACCTGATAAGTACAAGCAATCTCAATGCAATCATCTAACATGTACTTAGCTTGAAGCTTGTTGATTCCTTTTCAGACCTGAGAAAGGCTCACCATCAAACTTCCTCATTCTCACGCTGCATTTAACTACACCCTTCAGCAAAGCATCTCCCTATCAATCCCATCTGTTACATTATAAGCCCTACAAGCAATAGGGTTCAAAGAGTTTACAATTGTTTGCACCTAACAGAGAAATCCCATATAAAGGAAATGTTGGGAAAGCCAAAGTGGGAGAAAACTTGATACTAACAGACCCCCCATCCTTTCTCAGGATTTGAAAACTCTTCTTAGATCATCAGTTAGAAAGGAAAGAAGACATTTGAAGATGATGAACAGTTGCTGAGTCCTTAATGTCAACTCCAAGTAGCAAATTCCCCTCTGTACACGTACCGTAATACCAAACGGTAACATGCAGGACTTCATTTACCTAGACACAGGTAACACCTACAGTACCTGAATACAGGTAACCAGGCACAGAAAAATACTTCTTCCTGGAAACTGATCTATGCCTATCAGACAGTGAAAAAGACAAAACCTGAGTAGAGGAAACCGAAACTCTAATTTTAGTATCAGGAAACAGCATTTAAAGGTTCATTTGTTCCAATTTCCATGGTGCAGATAACTTTAGATCTTTCTAAAATCACTTTATTTTAAACTTTCAAGAAAGACAGTAAAGAAAATAAACTGCAAGTTAAAGAGAAGCTTTTCTGTGTGTTTGACAGAAAGGAATTACATGGGATTTACATGCTGAAGAAAAACTCTTTTCCCAAAACAACCCCCATGTAAAAAAAAAAAAAAAACATAAATCTATTTTTTACATAGTCATCTATTCAAAAACGGAAAAAAGCCAATTTTCACACTGTATTTTACAAGTCATAGAAGGGAATCAACACTGTCACACCAAGGGAGCCCACCCCAATCCTATTTCCTGTTATGATGTTGCAAACCAAGGTGCATAGCAGTACTAGCTGAGCAACCAGCAGCATTCTGCATTACTGTCTTAACCATCCTGTCATTTATCATCTTTTTCAGGTTTACTAGCTGCTGAGGTCCAAGGAACCAGGACATCAGCAATACAACCCAAAAAGCAGACATATCACCAATGAGATTCCCTGTCCACTTCGATTTCTCATTACTGCACAGGACAAACAAACAGAACTTCAGCCTTAACACATTTCTATGATCAGCAGCTTCCAAAAATTGCTTCTAGCACAAGACTACTTAGTGCCTCACACATCAGTGTTCAGCCTCTGCTCACCAGCTATGAACATAACCACCCCACACTCAACATTTCAGGATATGGGGACTACCTAAAGGAGGAAAATGAAGCAGCTTCAAACTCTAAAAGATGACCCTCCAGTTTAGCAGCTGGTAAATACAGAGTAACAGTGTACAAAAACCATGCTACACTCACTCATTCCACAAAACAATTCCTACTCTGAACAAACTGGACAATCATGAATGCTACCAAGTTCTTATGAGGAATAAACTCAACAAGCAAAACGTGCATCTTCCAAAGCAGAACAAGCCCAGCACTTGAAGCAAAGTATGAACTGACACTGGAAAATGAGCAACACTCCTGCAGAGCGACAACCAGCAAACCCCTCAGTTATGTCACAGGGTTGCAGAGCTCCAACAGCAACATACCCTTTGAGGACATTACTAAGGTAGTACTGCAAGACAAGCTTTTTCACTAGTCAAGTTATGAATCAACTCCAACACCACTCAAAACAGCAGAGGCCAAAAGACTCCAGAGACTGGATACAGACAGACAAGTTGGGAACTGGTAAGGAAAATACTGTGCCAGCATATGGGTATCAATGTGAAAGGGCAAGGTCTTGCAGGGTATGAAAAAACATATTTAGCAACAACAACATGCTGCTGACGGGGGGGGGGGGGGTATCCTCCTACAAATGAGTTTTAAACTGAAAAAAATCCACAGTGGGAAAGCAAATGCAACAAGAGCATAGGGCTCAAGATCTCTTCTCTAGTATACAAAAGCTTTAACTGCTAGGAAAGCATAGGTAGAGTAAGAGAAATTAAGAGGAAATAAGAGAAAAGCAGACAGAAGCATTCCTAGTACTTTGAAGCATTAGTAGAAGATGTCACACAACTTTGATTCCAGTAGCTTTGACTCGTGTCCCAGTATTCATGCACAAGAACATGGAACACTCAGAATTAATCAGCATGATACGTGGCAGCTCACTGTTTTCCACTATGATGGATAAACTGTGCCTTTGAATGCGGTCTGAGTTTCCGAAAAAGACCTATTTATTTGGGATTTGTGCTAAGAAAAGGTTATTTAAATGTCTCCTGATACACGTGATTACACAGAGCACCAAAGACACCCCAGTGCCACTACAAAACTCCATTTAATACTGTTTTTTGTTCTTAAAATAATACAAACATTGCATCAAAAATAATTATTACCTTGAGAAAGTTGCATTAAATGTATGTGCAAACTGCCAGGGATGACTGGCTCTGGAAGTTCTTGAAGAAAAAACCTAAGAAGGCTGATAGCTGAGGGTACATCTGCTTCTTTAACCAGGTCCACATCTTCTCCATTATCATATCGCTGCCGAAGCCACTCCACTGTCTCGGCATTCCCATTGACTTGAAAAAGTCCTTCTTGTTCCAGACCCCCTGAATTAGAAAGAAATTGCAGAAATAATTTTTTAGATCTTGTATGGACAAATATTGCAGCAAATACTGATAATCAGATATGCACAATTCATACACTGACTGAAACGCTTCCTGGACAGCAGTTTTGCAAGACTTCAGCAGTCCTTTTCCCAGCAAATACAATATCTTATGCCCAGCTAACAGCACAGGAAGCTGAGTGTCACAGTACCTAAACCATACCATTTCCTATGAACTACCCTGATAAGCTGACTGCATTAGTCTCAGTTAGAAAAAAGTGATAATCAAATGTAACAGAAGGACTAAAGAAAGTGTGTATCACCAAAAAAGAATTCCAACTAAATCACATCCAATTAAATGTAAGTAACTTTAGGAAAAAAGTACTCTTCAAAAAATACAGCTTACAAACCCCACAATTTATTCTGTAAGAATAACAGCTCAACACATTCAAGTACAGCAAGAGAATACATACCATGTTCCTCAATATAGTCCACCACATGGCGGACTATGAATGGAACCTCATTGTCTGGTTGCCCTTCTTGCTGCAGCTCATCAAGTGGAATTCCAAATATTTTGTTAGCAAGAACAGAGTTGCAGTTACTCAAGGAAGGGGAGGAGCTCTTCCTCATATCTTTTTGCAGCCAAAAATCAAAGCTGTCTTTTCTGTCAAGTAAGAGGAATTAAAACCAAAAATCATACTTCAGTGCACGCTGGTTTAATCACCTAATGCAAATACTCTTTGGTCTCAGTCTGTTGACTGATTTAATGACAGGCTCTATAATGACTCCAAGTACAGCTAACTACCTAAACAACTACAACCAAGATAGATGTCATAGCCAATCCTCAATAGAGGACTGAGAAGAACATATATAGCAACAAAGAAAACTCAGAAAATTCTAGTCACAACATCATTGCTTAAGTCCTAAGGTGCTTCAGAAGAGAAATTCTTCAGTACGTTTCCTGACGGTATTTATCAGTCAGGCCTTGGAAACCCAACGCAAAAACCTCTCAAGAGGAAATTAAACTAGTGGATCATACCAAACCAAACCCACTGGTTTTAGTTACATGAAATGATAAAGTATTTTGTGGTACGCAGCTCCACTGCAATCAACTTCTAATATATTCAGCATTTTCTGGTCTGTACAATAGAGCTTTCAACACCTGCATCAAATTAAACATTTAATAAACATAAACCCCCAAAACTAGTTTCTAGATGCTCAGCGATACCATTCTTCCCACAATGCAGAAGCTCCAGCTTTATTTGCAAGTCTTTGCTTGATAAAGGATCTAAGTAGATAACAGCGGTATTACCAAAGACAGTGCGTTTCAGTTAAACTGTTAACCTGTCAGAACCAAAATATTTCCTTTAGCAAAGAAAAACCTGTCTTTTCAAAATAAATACTCAAAAAGAAAACATACTTGCTTAAATGCAAGCAGTCACTTTCATAGAGGATGGGACACAGACCATGAAATACAGCCTGCTAGACAAAGCACCGCAACCAAACTTAATCCTCTGATTACTAATGGATTAATAAATTCTAACAGATGAGACACACTGAAATCCACACTTCCTTTTCTTCTTTAATAGCTTGAGTAAAGCAGTTGAAGAAACCCACCTCAGAGTACTTAAACAGCCGAGTTTGAAAAACGTTTTCTGCGCCAGCTGCCCTCACTGACCAAGCATTCTTTTGTCATTTATGGTTGTTTAAGATTATGGCAAAAGATCAGCCTGTAGTTCCTCATTGAAGAATAGCAGAACTCGATCAGTACTTCAGCAGTTAATCTGAAAATAAGGAAAAGATTATCAGACCATAAAGTTTTCAACAGTTTTAAACTCGGTCACAAGTCTAAACATCACATTTGAGGAATTCTCCTTGTTAAATCATCCATTTCTTGTTCTGATCAAGAAAGTATAAAGACCTCATCATACAAAAAAGCAAATCCCTTTCTTCACTTAGGAGTTAACCAAATATAAAGCAAAAAGCATGGGACAGCTAAGCCTCAGCAATTATGACATGATTTTCAGACTCACTCATTCTTTTTCTAAAGAACCACAAAGGATGTAGTAGGTTGGACGGAACTGTTTTATAGTACCTACCATACTAAAACATTTCATGTCTATAAAGTTTTTAGAAGGATCTCTGGCTTAACACCCCATGGCGTGGGGGTGTTCAAATGGCATGACCAAAAACTAAATCCTAACCAAGGACAGAGAGTCAATTAGTTTTCAGTGGTACAGATCTAGGAAATTGATTGTGTGTCCTAATTTCCAGTTCAAAGCCTAAGTCATCATGAGATATGAATACAGGAAACAACTTCCCCAATTAGGTTCCCTTGAACCAATCACATTTTTGCTACCTTTTAGAATCCCACCTATCTGTACATTTTTCAAGTTCTTAGCTCACAAAATAGCTACAAACCACAGCAATTGCCTTTTGGTCTTGTGTGGTACTGAACATTTACATTGCAGCTTCATGACACAGTGAAGCTCATTTAATGCCCAGGTATAGTCAGAGGGTCATCTCAGCTCCTAAATCCCACCTATTACCTGTTCTAATTAAACTCAAGCAACTGTAACTGGGCAAAACTAGCTTGAGCCATACATGAACACACACAAACACAACACACACCACCAAAGCTAGACAATAAAAAAAGCTTTCCCTGGCTTTAAAACCTTCCATTTCGTAATTTGAGATCAAGATGAGAATTCAGCTGACAGACTTGAGAAAAGTACCTTCCCTCTCTTTGCTCCCGCACATTGGCTCTTGCTTCTATTCCACATCAGAAAAAAAATCAACTTCATCTTCACTTTCGAAGTCCTAACACCCACTACTCATTTCAGTACCAAAATCTGCCAGTCCATTCACTAGCCTGGGACACCAGGAATCCAGAGCCCTTCCAGTAGTCTGAAAAAACTGACGTTTTCCTGCTCCAAATCCTCCCCACACTGCACCCATGAGTTAACACTGAGCTGACCATAAGCTCTATGCAACACTGCCTCAACCTCCTCAAAATTTCCTTGCATTGAGGCCTAGAGGAAAAAAAGTATTTCATGCATAAAAGTCTTTAAATCTTTGCCTAATCATGTAAGCAATGCTGACCAATATCCTCTCCTGTTTTTTGTTATCTCTGTCTCTTGCAGATTTCAATCAATCCCAACATATCATGCAACTTTTAAGATCTGAAGATGCACACAGTCTATTTTCTGAAGTTCTACCAAAGTCAACCACGTATCCACAAGGAATCAGACAGGCTCATGTTCATGGGGTTAATGGCAGCTGGGAAAAAAACCTTTGATGGATCTGCCACAACGCTTCAGGCTGCCTTGCTCAAACCAACCAACCAACCTTCAAATAAACATCAAAACAATCATCACCCAATAAAAAGCAAATTAGAAGCAACCACTTCTTTATAATTCAGCACCAAATGAACAATCTTGTGGTCCCAGCTTCCTTAACAAAGACAACTTTGTGCTTAGTTAGCTGACATTAAAGCATTGCTATTTTCTCCGGGTGCCACAGACAAATAGGCTACCTGAATATTAACTTCATTCAAGAGACAGTAAAGAGAAGTCTTTCTGTTGTCTTTTTTTCACTAGCTTGGCCATGTAACAATGAAGTCAAAACAGCCTGATTGTCTCCCTGTTACAGCCAAACCGGATTTACAACCCAAGCTCATACTTTCAACATAGCATATGAATGATGATAAGCCCTATAAAACTATCACCTATCACTGAAGGAAAGGCTCAGAAATAATTATATATTGTATCTTCTCTTCTTACACTGATCAACAGCTTTTCCACTTGGTCTCCCTTGACTCAAGAATGTCCACCACTTTAATGCAGACAACATATGAAAACTAGGACAAGATATATAACCTTCAGTATTACTTCTAGTCTTTTACAAATCCTAAGCAAGACTCTGGGGAGGGATTAATTCTGGGGTTCGTTTGGTTTTTTTTTGCCATGAGCAAACAATTTCAGAAAACAGGAAGTGATCCACTCAACTATCTGCAGTTTCGCCCCTTTTATCCTGACCCTTTTGAACATGTGCTTCCCAATTTCACAGCCTACATGACTCATAAGTCCTATCAAGGGAACCACAGTAATTAAAACAACGCACCAGTTTGTGCTTTATTAGAAATAGTCAGGTTGCGCCTTTCTCATCCACCTCCCCCTTTGTTACTACAAACACTTACAAAGATCCCCTAAGCTACACTGATGTTCTACAAAATGTAACTACAGAAAACAAAAAATACACCTTATTGTGACCATCTTATACCGTAATTTTGAAAGAGGCTGAAAAAACCCCAAACATACTATATCCTATGCAACATCCCCAAGAACCCTAAATGAAGGTAAAACACTGAGTTTCATTCCATGTATTTCAGTGTTCTTTTCCTTTATTAAAAAAGGTTTCTTGGGGTTTTTGCTGTTTTGTTTGGGGGCTCTTTGTTGTTGTTGCTGTTTCTTTGATGTAGCTGTTGTTAATAAAGCAAGTACCAGGCAAGAGCCTGCTGGGAAAACAGCACCACAAGTCTCATTTTGCCATCATAATAGCATTCACTTATCTTGGCAACCGAAGAAGTATTCACACCCACATATGAAATGCCACTAAAGAAAACACAGAATACATGGCTAACTGTTAGTTTCTGAGGAATACATATGAAAGTTTAGACTTAAAATTAGCTCAGCTTTTACATTACTGGTTAAATTACAAATATATGGGTGTCTTTTTAAATTAAAGTCCTCAGGGCTCCAGCACCTTCCCTTAAAGCAAAGGAATGAAAAAACAAGAAGTAAAAATAAGATAAAAAAAGGCTACAAACTGAAACCATGCCATAGTAATGAAAACATTCATCTGCCTGCAGAATTTCTGCCACAAGTCTCAACTATTCAAGCAATTCATTTATTTGCTTGTTTTATCTAGCAAGAAATTCATATCATCTGTGAACAAAACCAAAGCTAACAATGTCTGCCATTCTGCTCTATTTTTAATGTATTATTTTGTGGGATTAGGAGACATCACTGATTTTTATTTTTAGTTTTTACTTTTCATGTTAAAAAAAAAGTAAGATTTTGAGATAGGAATAAAAGTGCTAAAGGGCAATCGCTTGCCCCTACTTCTCAGGAAACACACCTCAAGTTGAGACTGGCTTTTTCAGTCCGCAGTGCTGCATCCTGTCACCCACTCACATGCCCTCAACACTGGCTCCAAACAGAGCCCATACACATCCTCCACTCCAAGGAGGATCGTTTCTGCAGGCAAGGAGGTTTAGTTAAAAATAAATTCCTCAAAAAAATTAAGGTGCCTCCAAGTTTTTATATTTTTTACTCTATATTTGATAAATAAAATCCTCTATTATGTTACTTACATGACTTTCTTATAATTAGCAAAAATCCATGATATCTCTCTGGATACATATAGTACACATACTTTTAAACCCAAATAAGGAATTTTATTTTCAGCTAAGTTTGAGGTGTTCAAAGTTATAACAGACCCTAAGAATTTCAAACTATGGCCTAAACTTACGACATAAATTCCAACTCAGAGTCACAGAAACTTTCCTCATGCAGGGATATCGCCCAGATCCAGCTGTCAGGCATAAGCATGAGCCATAGGATTTGCCTGGGACACTTTGGTGTACCAGCTCCCTGTAAAACACACAGCCTCACTTGGCAACTGCTACACATAGTTTATGACTTTAAGAAAAGGCAACCAGCAGTCTGCTCTTTGCTCTTAAGTTTTAGCAAGATAAAAGGAGCCTTCACTCATCTGATTTTCAGCTTTTATTTGGCTAATAAGTAAAAATAAGAGTATTTTGCTCATTTGAATTAATGCAGTCAAAATTGAAAAGATGGCAGGTTGGGGCAGGAGACACAGCTACAGGAAAAGAAAAAATAAAAGTTAAAAGCCCTTAAAAACTCCTATCCCAAGCTTTTAGCAAACAAACAGAGCTCTACCACAAACTCAGGACACACAAAAGGACAAATGCTATTTGTCTCAAGAGAATAGCTGAAAACATGCAGAGCTGGGCAAGTGCTTAAATATACAGAATATCCTTCACATCAAAAGAATCATCAATTTTAAAGCAACATTTAAGTACTCATTAAAATGAGTAGTCAAAACAAAAACTGTTTAAGGATAGACATTTTAAAACCAGAAAATTAGCTTGAAATAGATTCTTAAAGCAAGATTTGCTCTGACTGTAAGGGAAATCAGCTATTGGGAGGCATTTTAGTCAAAAGTCTGGATTGGCAAATCAGACAATTAGGCTCAGCTGTTATTTCAAATTTCACAAGCTGGACTTCTTAAGAATTTATTCCTCATTCCCATGAAGGCAGAATGTTTTAAAAGAAGCATAACTACAGAATTTAACTCGCGGTGTTGAAGGAAACCATGTCAGAATAAACGTCATTTCGAGCACCTTTGACTTCCCTACTCCCTTCGTTTCTTAACATGGTTATTAACTCTTCACTGACACGTCTGCTTTCGGCTTAAATAGGAATCAAAAGCCAACAAGCTTGTGGCAGTTTTGCACACAGTCACAGGAGTCAGCAGAAGCAGGAACACCAGCTATTTAATAAACTCGCTACTTGCATGTACATGCCTTCACATGTGTGCTTTCATACACACACATGACCTCAGTTAGCTGAAATTCTCCATCATCTGCCACTAGCACTCAGAAAACACTCAAAATACTGGTTATAGTGACAAAGCAAATAAAAACACAAAAAAATACAACAGCAGATTCAGTAGAATGTAATTTTTGTTTCCTGGAAACGCAGTAGGAAGCTACCTAATTTACAAATTAGACGAATTCAAAACAAGCCTCGATGTCCTTACCATGGAAGAAAACAACAAAACAACTCATGAAAGCTCCTCTGAAAAAAGATATTCCTAAAATTGATGAAATTTGGGATTTTATTTTTAAAACTTACAAGCCAAGAAACCACAGTGTTGATCAGGATTTGTTTTCCAGTCATTAAAGTTTAGTCTACAATTTCAGCTGTCAGCATCCGATTAGACTTTCTGTGAAAAAGACCATCATCCAATACAGATCTTCATGAGAGGCAGGAAAGTGGGCAGGCTTTGGTTAGATGAAATGCAAAATAAGGAGAAAAAAAAAAAAACAAAACCTACAAAGGTTCAAATTTTAAGCACCAAATTAAGCATTTAGCAGCTGCATTGCAATAGCATTAGTAAACCCTTAAACACAGTGACTGATTTATGTAACATTCCAAAACGATTTTACATTTTAAAAGAGCAAGCTGAGAGATCACCAAAATGTGAGCTGATTTTCAAGTGGTTTGATATGCAAAAATAGTATTTTATATTCACTTACTAGATGAACTCCAAAGGCTTTTAAACAGCATTACAGCAACTCAGAATCCTTCTACAACTATACTGTAGCAGGAGGAATTCAATAAAACCATCAGCGATACCAAAAAGAAGTCGATGTTTGCTCACTGCTTCACACCCACCACTGAACACTGCCAGATTTGCTCTCAGCTGCTGCTGCCAATGCACATGTGCAGAATTATAAAGAAACTTCCTGCTCACACAGATCCCATCACATTCTTAACAACAGTAGTTAATAAATAAAAAGGCTTTTGTATCTTGTGTAACAGCTAATTATATTCATGCTACTTGCCTCCCCCCAAAGTAAAGCTGTACTCCACCAACCACAAATGTATAATTGCCACTACATCAGATAATAACTGAAGTGCAATGGCGTTATAAAAGTACACTGAGGTAACAGACAGGAAGAAATTATCAGTAAAACTATGCAGCTTGAGAGGTTCACATTATAAAGCCAAAGTAGCTTAACAATTGTCACTGCTGTTAAAGACAGACTTTGGAACAGAAGTCAAGCTACCACAGAGACACCAAAAAAAAGCAAAGTATAAATAGATAATGCATTTGATTTATTATACATAAGTTATCCTATTACATACATTTATCATCAGCCTGTTTCTCTCCCTCCTGAGCAGGTAAGCAGAAATTCACATTGGAACTCAACGCCTTACAGAATGGCCCATTCGCTATGGAAACCCTGCGATGACCACATGCCACCAAAATAAAGGACAGTCTTAGCATCCCCACTGAAGGAGTAAGACATCTTAATGAAGAGTTCAATGACTCTTTGAATTGCAAGGGAAGAGGGGGAGAGGAAAAAAAAGCGGGAGAGGGGGTAGAAGAGAGGGGACTGCTAATGAGGTCTCCTCCACAACCCATTCTTGTCACAACTTGGTCATGACCAAATCTGAAGATACCACCAGAATCACAAGGTTAGAAATTACACTGCAGCCTAAAAATGAACCCGATGACAATAAAAGAGTGACAACAAAAGATTTAATTAAATGTGAAGTTCAGCAAAAAGGGGGAAAAAAAAAAAAACACCCTTTCAAATATACATGCTTAAAAAAACAGGCGGCAAATAAAGGAAGAAAGAACGGCATTCATAAGATTCCAGCTTTCATCTTTTCAATTTTGTCCAAGTATTATTATCCTACACAGCTGAGCACAAATTTTAATCCCGAACACACTGCAGGGAACACACTGAACAGAAGAGACATATGAAGAGAGCAGGTAGGGAGACTGGAACCTGGACAATCCATTCAGGGCTCCCACCAGATCCTCTGTTCTGACCGAGCAGCTGCCCCACCCTAACGTCCTTACAAAGCTCCTGATAGCAAGGAAAATAAAACCCTCAATACCAAAAAGCCTCTGCAGGCACAGTCTTTGTTACAAGCTGTGTGAACATGAACATAATGCAGTATCTTTATTTTAAGCTCAAGTTTTCTTTTTTCTAAGACAAACGTTACAGTATAAAATTTCACACATTCACAAGTGAGACACCTCAAGAGCACCCTTGTTTGTTACTATCAGAACTATTCATTTCACTATAATCAGAATATGGTACTAGATCCAGGTGCAAAATACGGCCCATTTCTTGCACTGAATGACTCCACCCATATGTTGCAAGCAGAACAGGCTTTCAGCACTATCATCACCTAAACTATGGGGTTTAAGACTTAAAAAAAAACAAAACAGCTTTATAAAAAAATAGATGCAGGAACAAACAGATTCTCTTTTAGGCTGTAAGAATACACAGAATTCATCTGAACTGACAGAACCCTCATAAATCCCAGCAGTTGGCTATGAGGCCAGTACAAAACTATAAAGCCAAATCTGAATTTGCTAAAGCCTTCAGACAGGTCATCATTCCCAAAGTCTTTACAGGTAAAATTTAGAATCTGAAGAAGGTAATGGTCAGCAAGAGACTCCAAATGACTTGCCCAATTTTTCTGACTTTTCAGGGATCAATGCAGAATTCCTGGATTCTCTGCCTGGATACTATTTTGACACAAAACATACAGCCTCTCTGCTAAATAACTGATACATCCATTACTTTAGAAACTGCATGACAAGTAACAAATCTCCCTTTTTAATGGCCCTTCACAGAAGATTAAATACTCCTTCAATTCTGTATCTCCTCCTCAAATGTCCCGGATAAAGTGTTATTTTTTTTTTTAGCTCTTAAGTAACAGTTTCCACATTTGAAATGATTAATAAATATAGAACTGTGCCTGCAATACAAGGGGGAAAAAAGAAGTTAAAATGGTTTACCATCTTCCACCCTCAAATACTGCCTTGCCCTGCAAGAAGTCGATTCACTCTCATCCTAATGGCTGCTAGACTTCTGTTTTGTACGCTAACATGGCAGCAAAACATAACCTGGTGTTATGCACAGGATTTAAGGACAGCTTGAAGGCATTCTTCTACTGATAGCAGTTCTTCCTTAGAGCTACAGCTTCTTAGGGCAGGGTCGGGGAGGGGAAACCAAAACAAGAACCAAAGAGGAATAATAACAAAAATCGAAACTAGAAGAGGCTTGGTATACTTTATTCACTTTCTGATGAGTCCTAGAATAGGGCACCACTGCTGAGGTATAAACATTTCAGCAGAGATCAAAAGGTTGAGTATATGAAAGGGTGAAAAGCACCACAAAAAGCCTTCACACACACAAGGTCGGGGCTTTCATGACAGTTACTGTCTGTTCCAAATGCATGGAATATTTCTTCAGCCTCACCTGCTTTTGCAAACATGCTGTTATATACATGAGAAAGAGAACTTCACGGCTTGCATAGGTCTCCTGTTATGAGCCATAAATGTTAAATTAAGTCTTTTTATGAGCTATTAGAAGGTCCTCCAATGTTACAGTGCATACAGCGAGAGCCCAAACTGACTCAGCAGATACAAACTGTCATATCCTAAGCTCAGATGTTCTGACACATTGTCCATGTCAGAATCTGCAAGCATTAGAAATGATCAGGAGCTTCTCCTGGTCAACGTCTTTAAATGTAACCATGAAACACTCGACTGATTTTTCTAAAATAATATTGTGAATTTCCAGTTTGATGCTTTCAAAACATCGGGATATTTGATTCCTCGTTGTAACACTGTCAAGACAAGGAAAGGATTCCTATGGTGCTAGACAACATGCAAAACCCAGACAAAGCAGTTAAGAAAATAATGTAAATACCTTCAAAGCTATGCAGCAAAGAACACAGAAAGCAGTTTACTGGTAATAAGCAGCAAAAAAATGAGAAAGGAAACAAACAGACTAAGACAGTGAATTTGTTATAATATAGGCACACAAAGTAGCTTTTTCTTTTCTTCTTTTATGCTGGCAGATTAAACTGCACAGAAGACAAAAAAAAACTTAAACCCTAAATGCTAATCCAGTTCAACAATTTACTCCAAAATCACAGACTAACTAATCCATCCCTGAGGACACTTGGGAATATGTGCCTGAAAAAAAATTAAACAGCTGGGTTGCATTTTATATAGTTTTGTTTTTCTTGAACAGGCAAGGGTGATTTGGTGCTATTCACTTTCTTCATTCGTTACCTTTTTCCCCTCCCCTGTTCAAATTTATAAGTGCTGCCAGACCACGGAACTCCAGAGTAAGAATTAAGTATTAAAAGTTAAAGTTGCAGGGGTTGATTGCAGTTATTTTGTGGTTGGCTGTTTTTTTCAAACCTGGAAGAAGTACCCTAACACTGAAGCATCTCATACTGAAGCAACTTTTTGTTAGCACTTACACTCAAAACATTTAAACCCCTAAGGAGCTTGCAAGAACAATGGAAGCAGACACACTGACAGATTCCTCAGAAGATACATTTAGTCACAGGATGCAGTGCCGTGCCCATAAGCTAGTGTTCTCGGTGCTAGCGTTGCCTTCTTATTCACACAAGATTTAGTGAGTACCCTTCTTTAACTCCTTGAGAACAACTTGGCTGGCAGGGAGCTACCAGGCTAACGCTGTCAGCGCGCCAAGCCCCATCGCAGGGGGGAATAAAGCTGATCCACAGTGGGAGGAGGGAACAGGCTCAGCAGACAACTCCGCTGGAAGAGCCAAGAAAACCCTGCAGGCTGCCAGGGCTGCCGCCGAGGTCCCAGCCACACAAGTGCAACCCGGGAAGCGGGCGCACCGCTTGACAGCTCCCTCCGAGAGGCTCTAGCAACTTCTGCACCGCGCAGCCCTGCGGCGCGCCCGCCGCTGCCCACACGAGGAAGTTCCCGCTCCCGTACCGGTGCCAGAAGGTTCCTGAAGCCTGACGCCACACCGTCCCTACCCCTCAACCACCTCCGAACCGGAGACCCGGCCCGGGCCGCCCTCCCCGCGGCTGAACGGCGGACACCACCCGCCCCGCTACCACCACCATGACCCCCAGAACCCCCGGCCCGCACAGCGCCGCGCATGCGCCCCGCGGCCCCTCACCGTTGCCGGGTGACTCGCCCTCCCCGCCGTCCTCAGCACACCAAGCAGCAGGTTCCTCCGCCTCTTCCTACCCCGGAGGACGGCGCGGGGCTCTCCTTTCCGCTCCGCTCTCCCGTCGCAAGGCCTCGCCACGCCGCCGCTGTGCCCTCGCCCCGGGCCGCCCGTGCCGGTGCCCCCCTCAAGCCGCTCGTTCGCGCCTACCGCGCGCGGGGGGTCCCTCAACGGTAGCGGCGGCAACTGCCGGAAGTGACGCGCTGACTGACAGGTGCAGCGCGCGCGCGGCCCCCCTTCCCCTCCCCTCAGGGTCACGTGTGGAGGGGAGGGGCGGGGCCGCGCTGAGGGGACCCGGGGCTTACCGGTAGCAACGGCTCCGCCTCAGGCGGTCGGCGGGGCCCCGGGCGGGAATGGCGCCTCAGTAAGGGGAAACCGACGGCCCCCAGCCTGGGGGGTGCTGTCCGTTACGGGCGCGAGCTGCCCGGCGCCTCAGGCACTGCAGCGCGGCGCCCGGGAACCGCGCCCCGGGGATTGGCGTTTTTCTGTCGTTCATCGAGCTTGCAGTGACTCAGGCATCCGCCTGCCGCGGGCTGTGAGGTGCCCAGAGAGCGACCGCAGTTGGTGTCACCACTACTTAGAATCACAGGATGGTCTGGGTTCAAAATGACCGTAAGATCATACAGTTCTAACCCCTCCGCCACGGGCAGGGACACCTCGCACTAAGCCATGGCACCAAGGCTCTGTCCGACCCGGCCTTGAACAGTGCCAGAGATGGAGCATTGGCCTCTCTTTGGGTAACCTCTTCCAGTGCCTCACCACCCTCACGGTAAAGAACTTCTTTCTTATATCCAATCTAAGGTTTTTATTATGAACAATTTCTTCGCTGAGTAGTAGTCAGGCATTGGAACAGGCTGCACAGGGACGTGGTGGCATCACCATCCCTGGAAGTGTTCAAAGCCACGTAGACAAGGCCCTTAGAGACATAAGTTGGTGGTGGCCTTGGCAGTGCTGGGGAGCAGTTGGACCTGATGATCTTAAAAGTCTTTTCCAACCCGGTTTATTCTCTGATTCTCCATTTCTCATAACCATATTTAAGTATTTCCTGAATCAAAGCATCAAAAGTAATCGCTCCCAAACATTTCCAATGTGTAAGCACACCAGAAGTAATGAAGTGCCCTTTGACAAAGAGCTAATGTGTCTCAAAATACACAATTTAGCACCTTTAAACTAAGTCAGCATAAGTTAGTGAGGAGATGCGAGCTTGCAGTAGAAGTGTTAAAAGCCATGCCTTGCAGTCTGTGGTTCCCACATGCCATGTTGTAACTACAGCAGCTTTCTCTGTCATGTGGTGCCAGCAGCCATAGGAGCTGGGTTTAATAAAGCATTAAAGGGAGTTCGGATTTTAGTTCCTAAAAAATCCTTGCAGGAAAAGCTTCCCCACCCCCCCGTGGAAAACTGACAATATGTGACAGGAAAAAAACCCCAACAAGACGTAGGATGGGATTAATGGAAACGCAAGTAGTGCCAATAGCTGCAAGGGGTTTGCTTCAGGTTTCCCAGCATGGATTCTAAAATTTATCTAGACATACTTAACACTCATTAAGAGGTTTTACATTTAGAATCCAAAGAAGGGAGAATCAGAATCCCACAGTAGATTAGGTTTTAATCAGATCTAAACCTATATTTCCCTATTAGAAGATGTGGTATCATTAGGAGGTGCTGTACAAAGACAATAAAACGGGGAGGGTCAGGGGATACAGAGCTCTCGGGAGGTCTGTACTTGCAGCCAGTCTGCTCCCACAGCAGATTTCTCCACTTGAAGAGCTAATGACATTTCCTCGCATCAAGCTGAGGTTTCCGAATTTGTATTTTGTATACATAGCTGTGTTCTTTCTGATTCGTTTAGCCTCATCAACAACAATAAAGATACTGAATCAGAACAAGCTGACAATCCTGTTGATGAAACACGGGAGAGCGTGGACTCCAGCTGGCTCTTCAGCAGATACGTTGGCCGGTTGACAGGAGTAAAACGGCAAGAAACCTGACATACAAAACACATGCAGCGCGAGGAGACAGACAGCAGAGGCAGGCAGGTAGGCAGGCACTGCACAGCACCTGCTCACTGGTTTGGAGTCCAAGGCAGCGTCTTCCCTCCTCTGAACTGGCTGCGAGTGCCCCGTTTCGTGCCAGCTTACCCTACCTCCCTTTCAAACGCTTCCAATGTTCCTTGCAGGGGGCAGACATATGCAGTCCCAGGCTGCCATTTTAGTCTTTTCTGCTCACTTTGTGTTCTCGCTGCCTGTTTCTGAAAGGTTGAGGAGAACCTGGGAGTCCTGATGCTTTAGACACCTTTTCTAAGACAGTAAATACAGAGAGAAGGGAGGCAATGACTTAATGAGTGGCTGTGTGGTTACACCCCCAAAATACAGCTAATCAAAGGTGTCTGCTTTTCAGATCACTGAGCAATGTGGGATCTGTCCCCTTGTGTTTATCAGGGCACAGGTCAAATTTTATGGTAGCATTTTGTAACTTCCTGCTTACACGACATGCAGGCAGACACCCAGCCCAGTTTCAGCAGGCTAGCCAAGACAGCATGGAGCTCACACAGGCTCATTTCCCCCTCTGAACACACAGGCACATGCAGAGCATCTACAGTACGTGCAGTGCATGGCTGCAGTCCCACCACATGACACAGGACTGTCATCCACATGTCAGGACATATGGCAATGCACTGCCCTGCACAGTGACAAGCCCCCAATGTGAGGCTGCTCACAAGTAGAGGGAACCATTCCCCAGCTGCTGCACAGCTGCAGGAGCTTGGCAGATGTCCCTGGCTCCTAGGACCAAGAAGCCAGAGTGCCATGGCATCCCTGTCTCATCAGTAAATCCATATCCAGAGCCACACCACGAAGGGTGAGCCATTTCTATAGCTCTGTTTGTAATCTTACAAAGCCAAGTTGCTTAGCCTAAAAGTTTTACAGAGATTCTACAAAGCAACTTGGTAGATCTGAGATGATTACTAATAAAAAAATCCCTTGTTTTCAGGAAGAGCTATTCATGACCACAAGTGATGATTACCAGTATTTGTTGCAGAAGAACTGAAGACATATTTCCATCATGGATCCCCAATATAAGTCCTGACTTAGTACAACCTTAGAATAAATATTCTCTGAACATTTGCATCTCCACTTAAGTCTAATTCCAGCAACAGCCCTCATCAGAAAATGAAGCCAATGAAAGTAAAATATCCCTATCCCAACTGTGCTCACTGTTGTACAAGGCTTAGTAGAAACTAAGCTAGAATACTCCAGAATTTGAATCAATTTTGCAATGCCTCCTGATCCTTTGAAAGCTGGTATCCTGCCATGCAATTCTTTGCCTTCATGCTGGGTCATTATCTTACTAGAAGGAAATGGAAATCAAAGCAAGACACTGTCTGCTGTAATACCTGTATATTGTGTGCCAGCAGCTTTTATTTCGTGGGAAAATTATCCCTATGTCAGCAAAGTATTTACTTTTAGGTTTAATTTTTCATTTACAAGCAAATTATTTGACATACTATCCTGGACTTGGAAGTGCTCAATTTGTGTCTTAAATGGATCCTATTGATACCTTGGAAAAGTATTGACAAGCATGAGTCCTTTCAATACCAAAGAACTAACAAAACAGTAACAATTTCCAGCTAGCTGCTCTGTAAAATGCTTTTCCTTCCTGCATATTTCATCCAGAAACAGGGATGAGCCCCAAACTGAGTCTTTTCCAGCATTATAAAGTTTTCTAACAAATACTTTATTTCAGGATGCCCAGCACAAGACCGTTGGCCACGTTGGACATCCATAACTCTTCATGGAGGCTCCTGAATCAGCAGGTATCTAATTCTTCTGACTCACAAAGTCCAGCAGAGCACTTAAGAATCAAAGTCCTTTCTAAAGCTTTGCCCTGCATTAACAAATGAAGCTTCACAATGCTCAAGCAGATGCCTGAAAGAATCCATTTCATGGAAACAGAAACCAACACAGAGAAAACCATTCACCTTCTTGAGGATTGTCTGCCATTACTAAACACATACATAAGGATGTTTTGAAACTTCAATATCAAAGGCACATGTTCCATGTAAATGTCAGACATTTATACTCATTTTTCTACCAGAGTTCTGTGATTAAAATAGATGTTCAAAGGATAAGATTTTTTTTCCCTGCCTCCTGTATCTGAACCTTTGTTTTGTAAGATCTGTCTTTAAACTAGAGATCTAGGAATATGGGGCAAATGTGGCTTTTAAGGCTTGTTCACATTTTAATTGCATGCTTGCAGACTTAAGAGGAGATAATTCTTCCTTTCTTGAAATTCAAGACATTGAAAGGTTAATTCAATCTTCTCAGTTCCATTTCCTTCCTTCTGTTCCTCTTCCCACACTCCCTCCCCCCATCTGTAGACAGCTGAGTTATTTGAATTTTATGCAAGCTAGTATTCATCCAAAGGAAAAAATCATTCAATGTATGCATCAGACAAGCAAAAATGACAGCATGGCACACTTTCGGTTTTTACTTCCTCTTTGCTTTTCTCTGCATTCACCAGTTTGGGCTGTGGATGTGAACTCATGCCCTAAAGCTAGTCTCTACTTAAAAGTTAACTTGAAATAAAGCGTGAATATCCCCACCCCTTCTGAATTCCCTTTCCTTGCACTCACAAGGATCTTAAGCTGCTGTAGTGCTTTAACCTTAGATAGGGAAAGATCGAGTTCAAGTTAGTACAATTTGTCTGTTGCCAACACAATCACTCTCTGCTGCTCCCATGTTATTTCATGGTGTGGTCACTCACACGCAGAGTATACTGACTCCAAAGGAGTCAGTTTGAGTGTACAGAGCTCCAGTTAACCCTCCTGTGAAGACATAACCTTAATAAGACTGCAACCCATTTCTGCACATTATATACATTTGTAAGGAAAAAGCTGTAAAAGTACTCACTGAAAACATTCTAGTTTGGTCAGGTTGTAACTGTTCATTTTGAATGCCCTGAGAGGAAAATAATCTCATCTTTCCTGTTTTGTTCTCTGTGTGTGTGTGTGGTTTCTTTTCACATTTTAGAGAAGAAAATTAGCGTTTAACATAGCATACTTGCAGCTTTCATTGGAACAGGCAGAAGGTAACCAATGTGGAACTTACTGATTACCCCTTCCTTACATAATTGTTGATGTTGTATGCAGTATGTAATACCTGTGTGTTTGGTTTACTCTGCATCATAAGATTATAAAATTGGAAAATTATTTGGGGGACAGGTAAAGTATGAATCCCTTCAAGTAGAAATACAGGTTTTGATTCTAGAAATTGCTCACAGAGATCAGCTAGAAAAGACACTCGGCTGCTTAGTCTTGTTCCTCTGCTTCAGCAGCCCTGTTTCCTAAAGCAGCTGAAAAACTTCAGGGTTTATCTTCTTTTCCCCAGAAGACAAAACCTACTTAAGCTGCCAGGAGGTGCCAGGGTGCTGAAACTGGAATGATTTGGCAATAAAAGAGAAGTGCTGGTTAGGCACCCATCGAAACTATATCTACAACCCTGTAGCCCAGAGGCTGAGGATACCTCCATATCTACCCCAGCAAAATGTGGCGTGTAATCAGACCCACTGTCTTTTTCCCCCAGACAAAATGATAATCTGAAGTTAATATAAAGTTATCAGATCTATGGATTGTATTATCTTATCTTGGATTAGGTTGTTTATCTATTTGTTGCACACTGGGTGCCACAATTTAATCTCCATAAGGAATGGTGATTTTCCTTTTGTTTAAAGCAAAAGGATTGAGAAATGCAACAGTGGATTCTTTAGTTCCAGAGCAGCTGCACTGAGAACCGTGATTGAGCACACTCCCCACACTCACCCAAGACTTCTCTGTCTTACCCTTTCACTAAGAGCTGCTGTTTGCAAGAGAGGCTTCTGTCCAGAGACAGAGAGACAAAAAAGACTGTTAGTAAAGACTGGAATTCACACTGAACTAGCATTTCTAGACCATATTCATCACAAACTGTCATGTGCTCCACAGCATAGTAACTAATGTGACTAACACATCACATGCTTCTTTCCCCACCCTGTCTTTGGAAGAGAAGCATGTGCATGGACATTTTGTGTTCATTTTTCTCCCTTTAATAATGCACACATGGATCACCACATTTTGCTAGAAAAGGCCAGGCTGAAGCCAAGTACTTTCTGCTGAAGACACACTTTGGGTCAGCTCTCAAGAAAGTTCTGTTGCAAGAATCTCCATCTGCTTAAGCTTGTAAAAATTCACCCCCACGCTGAGTTTTATAAGACCATAAAAGAGGGGGAGAGGAAATTTCCACTCTCACTAGCTTATGTTTTCTCTTTCTGCTCTTTGCTGCAAGGGGACTCCTAGTAGAGACTGTCTAAACTCCAGAGCTATTTGAAAACATGGGGTTGGAAAAAATAACCCAAGCAGAAGGACTATCTACAACCGTCCTCTCCCCTCATCCTTTATATGCACCTACCCTTAAGGTTCAGCAGTCTCGATAAGGAAAATGATGCACCTCATGATAAAGCATACAGTAGAAGACAGGAGTCGAGCATTTACCCAGCAGCAGCACAGCATTACGGCTGCCAAAGAGAGATCATTCCTTCCTTACACCCCCAGGATTCATTGTCTCTTAGCCTGGGAACCTGTCTCTGTTCCCAAACATGGATATTTTTTTTGGCAGCAAGACGGAACAAAAGGCACAAAGAGAACTAAGAAAACCCTTTCAGTGAAGCTGTAGCCTTTTTTTTCCCCTCCTGTTCCCCTAAGGACGGGAAACCTAAGGATAGTTTAGAACACGTGCAATCCTGCTACCTTTCTGGAAGGTGCTCAGTGCTCATAGGGACCTAAAGGAATGAGGGTGCATGTAGATTCTAGCCCAGCCTTTGACCCTGAATAATTAATCCCCTACCTTTAGCACCAAAAATACCACCAGGTTTTGAAAATGAAATCACTGTTATATTTGAGTGGGTGTGGTATTTCGAGACAGCACTAATGTGATTATAAAATCAGTTGTGTCAGCTTATTGGCTCAGCTACAGACACTGATCTGCTTGAGCGTCTGTTCCTCGAACAGGCTGCTCGCGGTAGGGTGCTTTGTCCCTCCTTAGCTCCACATAGAAAGAGATGTGATCTGATTCCCACTGGTGCACCAAAGAGAAAGAATCCCCTTCTTCTTGCAGTTGCCCACCTAATCTCCATGAAACTTGGCATTTTCAGGAGCACAGCATCCTCCCAGCCCATTGAAAGGCCATAGCCCCCATATATAGGTCCCTGCAGCCCCAGCCCTGCACAGGCTGGCCTCCCTGTTTCCAAATGACGGCAGCCAAGTGGCAAAGCCAAGTGGCAAAGCCAAGTGGCAAAGCCAAGTGGCAAAGCCAAGTGGCAAAGCCAAGTGGCAGCAGGCTCCAAACCTCCCAGCTACACTCTTCAGACTCTCCTCTGAATGTTCCTTTGCACTTGAGCTGCCTTTAAACATTTCCTCTCACCTATTACTGCATCCTGGTAGCAAATATTTGTTTTCCCCTGTTTCTCTGTGGGTGTCTGACAGACACTCAGTGGCTTGTGCTGCCAGGCACGCTTTAGTGCTGTCGGTGGCAGGTGACTCACTGGAATCAGAGGTGTCAGTCCTGGAAGGTTTGACTCAGCTCTCCATCCTTCGGCAGCAAATTGTAATTAAATGCAATTGCCATTGTATCCGAGGCAGCTTTTCAGACACAGCCACACCAGTGTGGCTTTACATGCAGTATGCGATGGGATCTGTAAAGTTCATTGCTGAGGTTCATTGCTATCACAGTTGTCCCAAGGCCAGGTAAATGCCATGTTCCCCTTACAGAAGGTGGAGACTCTGAACTCCTGCCATTAAAAACCTTCCAAATAACTGCTCTGCTGCTCATACAGCAAGAATATTTCATTCTGCAGTGAAAGTAAAAGGCAGCTGAGTAAAACCTTATCTACCCATCTCTGCTTCTGTGACCAGCCTTAATGCAGTACACAATGCCCTCAGGCCAAACTCCAGACCTACCTTATGAAAACCACGTAAGGCTGTCTGTCCAGCACAGAGTGTGTAAACATGAGGTTTAAACCCAGCATGAGCTGTGTTTGACCGCAGTACTGAACTTGAAAGCTACAGAAACTTGACAGGACTTTATGCAATGGTCAAGATGTTTGTTATGGAGATGAGTATCTACTAATTTCCACTGAGGATGGGAACATGTAATTTCTCATCATTATGTCACATGGACTAACACTGTTGCACCTTCCTGAGAAACCCAACCTAATATCAATTAAAAACCTGCTCATCTGCAGCCTAAAAGCCCAAACAATAGATCTCAAACTGTTTTTAATACTAGGTCTGCTGATAAATCAGGCAATGAAAATGGTGGTGGTGGAAGAACAAGCATGGCCACCTGGTCTTTGTGTGTTTAGAAAAGCCTGAGCTCTGCTGTGGATGTGAGGGGCCCAGCCTGTGACTGTCCACAGAAAGCCAGAAGTGAGTTTGTTCTGCTTCGCTGTCCTGAACACTTCATTTCTACATCTAAGAAAATTTGTGCCAGTCTAAAAGTTTAAGAGGTTTTGCCCTTGTAATCTCTTCATAATAAGAATTCCAATTGTTACTTGTAAAACTGGACAAATGTTTAGAAAACTGAAACTCATGAACTGCCTGAATTCATGAATCATTCAGATTGTGTTTTATAGTCTTTTCTGATCTCCTAAGTCTGGTGTCTACCCTAACAAGAAAAGGTTAATGCTCTCTTTTTAAACAGACACTAAGACTATTCAGTGCCAAATCTCAGCCATGGCTTACACTGAATATTCACCCAGTGGCTGCCTTCCTGCTTATTCCCAGGGGGTTTTGGTCAAGAACACAGCTTTCTATTTTTGGCAATTGGTTGGACTAATGGGATGGAAGCAGAGGAACCGAGTCCTGACCCTAAGTATGACTGGTACTCACACATTGATTTGCTGTGGACAGTCAGTGCAGGTGTAGAGGTAACTGAGCCAGCCTGCACAAGTCACCGGAGCTTTTAGGCTAGCAGAAATGTAGGTACATTGCTGCCAGGACAATCTTAGGTCCAGAAGCAGCACAGCCAGCTTTGCAGAGGGCTGAGTTCAGTGGCAAGCTGTGCCAGTGCTTCACCACTCTCACAGGGAAGAGCTTCTTCCTAATGTCTAACCTAAATCTCCCCACTTTCAACTTAAAGCCATTACCCTTTTAAGAGACCTTTTAAAGAGACCTCTAAGATCATCCAATCCAACCACAAACCTGTTAATTTTTTTAATGTAATCAAACACTGGAAGAAGAGGTCCTTAAAACCATGTTTAAACACATTAAAACCATTTTCTCCACACGCACAAATCAGTCTCAAACCCACTCCACCTAAGCATATTATGTCAACAGAAAGATCCACAGCACCTTTCTGGCACTCTCAGTCAGCCATGAGACATCTCTGTCTCCCCGAGCTCATTGTCCACACCCCCTTTATAGTCAGTAGAAAAACCTGGATACTCGTAGGGCACAATTAACGTCATCCTAAGTTAGTTGCCTCCCTATTGATTAGGGTCTAGGCACGTAATTCAGGTGGAGACATCTAAAGTTACACAAGGGGAAACCCCTGCTGGCATCTTCCAAACCCCAAAAACGATTCCCCAAGTTTTGTACTGCATAGCTGGAGCCATGTCATGGTCACAGGGATATCCTCAGCCCTCGACAGCAGCAGCTCTAGCAGGTGGCTATTTGTGCATCTAATATAAAACGTGCCTTGCAAATACAAAGGCTGATAGCCATTTTAAAGGTTTATGTGGGTTATACCATACGGTGCCACAGTGCATTCTCCCTTTGCTGCAACTGAAGACGTTCCTACAAGCAATTCCAGTGTGGTCAATGCCACCAGTATGGGTGTAGAACAGGGAGCAAGCAGGTTGGGGATGATCCCCAGATACGATGCTGAATGCACTCAGAATCTCCCTACAAACTAATCCAGAAGCAGCAGCCCCTTAAGTCATCTCACACCTCCCTTTAACTCCAAACCTCAGCACTGTAAAAGAAGAGCAGGAAGGGAAACTTTAATATGATCATCTTGGTAAAGGAGGAGAAAGGCAAAAAGAAAAACCAAGCTGTACTTTGGCAGTTTTCCACGTCCATTTTCCCATTTCCCTCCCTCGTGCACTTTCTGCAGCAGCAATCTGTCCTTTCCCTGAACGCTGAGCAATCCCAGCACTAAACTAATCAATATTAATAGCGATGGGCTCGGGCGGGGGGAGGAGAGGAAAGGAGAGGAGAGGAGGGATTACCCTGACCTTTTTCAACTCACACTGCCTCAGACGGCCACCAAGCAGCTGAGGAGAGAGCAGCAGACGGTAATGCCATGTGGGTTTGGTAGCTTGTAATTGCTTTTATTTCCCTGTGAATATTTGCTTCTGTTGTCTCAGTGCAGATAGCAAATCTGATTGTCTTCAGGAAGCTAAAAATACAATTAGATCAGCCATCTCTGGGCCGAACCTCGCCTTGATGGGAAACTCCATGGAAATAAGGGGAATAATGGCCAGGCTGGATTTTAACTTGAATTTCTGTTAAACCCAAGGATTGGATTAGGGAAGTTTTGACAGGTGAAGTGCTGAATGCCGTTGTGCTTTGTGGATTTCTCTTCTGATAGAGCGTAATCAAACCCATTGAGCCTGCAACTGGGATATTGAGTGCGAGAGCAAACAAAGGGCTGGGTGAACCGGTCCTCTATTGTTAAGCACAAGTGTCCACAGCAGCTCATCCAGATACAGGGTATGTATGCACACAGGAGAGGGTGCTTGGACTAAAGACAAATCCTATGAATTAAAACCAAATCAGAATTGAAGCTCTTTGTTCAGATTGGATTTGAGGTTTATTGTAGACTTTCTGGTTAGCAGCATTGCTTAAAATAGAGGTTTACGTCAGGAGGCACCATGGGTTATTGGCAGTTAATGCATTGTCTTGTCTTTACTGAGATATGCTTGTTTCCATGTGTAAAATACATTTTTTCTTCGAAATTGCAGCTGAGAAATGTGGATAAAATCCTATTTATGCCTTTCTTCTTTAACTCTGTGAGAGCCAAGCCTCAGGGAGAGGTCCCAGACCGAGGTGTTAGATTTGGGGAGGGTTATTTGAATAAGCATTTTGATGGTATTCTCATAGTCTTGCTTCCGAGCAGCAAATGCTTTGCAGATGGCTGAAAGCACAGCACTAGTTAATGAAGCCCCGGGTGTGTTTTTCCTTTCTTTGTCAGCACCCACCATGTCCGACAAACCTGATTTTGCAGAAATTGAAACATTTGACAAGACCAAGCTGAAGAAGACAGAAACCAGAGAGAAAAATCCACTGCCCACTAAAGAAAGTAAGTGCTTACGAGGCTCTTTGAACTACGAGCGGCAAGGACACAATCTGTAATGCAGTTCATATGCAAAATGAATACTAATCACAGGATTACAGGCTCAAACTCATCCCTGACTTTAACTGGGGATAATACTAAGACTTGTACTCTGTGTTGGGCTGCCAAGGATACGAGTAGTTGTAACCAATGGTGAATTTTGCCTGAAAAAGCCTTTCTGATGGGATTGCTCTTGCTTCTGCTAAAAGCAAGACCAGTATTTCTGCTACTCGCATGTAACAGGATCAAACTGTTTGTAATTGCCATGTTACCAGCTTCTTTGGAGGCACAAACACACAGGGGAACCCTTCTGCATCCCTGGCAGCATCCCCAAAAGTGCCTGGGCTCTGGGTTTGATGTTACCTGGCAGATGAGCTGCTGCCCCCCACTGGTACCTGCTGTCAGCCCTGGCCATGAATGATCCAGGCACCCTCTCTGGGAGTAAGGCTGCAAGAGAAGCCCATCATAATCCTCATCTACCAGGCAATCTTCCTTAAGAAGGAAGCTTTCCTCATGCAGGATCGTCTGCCATACATGCACTGTGCACAGGCAGCCAGATGATGGTTGTAATTCCCATTCAACCTGCCATTTTACTGCATTTGGACCAGACTTTGTGAGCAGTTTCCTTCATAACACTATCACTGACCACTTAGGATGTGTTAACATTGATAGCCATGGAGACACACTGTCCCTCAACAACATAAGATACCTGCTTTTTCCTGGTTTATTATCCCTACCAATGCTCAAGCTGTAAATACAAGATGAGGTTTGCACATCATGAACTACACCCTACATGGGAATGAGTTGGCATTTCCAGGGTGCCCAAAGAGAGCAAGTGGGGATTTACCATCCCCTGGCTTTAAAAATGGCCACAGAAATGTGTATCCTACAGAATCATTACAATGTTTATTGAATTATGGGTTTGTTTCCTCTGTTTTTCTGGCAGCTATTGAACAGGAAAAGCAAAGTGAAAGTACAGCCTGAGAGTAAAGCTGAAGATGTGACTGCTGCTTCTTCAGTGGGGTTTTGGCTTCCAAGTCGGGTTGTTTGTTTTGTCCCTCCCACCCCCAAAAATGGGTTTGTTACCCATTTACTTTAGCAAGCATTTGCTCATTTAATGCTCCCTGGGGAATAAGTTTGTTTTGTGTTTGTTGAGCAAGAGACTGTGTATTTGTACTCTTAAAACTGTAATCCCAAGTTCTGTATCAACCCCATTACTTGCCAAAAAAAAGAGCAATTTGCATAAAAATTGTTGTCCTAAACCTCACAATAAACAGGTTTCTCTGATCTTGAGCTGTCTTTGAGCCTTGTAGAAATAGGGTTTACACTGCAACTCCTACTAGCATCCTTCTTGCTCTGTTTGCACTGCCACAGCATCTAAAGAGCACACCCAGGTCAACCCAGCCTGGCAGCAGGTATGAATACGATGGGAAGTTGCTGGCTTGCTTCAGTCCTATCCAGCAGCAGGTTAGAGGTCTCAGAAACAAGAACCTGCTTATAAATTCCATGAAAAAATGATGGTTGGGCTGAGGAAATGCTCAGATTAACATCCCAAATGGGAGCAGGGCTGCAGCACCCTCTCCGCATCTTTTCTCCCTTCAGCCTGTCAAGATCCAGTCAACTTTGGGACAAGAGCAGCACATGTAGCCTTTGGCCTATCTAATATCAAGCAATGCAGGAAGGTGGGAGAAGGAAAGAAAAGTTATTACTGCAATGATTTCTGGGATGAGAGGAAGACCTTCAGCAGCACAGGGGCATAAGACACACAACTTCAAAGGAAGCAGGGGTGCCCTAAATCTCCATTACCGGTAGTGCTGTAACATCCCCACCTCACTACATCCTCACTATTGGCAAAACCAGACCCTGGTACCAGCTCAGGGGACTCTCAATTACAGGGTATCACGTTATGCCTGGAATTAATTTGCAGTCATATTAGAAAAGCAAGTGCTTACCCTGGGAAGGTGAACTGCTGTGCCTGGAGCTTCAGTGTGGTACTACTTGTGCTGCGAAACGGGAATGATTCTGTGGACTTCCACAGGGTTCCTCTGGGTTTATACCTGCACAAAGGAGGCAGAAACCAGAAGCAAATGGTCATGGTGATCTTTAGAAAGGTCTTGTTTACTTCAGGGTGGTTTGACACTTGACATTTAATGTGAAGAGTCACAGCTGCAATTAAACAATGGCAGCGTAGCCACAGAATGGGTGACTTCTGGTGCCAACAGAAAGCAAACAGAGGTGGCCAAGAGACCGCAGGGAGCACAGAGCACGCAGGACTAGGGACTGGAGCTAGGGCTTTGTTAATGGCAGGGGAATTCAAAGGAGCAAAAAGTCTGCTGCCTCGATCACCACTCATCACTTCAATGGTGCTGCTGCTTTCTTTTCATGACCAAGGTTTTCTGCACATGTCCTTTGAGGACCTAACTCCCCTTGGTGCCCGATTCTAAAGGTTGGGGTATTTTTAGGGTCTGCTGGGTTTACTCATACTCATTTTTATGTAGAAGGTGTGAGCAACAAGGAACACGGTGCTATTTTCTTTGTGACTCACACCCTCCCCTCATGCTTATGGGTCAAAGAGCCTTTGACATTGTTTAAATACCTGCCTTGATGATGGCTCATTCTTGGAGAAGGAGCTCAGAGATGGCACTTGGAGCAACACCACCAGCTGGAAACACGTGCAGGTAACACCATCCATCCAGGTTACTCACTGCTGTGCCACAGGGTGGTTTTTAAGCACCGCATTGCGCTCAGTGGGTACCCAAGCCCGCAGACGAGACTTCCTCCTTGGTTTTGCCAGGAGACAGAGCTTTGTTCCACACGACGACCTCCCTCCTTCTCTGCCAGCTCAGGCACCTGCCAACTCGCTCAGCACAAAGCACTGTAAAGCACTGAACCCCTCTTTGGCAGGGCTGAATCAGTGGCCAGTGTCTGTGCTCCCAGGTTCTCCCAGAGACTCAAGGTCCGGGCTGCATCCTGTGGACAGAAGGGAAGGAAGGTGTAGGCAGAGCAAGGAAACAACAGAGATTGTCCTCTCATGTTTGCACAGGTACAAAAGGTCAGCAGTGTGGCTGTAAGGGGTGATACAGGAGATCAGAGCGCTGCCAACAGCTCTGGAGATACCAGATTTATCCCAGCACTTGGCTCAGGGCTGCTCCTGGTGCCACTCATTCTGCCCCATGAAACCCCCTCCTGATTTAAGTGTTTGCATTTAAAGCCTGACACATAAATCCAAAGTCTCAGTGCTTGTATTCACGTCTCACCTCATTGGGAAGGTGATGGAGATGAGACTCCAGCCAGGTTCCCCAGCCCTGGATCTGACTGTGGAAGCTGTAGGGCTCAGCAGAGAACACAGCAGCTGCACACCAGGATAAAGGCCACATCTTCCCACCTCTCAGCCTCCTGCCCCAGGTGGAACTCAGCTTTATGGCAGGATCTGGGGGCTTTCTTTCACCTTTAACAGATTAAGAGAGGCTTAAGGACACCCAGTTACAATACCCTGATTTGAGAAGCGTCCCCCTTTGCTGCTCTGTGAAACCACTTCAGCCCAGGAACAGGAGCATTAAGATTAAGATCTGCCAGGAGCAGGGGCAGGCCTGTCTCCCTGTTATCTCAACCAAAGAGCAGCACAGCCCTTATCTGCGGGGCAGGCTGGGGACACAGACCAGGAAACTCTCATGTTTAAGGCTGAGACAGTGAATTTTCATCATTCCAGTCATTATAGTGAGGAAATGTTTGTTCCCACCATTGGCAGGGAGCTACAAACCAAACCAAAGCCCTTATCCACACCTAGGGAACATGTTCTGGTGTTAACCTGCTCCTGACCTTCACTCCCTGGAAAAGCATCCTCCAGCGCTGAGGCTCTCCAATAATCCCACTCTTCAGGAGCTGTGATCCCTTCTCATACACCATGCCGGGGGCAGCCGAGCTGCAGACAGCTTCATCAGGAAGCTCAACCTGCTTCAGGTGGGAAGCTTAAATACTTTAGCCAATTAGCAGCAGCCCTTTGCTCTTTGGGTCCTTCACATGAGGAGACATCACCTTGCAACCCCTCTAAATGAAGAACCTTCCATGCTCCTCCAGTTACAACAAAGAAATCATTGTATGCTGATAAACACCTGCTTCCTTGGCACCACCATGAGGCCAGCCTTACCCCTGCATCCCAGGGACAGGGCCAGCCCTCTTGGGATCATGGCTGGGTCCACCTGCCCTGTGAGTCACCTCTAATTGCTCTGCACTGTCTCAGTGAGCAGAGGAAATCCACATTCCTGTCATTATTACACAGGAGCTGGTTGATTTAATAAATCCCATTAGGCAGGCATTGGATAACAGTGAAACCCTGGACCTAGCTCTCCTGAGAAGAGGGCACACGTTTGTGTGTCTTGGAGCCCAGCTAAAACCCCTGGGGATCCTGCCAGCCCCAACTCAGATACCACACACTGAGCCCAAAGCATCTGTGATGTTGTTTCCCAAATACATTTGGGTGTTCTCTCCTGTTTGGGTCATTGGCTCTGTGGCTGCTGAGGTATCCCACAGTACATCTTTAGGTCCTGCTCTGCAGTGGTGAAGGCAATCCATCAGCTTTAAACTGAAAGAGGGTAGATTTAGGTTAGGTGTTACAAAGAAGCTCTTCCCTGTGAGGATGCTGAGGCACTGGCACAGAGAAGCTGTGGCTGCCCCATCCCTGGCAGTGTTCAAGCCCAGGCTGGACACAGGGCTTGGAGCAAGCTGCTCTAGTGGAAGGTGTCCCTGTCCATAGCAGGGGTTGGAGCTGGATGAGCTTTAAGGTCCCTTCCAACCCAGGCCATTCCATGAAGATGTAGACTTCAATTTGCCGGTGAAGACAATCACTTCTGTGTCTGCTGTGCTGTCAGTGGCGCTCCTGACACAGCACAGACCTTTTCTGCAAGGAGAACAGGGAGAGAAATGAGGGGAACGAGGACCCTGACCCAAGCTCAGTGGGATCGGGGCCTGAGCTGCAGCCACACAGGAAGGAGGATGCCATGGGAGCACAGCCAGGGAGGCACCCATGGCAGCAGGAACTGGAGCAGAAGCAGCCAGGGTGTCTCTGGTGCCTCTACCCAGCTCGCCCCTTGTTTTCCCCAAAACACAGAGTGGAAACAATTGTCCTGTTGAAAGCAGCAACCTGGTGCCAAGCAGGGACAGGCTCCCACACCGCACACAGCAGACAAAGCCGCTGTGTCCTGCTCCCACCCCACAGGCCCATGGGTGCCCGATGAGCTCCATCCATCCCAACCCGATCCTCGGCACCCAGATGTGTCCCAGCACCAAGCCTTGAGCATGAAACACAGCATGGGGATGGTTGGGGTATGTAGGAGCCGGGGTGTGCACGTGTGTGGGTGCTCCCGCAGCTCAAACCCACTGAGAGCAGGGTAAGCTCCGCTTCCATCTTCTGCAGCAGGAATGTGTGCTGGGAAAGGCTCCGTGTGCTTTCTGTCTTGTCAGAGGGGCTGGCTTGGGAAGGAACAGTTGCTGGGGGTGGCTCACACACATCTCGCACGCTGTGCTGACAACAGCTCTTGACAACTCCTACTATCGGCTGTGAATCTCCAGATACCTCCGTTTGCTTCAAGGCCTGGCTCCAGAATTCATTGGATCGATGGGGAAATCAGAGAAACAAGAGGTTGATAGGAGAGCAAAAGGGGGTTTCTAGCTTCTGTGGTCAGGCACACATGGAAACAGGGCCTTTTAGGGCTCCAACAACAGGCACTGAATGAAAAGACTGAGATTTTCCAGAATAAACCAACAATCTCAGGAGTTTTTGTGAATTTAGAGGCCAATTCAGTATCAATTTTTGGGCAATGTTGTAACAAGCAGGGAGGAAAAAACCTGATGTGTGACTCCGAGTGGGTGTTTTCAAACAGCATCTTGTGTGGGGAAAACAATCCCTCTTGGTCTGCTTTGTTTCCTTGTGGGGCTGGAAATAATCCTCCTCCTCAGAGAGGAGAATTGGGGGTTTCTTTTCCGTCTCATCATGGAAGCTACCCCAGGTCATGCCTGACCATGACTGGTTCCCCCATCCCTACCAGCACCAGGTCAGCACCTCACAGTGTTAAAGAAACATGTGTGGGTCCTACAGCATTCATTTAGCAATGGAGAAATCAGCTGTGAGATGCTTTGGCTGAAGGCAGACCCTGTGGAGCGGAGCTCAAGGGCAGGGGATGGAGGCAGCAGTGATGCCCTGGGGCAGCAGCATCACGCTTGGAACCCTTCCCTCCATGGAGCAGGAGCAGCAAGAGCTGACAGTGCTGTAACAGCTCCATAACGGCTTCAGAATAGCTCCAGCCTCCCCATCACTCCTCATGACTCCATTTCTGTCCTGTCCAGGCTCCTGTTTCAGTGGGAGCTGGGTAACCCAAGCCCATGGCGATGCTTCACACCCGCTCCAGCATGGCCCTCACCTAATAACACCTTGCTTGGGTCTACACTGACATCACTGACATCATCCTTTAACACACCCCAAACCACCACATCTCTGCTTTAACCTACTTCTGGCTCCATTTTATTACCAGGCTGCTTTAACATCCCAAGCACAATGTGCACGGCCAGGGCTCCAATTTAGTTTTACTTCCCTCTTAACGTGTTTCAGGAATACGCCGGGAATTGGAAGTGTCAGGACACCGGCGTGGCCATATCAGCTCCAGGAATCAGCCTCCCTGTTCACAAGAGATAATAGAAGCCCATTTCAAACAAGACCTGCCTGGATGGTGCTGGCTGCAGCTTCCTTTATTTTCTGGCTGCCCAGAGGACTAATAAAGCTTTACCTTAGCTGCTTTCATAAGCTTTCTGTCTGAAGCATTCAGTGGTGCATGGCCAAGGTGGAAATAAAAGGGCTTCACCTAAAATAGCACTCATTCCTCAGAATGGGCTGAAAAACATAACCCCCAGAGCCGTGCCCAAACGTCTCTCTGTGACACTGAAGTAAATGTGCCAACCACCAACACCCATGGGTGACCTTGGTCTCTGCATCAGTGCTCCCTGGGGCACTACTAACCCCTGCATAAGCCAAGGAGGAACCAAAACACTGATGGGAGCAGGGCTGGGGTTCCCTACAGGCACTGGGTGCCACCAGCAGCATCCAGCTTGCCCTGTGGTTAATGAATTGTGCCAATGGCACAAGGGGGATTTAAGTGAGGTGGGATGCCAGGGAGCTGAACCAGGCAGGGGTTAGGAAACCTGTGCTCCGGGGCTCTCCCCTCAAGCAAGCCTCATCATCTCGTTGCACTTTGGTTTCACCACGTGAGAGTCAGGAGTAGAGCTACCAACCTCCTTCATGCCTTCCTCCTGTTCACACCATCTCTGTTATTGCCCAACAGTTACATGCATACAAGTGTTCCTGTCTGGAAGAACACTTTGCTATGACACAGCTCCTCGTTGCTTTGAGCATGGCCAGGTGAACCACAGAGCCACAATACAGGCATTTCTTTTCCTCAGTACCACCTGAAAACCCAGGGATGGGATGGGACGGGATGGGATGGGATGGGATGGGATGGCATTGAAACATCACTGGTGGTTGTTCCAGCAGGTGGGATCACTGGGTGGCTTAATCCCTGCTCCTGCTGGAGGTACTCAAGCCTGTCCTATCCATACATCCCCACCGGCCACCCGAGCCATACATGTCCCAGCCTGCTGCTGGACACGGACACGGACACGGGTGGGTGCTGGATGGGCTGGGATGCGTGTGTGGTGCAGGCACATCCCACAGGGGGGAGCCTTGTCACCAGCCTGCAGGGGACACTGCCCTGGGACATCATCCCTGTGGACATCATCCCGGGCATCCCCACCAACCACTGTGCCCTCTGCTCACACGGCTGTGCTTGATCCCAGCACTGGGAGTTTTGCTCCATTTCCTTCCCTCAATAACAGATGCAGAATGTGCTGTCAGCTTCCATCCTCAGTGGGGCTGGGCAAAGCTCCCTCCAAAACCACCAGGGTTCTGGTTTTCAGGTGCAGCATTTAAAGAGGGGATATGGGCAAAGAGATCTGTTTTCAAAGGGAGCAACTGGGAAAAGTTCATCTCTCTTTGCTTTTCCTAGCACGACTCAAAGGGCTTCTAAAGTTCCTCTTCAGCACAGGATCCTCCAGAGGAATTGCCTTGGTCCAAAGAGATAAAGATGAGTTATAAGAAAATATCCATATCTCAAATCACTGCAAGTCTCAAATCCTCCCACACTCGTTGTGCCAGACACAGCCAGCACCAACACACACAGCCTCCAGCTCAGAAATCAGGACCTTTGGGCTTAATCTGATCCCTGTGGCACAGAGTGGATGGGGACAGGAGGGGAGACAGAGCCACAGCCACAAAGGGATAACACAGGGAACCACGCTGGGAAAGGCTGGGGAGCACCACATGAGCCAGGCTGCAATCAGTTAATTCAACTTGACTTCGGCAAGGAATGGTTAAGAAGGAGGTGATAACTCCCCTCTGTATCAGGTGCCCCATCTCTTCCTGCGCAGGCTTTTACCTGCTGAGGTGACACATTGCAGGACAGAGATCCACTCCCCCATGCAGATGCCCAGGCTGTAACCTATCTGCTGCACTAACACCGTTTTGCATGACACTTCCTTTAAAGAAGGGGAGAAAACCAAAACACTTGTCCCTGCTTTATAGCGCTGCTGTGTCAACAGCCCTGTAGGCTTTGAAGGACACAGCTTGGGTGAGGTGATGCTGATCAGGTCGTGCCTTTTGGGGGCTGACCAGGCGGTTGAGTCCTCTTCAGAATCACTGAAGGTTGATCTAAACTCGGGTGGTTTACTCTGTCCTGCTTTTCAGGGTGGTTCAGGATGCAGCAGGACCAAGTTCAGGCATGTCTTTGTCCGAAAGCTTTGCGTCGTTTGTGGAAACAGAGGCATGGAGTAGCCAATGGGATTTAGAAAGCCATCAGTCAGGGTGCACCAAGAGCCCCCCAACAGCCCTGGTTCAGGGATAATTGCTCAGCAAGGAAAAGCTTTGCTCTGGTGGAAGGCCTGGGGTTGCTTGGGGTGGGAGATGTGACCTCGCTCCGCAGCACAGAGGGATGCTGCTGCCTGTACCTCTGCAGAGGGACGTGCCAGAGCGTTTAACCCTGCAGGCTCCTCTGCTCGTTGCCCCATGCTGGGAGAGGAAGGGAGCTGCCTCTGCGAGTCTGGGAAGAGGTGAGGATGGGAGACAGAGGCTTAGGAGGGGAGTGGGGAAGTCACTGGAGTGAGAAGATAGCAGAAAACTACAGCTTTAAAACACACAATGCAAAACCAGGGGGAAAGAAATGCCCTTCATCTGCTTGCAAGTGAAACAGATGCTCAGCTCCGTGCCCTGGTGCCAGGAACAGCTCCTGTGCATGGGGCTGGCAGAATTTGCTTCCAAACCCTAAGTTTTTGCTTCCTGAAACCAAAAGGTATAAAACCCAAACTGCGCATCCTGATGGTTCTGTGTCCTATTCCAGACGTGCTTCTTTCAGTAGCAGAGCCTCTCACCTTGGACTTGCTTGCTCTTGGCCTCTCTGATGAAGTTCAGTGCTCACCCCATCACTCTGCGCATGAGGCTGTGTTGGGAAGCAGACACAGTAAGACAGTAAAACTGGTTGCATTGGTACAAGGGAGGGGGGACAAAGTGCTGTGGGGAGGCAGGAGATAGCAACTCCTCAGGGTAAGTTCATCACTAGGAACCTAAGCTGGCCCTGTTGGATGCTTTAACCTTGCTTTCAGTGAGCATCGGACCACTTCTCTGTGCCAAAATAGGAATGAATTGAAGTAAGCCCGTGGCGTAGGTGTGGCGTAAAACCCACATTCAGTTTCACCTCCATCCTCAATTATCATTCATTAATTAAAACACATTCATTATACAGGCAAAACTCCCACCGTGGATCCAGGGATCAGATCCTGCTGGGGTTTGCTCCCACTGCAGCAGCCCACAAGGGGCTCTGCATTAGGCAGAGCAATGGGGACACATTTTCCTCAACACAGGAAAGTTGGGAATACTAAAATAACCCCAAAGCAATCCCTGCATGGAGCTGAGCATGCAGCAGGATTGCCCCATGGCTGCAGCTCTCTCTGATGCAGTACTCTGAAGGAAAGGATCGCATCCCCTTTGCAGCTGCTGTGCACAGCGCAAGGACATGGCATCACTCCTGGGGGGCTTCCCATGGTGGGAGAGCACCATAAAACCTCCTCCACCTCACCATCAGGAGGGGGTTTCTAATGACCCAGGTGGGTTTTATTGTAACAGAGCAGGATTTGACGCTCGGGCTCTGAATGTGTCACCTGCAGAGGGCTATTTAGCAAGTGGGCTGTGCTTTATCTTCCTGCTGTCTGCAGCCATGGACAAGCCAAGAGCCCATCCCTGCAGGACCCGCCACCCAGCAGAGCTTGGGGCACCTATAAACTGATTTATCTCATGTCTGCCTTCCCTTAACACCCATAGTCTGATGGGAAGGGGGGTTTGTGGGTGCATGGGGCTGTTTATACCGTGGTTATCTCTTGGCTTGGGGCATAAAGTAAATCCTTAAGATGTTGATTGTCCTGTGGAAAGCACAGGCTGTTTGGTCACATGCAAGAAAATAAGAAACAAAGCATCAGTGTTTTATCTGTAAAGCCAAGGAGTTCCAGCTGACACTCAGGACACCCCTTTCCATACAGCCTACCCTGTGGTGCCATCACACTAAATGACTGATGGTCACTTTGAGGTCCAAGGCTGCCCAGAACAACCGACACTTCATTTTCTGCATAACCAGGTCAATTCAACAGAATTTCCCTTTTAGATATTTCCCTCTCCATCCAAACCCAAACCAAAAGCCAGTTTCTTGTTGGGAAAACCCTATCTAAACTCCTTCAGCATCATTTTACACTGGGACCTGCAGCTCAGGCAACCCAGGCAGGGCCCATGGGCTTTGCTTATGGGTGATGGGGGAGTCCCCATCCTGCAGCCCTCCAGAGCCCAGCCAGGCTTCACACACACACACAGTGATGGTCAGAGCAAAGCACTGAAATCAGCTTCCAAACAGCTACACCCAGCCCAGCTCCACCATTGAGTTACCCTGAGGCCGCCCATCTCCGTGCCTCAGTTTACCCAACTGCAGCCACAGCTCTATTTAACCCCTTTTACTGCACGGGCATTGCACGTAGCACTCTATAAGTGTAAAACACATTAACACAGCAAGACCGAAGTCTGCTTTTGCCTAAGGTGGGAAAGTCCAGCAGCGAAAGGACCGGGATCATTGCATTCCCAGCGCACTGCTCTGTTTGCAGCCAGACAGCCTAAGTGATAACGTTAGGAGGGACTTTCAAGGTCCCCATGACTTTAATAGGAAAGGGCACTTTTAAGGGCCCAGTAAAGAGCTGTGTGGTGCTGCCAGCTGCAGCCACTGTTCCCAGCAGAGCTTCATGCCTGGAATCGCTGTTATTCCCCTGGTGTGTGATAGGGATATCATGTGTGAAATGACAGAGCAGACAAGCCAATGGGTTTCAGCTGCACAAGCTCTCAGAGACAAGAAATAGCCCCTAAACATCAATACGCCCTCGGGGACGGCCAGACACAAACCCCAACATGACCTGAGTGCCTATAGGAAGGTTTCCAAACCCTCTGCATGTGCTTTAATCAGTGAACTTCACTGATACGTGGGAAAGGCTTTATTCCCAGTAATTGCCCTTTGACAGCTCTAACAAGTAGGATCTGTTGGGGATGGTAATGATTAAAATGCTGACTCACAGGGGTTTTGCTGGCTTTGTGCTCACTTGGAAGGTATTTTGCATCCTTGCTTCCAACCAACCTGCAATTTCAGTCCTCCGGCTGCAAACAGTCTGTGGCTTTGCACAACTGACTCCAGGTTTCCCTTTGCTGGGTCTGGAGGGAGAGGGTTCCCCTCCCAGTGATACAGGACAGCGAGAGTCCCTGTCCTGCAGCCAGGAATGGCAAGGAGCTCCTGGGCAGCGACAGCTACCCCAGGGTGGGAGCTGAGCCCATAGACATACAGTGCTGAGATGTTAAAACCCCAGGGCAGGTGCTGGCTTTGCAATGCTCCTGTTCATTTCATGGCAAGGCAGCAAAGTACTTCACAAAGGTGTTTAAGGTGCAGCCTCCTGGCTGCCCATAGTGCTGCTGGCTGCTCACCCGGGTGCAAAGAAGGGGTTTATCCCCATGTGCCCCCTTTTGCTCATGGTGCGGTCCCATTCCCTTCAGCCTCCCATGTGCAGCCCCTTCAGGATTGCAGCAGCAGTGATTTGTCACCAGGAGATGGGTGTCCCAGGGCTCAGGGTGGGGAGCTGAGAGGAAGAAGAGGGCAGCACCTTTGCCCTGACAGGGAGCCAGCACCAGCAGATGCTGTGTGCCATGGGGCAGTGCCCGGCAGAGCAGCATGGCACTGCTTTAGGATAGCACCCAACAGGCAGGATCCCTGCCCAGGGTGAGAGACCGTTCATCCACAGGATGGATGGAGCAGGATGGAGCAGTTTCCATGAGCACCAGCTCTGCACTGCTGCTCCTCACAGCCCTCAGTGACATGGGCTGTAACAACTAAGAGGCTTTTTGGGGTTTCCTCTGATAAGGATTTTCCTTCCCTGGTGGCTCAGCAGTGGTGGAGGCCCCTGGCCCCGCTCAGGGATGCGGGCAGCGCTCCTGCCTGCGGAGCCAGCGCGCAGCCTCCACCGTAGGGAAATTGCTAACCCCAGAAAACTGCTCCCCTAATTACAGCGTTGGAGCATGGAGCAAACCACATAAATGATTCACACAGCGTTCCCAAGCTGAAAATGAGAGAGATTCCCAAACACTGCCGAGCCCTGCACGCTGTTATCAGGATGGAAATGCAGCAACTTTCATCATAAAGAGGCGAGAAGGGTGGAGGTGGGGGGGGGGGGGGGGGGGGGAGGCCCCGCCGTTAAATGCATCTCTTCCCATCCAGAAGACCTGGGAGGTCTATTCCCTATAGCTCTTTACAGAAGGGTTGTTAAAGCTCCTCGGGGAGTTCTCGGGCACTATAGAAATGCATCAGCTTGTTATTTCAGAGGGACAGGGATGAGCCTTGCCTGGCAAGCAGGGGATGAAAAGGAGAAGGGGAGCAGACCCAGGGCCAGCAGAAAGGGGTGGCTGGTGATGGGGAAAGAGGGTTAAAAGTGTCCCATTGTTAGGGAAGTTTGCTCTGCTTCAGACCATCCAGCTCCCAGGGCCACTGTGCTGCCTTTTGAAGTGCAACCTTAGGCGGTTCCTTGTCACCCATTGGAGAGGGAGCTTTTTTACCACATTAAGTCATTGGGTAGCAAATGAATGGGGGGGTTTTGACTATTCACAACTTCACCTTATAAATATCAGGGTTGGTGGCTCCTGCAGCTTCCCTCCACCCCGAAGCTCACCTTGGGAAGGAGCAGAGGGAGGCGGCCCTGCTCACTCGGGACCTGTGGTGCAGAGAGCTACAGACCAGCACAAGGGATCCAACCTTCTCCTTGTGACAGCCATGAAGAGAAGCACCTTCCTCATCCTCTCCATCGCAGGGCTCTTCGGTGCCATCCTCCACGCAGCAGCATGGTAGGGTCCAGTTCAGTGCAAAGGGCGTTTTGTAGGGATGCTCTTCAGGCTGTGGCAAGCTCAGTGATTCATTTTCTTCTTTTATCTTTCAGGTCTGTGAATAACTTTCTGATGACAGGACCTAAGGTAATTAACACACGGACTAACAGGGATTTAAAGTACAGCGATTTTGGTTTGCAAATGGGAAATGGTGCTTTTCCAAGGAGCTGGAATTCCCAGAGTGTATCAGCTCCAGGTCCTGCCGAGGATGAGGGAAAAGACCACGACCCGTTTGTGTCTGTTATCCCTGCTGATGGATGGTAACGTGTGGTATCTCCCGTGCCAGGCTTACCTGACGTACTCCAGCAGCGTGGCGGCCGGCGCTCACAGCGGGATGGAGGAGTGCAAGTTCCAGTTCGGATGGGAGCGCTGGAACTGCCCCGAGAGCGCCCTGCAGCTCTCCACACACAACCGGCTCCGCAGCGGTGAGTGCGCCTTTACCTGCATCCCGGGATGCCCTTGGGTACGGGCTGGGACGGTGCTGCCAGTTAAACTGATGGAGAAGAGCTTTGGTGTCCCAAGTGTGGTGGTGGTTTTCCCTCTGTCTGTATTAACGGGTATAATAAGTAGTGCTAACATTTTCTATGACTCCCAGGCTCTCTTTGGGTCACTATCCATGCTGGGTTAGAGACTAATCCTTCCTGCAGTGCTGCTCCATGGCCTTGCTCCTGCCACTCAGTGCATGGCATCCCAGGAGTGCAATGCTAGAGGCACCTGAGCTTGCAATGGGGAAAAGCACAGGAGAGAAACCAGGGACGTGCACTGCTAAAGTGTCTTCATAAGAAACTCGTGGATATATCTCAATGCTTTCTACTTCAACAAGCAGAAATCTCTTTTTTTTTCCCCAAAGCAGCATCTCTGAATGAGTTAGGAAAGCCAAAAAAGAAGCTGGATTGATTAGAAGTGTGGGTGCAGAGGGCCGTTAGCACAGCTTCAACCACCCGGTGAAACAAGATCAGTGATGATTTTCCCCAGCAGGCAAGATCAAAGCACAAACGTGCCCCCTCTGAGCAGGAAAGGGCAGAGGAGAGCTGAGTGAGGGGAAGGCAGTGATAACTAACCTTGGCCAGAGAGGGGCTGGTGCATTGCCTTAGGGTCCTTCTCCATCCCATGCATGGACACCTGCATAATACTGTGCCAGATTACTGCAACCCTCGATGCTGAAGCCTGAAGACTCCACAAGTGTTTAATTTCTGTAGCACTTTCATTACCTTTTGTTCAAACTTGAGGGTATTTTCCTTCCTGCACCTCTGCAGCGCAGATCCTCATCCCCAGTGCACCGGGACCGATGTCTCTATGCGTGCACGGGGCAGCTTTTTGTTCCTCTCTCCTTCAGCCACCCGGGAAACGTCCTTCGTGCACGCCATCAGCTCTGCTGGTGTCATGTACACCCTCACCAGGAACTGCAGCATGGGGGACTTTGAGAGCTGCGGCTGCGATGACTCCAGGAACGGCCGCGTCGGTGAGGATGGGCTGACACCTCCTCTCCATCCCGACACCAGGGCAGGATTGGGTCCGGTGGGATGGTTCTGTGCTCAGTGTGCCTCTGTCCCGCAGGTGGCCGAGGCTGGGTCTGGGGAGGATGCAGCGACAACGTGGAGTTTGGGGAGAGGATTTCCAAGCTCTTTGTGGATGCTCTGGAAACAGGACACGATACCCGGGCACTGATCAACCTGCACAACAATGAAGTCGGGAGGCTTGTAAGTCAAATGCATTGTAGTACTAATATAGACATTATGAAATACTATTAAATACTCATATAGACATTATGAAATACTATTTATTAAATACTAATATGAAATACTATTAAATACTAATACAGACATGAAATACTATTTATTAAATACTAATACAGACATTATGAAATACTATTAAATACTAACATAGACATTATTAAATGTCTATATTGAAAACAAAACCTGAGGCTCTGTGGCTGTTCAGGTCCCTGTCTGCAGCCCTCTGTGACAATTTAGGCCCTGTAGCATTTAATGGCTTAAAAAACACAGCCAGAATCTGGCCCTAAACCTGAATAAAGGAACTGCAGAGAGTTCTTCTCCCTTGCAGCTCTGCAGCTTTGTGTAATGCAGTTAACTATCAGCACACACCACTTATTCAGAAGTGCATGGGGTTTGTACTTGTCTGCTCTGTAAAACAAAGGAGGAACCACCTTGCCCCCTTGCAATATGCATTTCCAAGCTATTTGGTCGGGAAAGCCAGGTGGGAGCTGGCCCTGCTCACTGCCAGATTCACCCCCACACCCTGGGCCAGGCTCTCAGCATCTTGCCAAACCTCCTTGTCTGTAAAAACAAGGCCGGCAACACTTAACATACCTATCTGATAGGGTGTGTCGAGGCTTAATCTCACATAGATACCAGCGATTGGGACCTTATAAATACCAGAGGGAGATAGGTAGATAATATCTGTGAAGTGCTTGGCCTGGAGGAGATGCAGAGAGGTTGGGTATGATTATTCCAAAGCAGTTTCACACGTTTTGAATGAAACCGCTGCTGTAAGGGCTGATGCTGCAATGAGCGAGGTGAGCGGCGTGAGAAGGGCATGACCTGGCCTCTTTCTTGGCCAGGAGAAACAGCTCCTGCGAGGGCTGGAGACAAAAGCTTGTGCCCATTTATCTCTGTCCTTTAAATCAGTGAAGAGGGACAGATGTTCTCCAGGAGCATCAGCTCACGTCTTGGAAGGAGCTGAAGTGATGCTGAGCACAAGCCCCTTTTGTCCCACTGCCACCTGAATTAGAAGTGCTGTGATTTTGGGATTGAAACGATGATGCTCTGCTGCTCCTAACTCCTCCACCTTTCCCATTAAGGCTGTGAAAGCCACGATGAAGCGAACCTGCAAGTGCCACGGCGTGTCCGGGAGCTGCAGCATCCAGACCTGCTGGCTCCAGCTCGCCGAGTTCCGCGAGATCGGGAACTACCTGAAGATAAAATACGACCAAGCCCACAAGCTGGAGATGGACAAGAGGCGGATGAGAGCCGGCAACAGCGCCGACAGCCGCGGGGCCACGGCAGAGACCTTCCACCACGTCCATGCCACGGAGCTGGTCTTCCTGGAGGACTCTCCCGACTACTGCACCAGGAACGCCAGCCTGGGCCACCACGGCACCGAGGGCCGCGAGTGCCTGCAGACGGGCAAGAACCTCTCGCAGTGGGAGCGGAGGAGCTGCCGGCGGCTGTGCACTGAGTGCGGTCTGAGGGTCGAGGAGAGGAGGACCGAGGTGGTGGCCAGTTGCAACTGCAAGTTCCACTGGTGCTGCACGGTGCGGTGCGAGCAGTGCCGGCAGCTGGTGGCCAAGCACTTCTGCACCCGGCGCGACACCGCGGCGCCCAACCACGTCAAGCAGAGGAACAAGGGTCATAAGAGATAAAGGGGCAGATGTGGTGCCCAAGGAGGACACCTTGGTGGTGTCCCTGTTGCTTGGCAGCCACTGGTGGAGCTGGGGTGGGAGGGAGCATCCCCAGGGTCCAGAGGGACCTGCTGAGGATGGATGCTGTGAGATTAGGAAGCACAAAGTGCAGGCGCTGAGGGACCACGGTCCTCCTTGCTTCCATGGTGGGTCTTCAGTGTTTACTAGTAGTAAATGTTTACTAATAGTACTTCTCTCTTGTTGGGAGTCACTTTACCTGTGTATTGGACAGAGGGAAGAGTTCACTGTTTAGATGGGATCAACCCCTTGTGCCACTGACAGTGGTTCCACCACGGCCAGTGGTGGGGCTCCAGCTGTGGCCAGAAGTGGGTCTCAGCAGCCCCGGGTACCACAGCTGGGGCAGCCCCAGCCCTTGATGCACAGCGGCTGCTCAGCAGCGTTCCCAGTGGGAAACTCATGCACTTTCTGATGTGAGGAGATGACTGCAGCCTGCGGAGGGCTTTGCTAAGTTTACAGTCAGTGTTTACAGAGTCCTTCCCCCTCCTTTCCCTCTTATGTTTTGTATTTGGGTACCAGAACCCTGCCTCAACAGACAGTAGCTTCATGTGTTTGTACTGGATGAAACTGAGCAGTTTGCAATTCCCATACTGTTGGTTTGGGTTTGGTTTTAACTATAAGAATTCAGAATTCTTTATGCTTGATGTTGTTATTAATAAGTTGTATTATTGCTTAGCACAATCTCTTTACTCTATGTATTTTGAAGGTATCCCTCAAGAGTTAGGTTTTTGGACTGTATTTTGCAATAAACACCACAATGGAAAGGACTGGCTTTTTCCTGTCTGCTTCCTGAGAGTAGGAATTTAGGTGCCAAATCGTCCCTTTCTGTATGAAACCCAGCACTTCCAAGCTTTCTCATCATTAACCCAAAAGCCACCGGGGTTGATCTCTTAGAGCTCAATAAACGTCGGCTCCAGCCCCCGGAGGGTTCGCTTTAACAGCTATCACCGCACATCCAACAAGCACCAAGCACGCAGGCACTGCCCTGCTCCAGCCCGGTTTGAAGCTCCCAATTCCTCCTTAATTTGCCTGGGCCCGACATCCCCCAGACAATGCCCGGCTTTGATGTGGAAACCATCGGCACCCAGGGCTGAATCCTCGGAGGCACGAGAGGAGCCTTTGAACTGGGGCAGGAGAGAAAGCTCGGGGCCAGCTGTGAATGTGCCTGCAGGGTCCCTGCTGCTCCGGGGGCCGCGGAGGGCAGGGCACAGACTGGCCGCTGCCGTCCTGAGCGGGTCCTGCTCCTCTCCAGGTCTCCCCAGGGCTGTCCATCAGCACGGATCGCTCCTGGGAAGCACAGCACTGCCCTAGAGCTGCGCCATCGCCTGCACCCGCAACGCAGGGACAAAGGATGCTCTGCGGGGTTTGCGGTCCAGCCAGGCGAGGAGGACAAGACACAAGTGAGAAACCACACCACAGCTTTGCCATTCTGTTGTGCCCCCACTACAAATGCTTTGATGCTATTTTATCCAGATATCTCTACGGCTCCTAGTGTAAACACAGCCTTGACACGCACTCGAGCCACAGCAGGGAGCTCAAGGTGTAAAACACACGCGCTGCGAAGCACAAACTGACTTCCATGCATTTACTTCTGCAAAGAGTGGTTCCATTAAAGCTGGAAGAGCTGCACCAGTGCCCACCCCACTGGAGGGCTTTTTCCGCTGCCTATCAACAGCTGTTGAGAAAGTTTAAATAACAAGCAGAAAACCCAAGGGTTTTGCAGTGTCACCACGTTTGCAACCCATCAAAACTCAGGCTGAACTGGAACCGATCAAACCAGAGAAAAGCCCTTCCCTGCATCCTGTGCCCTGGCTGGTTTGTCTGCACGGAACTAAACCAGGCTCTACTTTTGCAGTGCCTGCTGTGGCTGCCCAGAGTGCTGCTGCCCCATCCGGTGCTCAGCAGCGCCAGCACCGTGCCTGGAAGTGCCATAGAGCCACAGAATGAGGATACACACAGCACGGGGCAGTGGCTGCGTGCAGAGGAGGGAAACTGTTTTACCAGGATAGCTCCCAAACACACAAACCCCATCTTGCTGCATGCCAGCAGCAGGGTTAATAGAGCTGCAGGGGTAAATCCCGGGAGATGAGGGTCCCCATGAGCAGGGATGCTCAGGACATGCTGTGTGTCATCTCCCACCGCTCTCTGCAGCATCTCTCTAAAGCAACATTGCCACAGAAAGCAAGGGACAGGTTTGCACCATAGCATCAAACCGGGCCTGTCTCACACAGGCTCCATCCCAGGGAGCAGAGCTGCAGATACCACATCTGGGATGGATCCTTCTCCCACTGAACCCTCCCATTCCCACCGACCTGCAGCCAGGGGCTTGCCGAGTCAGCACTCATCCCCACTGTGTTGATTTAAATGTTGGATATGAGCTGTTCTTCCTTCTAATTGCTTTCTTAAATCCATTTACATTTCTGGCCCCCAGACTAAGGCAATGAGCGCATCTTATGCAAAAACCAGAGACCAAATGCAAATGGAAGCAAACTCAAGAGAAAATGATGTACCATCCCATGATACAGATCTCTGTTCCCTTTATACAGCACGCAGAGATAATACCAAGTCTGAACAAATACAAAGAACAACTCCAATGGCTTAGAGCTGCACCTTGCCAGAGATATCACAGTCCTGGAGAAGCTGAAGCTCTCTCATTCCCCCCCCCCCCCCTTGTTGCTTGGATACAACAGTCATCAATTCTCACTACATTCACTACAAAACAATAGAGATTCGGGATCATCTTAATCCATCACAGCACTGGCAGGAGCAGCCCTGCCCGCTGGTACCCAGCGCTTGTAATAACACACGCAGAGATGCCACTTGCCCGTGGTGACGAACCCAAGGCTGATGCGGGACACTCCATCAGGCTGATCTCCTCATTGCAGCAGTGATTTTACCTGGGCAGCAAACTCCTGCAGAGCAGTGCTCAGACTAAACACCATCACAGCAGGGCAAAGCCCTGTCACCTACAGGTTGTAAAGGTCCATTCTCTAACCACAGCCAAGGAGCATCTGAAGGGACTGATGATGTCTTCAAACCTGAATGTATTTACTCCTGATTACCCAAAGTCAACTCCACTTTGGGACACTGATCCCAACCACCTGTAGCTCACTGCATGCTTGGAGGAAGGGGGTGGATTGGCCCCAGAAAGCCTCGAGGAGGAGCCTGACCCAAATTACAATGAAACAGTCAAAATCTGAGCCAAATGCTGTATGAACTCAACCCAAAATCCTGCTGCCCACCCGCAAAGAGTTGTCAGCTCTGGTTCTTCCTTTGGGGATGGAGGCTGTTCACAGCACTGAGGCAATGGAAGGGGTGCTGGGGATGCCCAGGAGCAGGGACACCCCACCAGGCACCCAAAAAGGGCACCCATGGAGCTTCTTGGACAGTCCTGGAGCAGCACCTTCATGTCAGAGCAGGCTTTGCAGAGCTGCTGTTTGGGGGCAGAGCTATTGCCATGGCCAGAGTAACCTGTGTGATAAGAAACCTGCAGGACAGCAGTTGAACTGGCCTGAAATCACTGTGCCAGCACCATTTTTACATTATATATAATAGATACAATATATTATATATTATATAGCATATTTATGCTTTATTGTGGGAAAGGACTGATTTATATCGCATTTTCAATGAGAAAGGGAAACATGTTGTGAATGAAGAAATAGTATCATCCAGCTAGAGCATTGCCACAGACCGGGGCAGGTTTATGTCGGGCACCTATGCTCAGCTAATAGGGCTTTAGAAAATCAGTCCTGGGATATCTGTACCATGGTAACAGCCCAGGAAGCTTTCCCAGTGCTTCCCATCTAACCCAGGATCGTCACTGTCACCACTTCACCTGGTGCCTCTTGGCTCTGCCATGCTGCCATCCAGGCAGCATCCCAGCACCCTCACCGGGAGCAACAGCCACCAGCTTCCCTTCTTGTTCCTTCTGCCCCATAGACGGGAATGCTCCCACAGCCTAAATCCCCATCGGGCAGGAACATGGCACGACTCCACACACGGTGTTGGCCAAGGGCACCTCCGTCACTGTGTGGAGGACAGGTTCAGCTGTGTCCCATGCCAACCTACCAGCGCTGCTGATAGGGATGGATTGTGGGTCCTCGGAAGCCAGGCTGGTGCTGGCCTCAGGCTGTGCGTCAGCAGTGCAGACCCGCAGTGCACCCGTATGGGATGAGGATGTCAGGGATGGATCCATGCTGATGTGCCTCTCCCAAAACAGAGTGCCAAGGCTGCTCCAAAGGAGAATTCACACCATCATGGCCATCCTCTCCCATAAGCTGGCAGGGATGCCTGTGCTGGAGGCAGGGTACCACAGTGAGCAATACCTGCCCCTGTCCCGCTTCCCCCTCAGGTCACATCGCTGCAGGGTCACCATCAGCAAGCTGAGAAAGGGGTTTATTTAGTTCACACAGGGCAGGTTCTGCAGATGGGCTCTGCAAAGCGGTTTGGGGGTGGCTGGGTTTTGACTGAGCCCATCTCCTTCCCACCCTGATGCACCCCACCACCAGCCCTCCTTCGCCCCAGCAGTTAACTCCTTGCCTGGTGGGTTACCTTTAATTTATGCCTCCAGTGCCCTTTCGTGGATGATAATCCTGCATGAGATGCTCGTGCTGTATCCTCCCCCCGTATTAAAGTGTCAGGAGCACATCCCAGGGCCATCCATCTTCAACGCTTCCGCATGGGCTTGGCAATTCTCTGACATGAATATTATGGCTCTCAATGCAGAGTCTCCATCACTCAAGCTGACAAGTGTTAGCATCTCCTCTCTTGAACGGGGTAAGTGACCTTTTCATATGCAGCGTAGATTCCCGGTCACGCTGCATCTGGTGCAGTGAAACCAGTGAGTGCCAGCAATTCCCTAAAGCCTTAAAAAACAACTCACAGGTCCTTTTCCACTTGCAAAACCGGCCCTTAGCATGACAAAGTTAAAGGGCTTTAATCAGCCCCTGTTTAGCCCCTGCTAGCGCCAGTGCCATAGAGGAGGATGAGAAAACATCTGTGCGGGATTTATGGATGGGGATTTTCAGGGGCAGGTGGGAATTGGGGTTTCTGGTTTGCTGGGGTTTATAGGAAATGTTTCTGTGACCAGGCAGTGGCTTTGAAACCTTAACTCAAACCCTAAACACTATTTAAGTGAGGTGCTTAAAGATAGACCCTAAACCCTAC